CTCTAATAGTTAGACATAAGACCTTAAGGACCTTCTTAGTAGTAGTCTGTAAGAAGGACTTAGAACTTCACCTTATAGATATAGACAGTACATTTACAAACAGCTACCTATAGGAAGATATCTATATAGCCCTACTAGAGGGAGTAGATCTCTACTCTAGCTAAGTTCTAAAGATCCTAAGAAGCCTCTATAGTCTAAAGCAGGCTATAAGGGACTAGAATTAGCTATGTGTGTCAAAGTTAAAGGAGCTTGGATTTGTATAGTTAGATATAGACCTATACCTAATATATTACTACGAGAAGGAAGTAATAATTATAACATATATAGATAACATCCCTATTACTATACTAAGTATAGCCTTAGTTAACTAGTTTAAGAAGAGTTTTAGCAAGATATTTAAGATTAAAGACCTTAGTAAACCTATAAGGATTCTAGGAATAAACATTATAAGAGATAGGAAAGCTAGAACTCTAAAACTAGACTAGAGCTACTATATCTAGGAAAGCCTCTAGAAGCTTAGGATTAATACTAAGGCATCTAAACTAACCCTTTCACCTTTAGACAATTACGAAGGTCTTAAGAAGTTAGCCCCTTAGGACCTAAGGTATAATAAGGAGGACTACTAGAGTATAATAGGAACCTAGATATAGCTAATAATTATAATAAGGCTAGACATTACATTTGCAATTAGGAAGTTAAGTTTATTCTTAAGTAATCTATCTAAAGAATATATAAGAGCATTAAAGAAGGTCTTAAGATACCTTAGATTAAGTCCTAACCTTAGACTCTAATTCTTAAGGGATAGATCTAGATGCCTTATTAGGTATTTAGACTTAGACTTTGCAATAGACAAGGTTAATAGGATCTTAATCCTTAGAAATGTGTTTATACTATACAATGCCCCTATCTTATAGATAAGTAAGAAACAGAAGTTAGTAGCAACCTCTATAATAGAAGCTAAATTTATAGTAATAAATGCCTATACTAAACAGTCTCAATTCCTCTTAGCACTTCTAAGAGAGATAAGATATCCTAAACTCGTTAGCTAGAAACCCTTCTAGCTAACAGTCTAGGTAAGGAAGGAAACTACTTAGGAATTCAGACTAGTTTAGCTCTTTAGGGACAACTAGGCGAGCCTAACCCTTATAAAGGATGCCTATGTCTATAAGAGATCTAAGTATATTAATATTGCCTATAACTATATTAGAGACCTATAGTAGAAAAGAAAGATCTATGTTAAGTACCTCCTAATAAAGGAAATAGTAGCAGATAGATTAATAAAACTATTAACTAGACTAAACTTCTAGCACTTTATAAACTAACTAGGAATCTAGTAGGAAAGGCAAAAAGGGTCTTACTAGATTAGACATTCCTGTTTAGAATAGCTAATCTAGCGAGATACACTAAGGCTAGGAATTGAACTATAGGTAGTAATTCTACTACTATACTATCTAACCTAAGGTAAGAGAAGGGAAATCCTCTATAACTATAGAAGTAAGTTCTAGGATAAAAAGGGAAGATATATAGGCCTTTAGTCCTAAGTAGGAGTGTTAGAAAGTGTAGTCCTTAGCGGCTATACTAGACAGGGCTAGTTATATAATTTGGTTATATGACCTATAGCTAGGAACTCCAAGTTTAGGAGGATTATATATCGCTCTAGATAATTAACTTAATTAATACATTAGTTCCTACTACCTACCTACCTTATAGACACCTTCCGCTATAGCTATACCTATACAAAACTGTTGTTAGGACACCCTTTTAGGGACTTAGTATAATATTAAAAGCAATTGTATATTATACATTCTACCTAATAGGTCGCTTCTTCTTACTTCTTAAGTTAATATTATCTTCCTTTAAAAGGTTAGACAGAGGTGTAGCTAACTTAGTAAAGCTACGAATAAAGCGTCTATAGTACCTAGTAAGTCCTAAGAACTAACGGATCTGTTAAGTATTAGTTAGTGTAGGCTAGTTAGAGATAGCTTCCACCTTGTCTTATATTAGTTTAACTATGTTCTTAGTAACCTTGTAGCTATAGAAGGTAACAGTCTTAACTCCTAAAATATACTTCTCTACTAAGTAGAACAGGTCTGCCTTGCTTAGCCTCTTAAACACTTCTTACAAGTGCTTAATATGTTCCTTTATATCCTTAGAGTATATAAGAATGTTATCTAAGTATATAACTATATTCTTCTATAGGAGGTCCCTTAAGACATTATTTATTAGGGATTAGAAGGAAGCTAAAGTATTAGTAAGCCTAAATAGCATTACTAAGAACTTATACTTCCTATCCCTAGTGTTAAATACAGTCTTATAGGTATGCTTAGGTTTAATTAAGAGCTACTAAAATCTAGAGACAAGGTCTAGTTTAGTAAATATACTACCCTAGGTAATAGTGTCTAAGCAATCTTAGATCCTTAGGAGGGGGAAGCTATTCTTTATAGTAGTATTGTTAAGGGCCCTATAGTTAATATACATTCTCTATTACCTATTAGGCTTTAGAACAAAGAGTATAGGACTTCCCTAGGGACTACTAGAAGGCTTAATTAGGCCTCTCTCTAGTAGCTTTTGGATCTATATAGTCTGTTCCTCTAGCTGTTTTAGGTTTAAGCTATAGGCCTAGAGGTTAATAGGGGTAGCATCTCTAGTTTCGATTGTATAATTAAAAGCTCTCTCCTATAGGAGTCTAGCTAGGAGGGAATCTCTCTAGAGGGTAGGGAACTAGTTCACTAACTTCTAGATTTCTAGATTACTATATAGGGGAGGTTTGTTCTCCTTAGGTACAGTCTCTGTCTTAGTAGTAGCATTTAGGCCTTTCTCCTAAATATTATCCTTACTTAGAGAAGCCTTTCGCAGTATATATAGGTACTAGGGACTAGATATATACTTAACTACTTCTACTAAACAGAGGGAGTTAAAGACTTCTAAATCTAGGTTTCTATCCTTTAGCTTAAAGATCTTAGAGTTAGACTTAATAGAGTAGCTTTTACTATCCTTGTCCTAAAGACTAAGTTTACTAGCTTGCTAGTTTACTATTAGGTTGTACTGTCTAAACTATTAGAGACTAAGAATTACTTTATACTCTAGGATATCTAGGACTCTAGTAGGGATTTAGTCCTACTAGGATCTAATCTAGTATAGTAAAATAACTCTAGAATCTAATATAATGCTCTACCCTATTAGAAGGAGTATCCTTATAGAGGGTATAGATATATAAAGCTTCTTAGGGAGTCTCTTTGCTACTTAGTAGGAGATATAAACTCCTAAAGTAGTAGTATCTAGTATAAAGTAGGCTCTAGTCGGTTTGTTTAGTAGTCTAATTATACCTTTAATAGTAAACAAGTTCTTATTAATAGAGGCAAGCCTTTCTAGGGTACAGTCTTCTTCCTCCTCTAAGTCCTCTTATATAGCTAGTTTACCTTAGGAGCTAGGTCCTAGGGGAGAGGTAGAGGCATTCAACTGCTTTATAAGGTACTAAGCCTCTTTAGGCATCTTATAAGCTAGTTTTTTAATATACACTCATTTCTCTAGTAACTAGTCTTCCTATACTTAAAGTAAGTACTTAAAGACTTATTACTCCTAGTTTTCTTATTATACTTCCTACCTTTCTTGCCCTTACTATTCCTCCCCTTTATGCCTTTGTCTTTTCTTCCCTTAGAACTTTAGGAGGTTCCTAGGGCTGCTAATTATTCGGTATTTTGTTATAGTAGGGCATTTATAGATTCCTAGGCCTTCCTAGTACTATAGAGTTTTTTGTCTATATTAATAGCCTACCTTATATAGTCCCTAGTAGAAGTGTTTAATGTATACACTCCTCTCTAGTCTAATTTATCTCTAACATCTCGTTTAAGGCTAGCCTAGAACCTCCTAATAAAGACGAAATTATTAGGTTTAGGGTTATAAAGCTTGTTCTACAAGCCTTTTAGCACTCTAATAAAGTTATATACTCCTCCTATCTAGGTATAGCTATCAAATTTCCTACGAATAGACTCCGTGTAGTCTAAGTCTATATTTAGATCTTCTAGAGTTTATATAGTATTCTTAAAAGCCCTAAGTAGGTTCTTTACTTTCTAGGCTTTAGTAATAGCTACTACCTAGTTAATAAGAGCGTCCCTAGTAAGGTAAGTTAATACTAGTTACATTTTCTAAAGATTATTAAGTAGTGTTTTAAACATAAAGATCTTATTCTAGGCAATCTAATTCTAGACCTAGTTAATCTAGTCTAAGATATTATTATTTCTCTAGCTATTGTTATATAGTGCTAGATGTCCAATCTAGATCCTTCCTATTAGTTTAGCTATAGAAGTAGTAGTATTTAGAGCTTAGTTAATAGTAGTATTAGTTAGAGGGTTCTAAGGAGTAGCTATTATAGCTTCTTATATAGCATTTAATTCTTCGAGAAGCTAGAGAGCTCGCTAAAGGGCTATAGTTGCTTCTAGTTCGGCTCCCTTACTATACTCTAAAATATAGAGGCCTAGGAATTCTAAGGGTAGAAAGTCTCGGTTAGTAAAGCGTATAGTATTAGGTAGGTTAGGTTAGTCGGCTATAGTAGTAGTTATTATAGTTAAAACTTAGATTAGGGCTATAGTTAATTAGGCAACCTATAGGCTTATATAGAGGGCTTTGATCTATCTATTCTTAGAAGAAAAGATAGAAGGTATCTTAGCTACTAGATATAAGAGCTTTAACTAACAAAGAAGGTTCATAGCCCGGCTATCTATATAAGGTTTTGAGGTGTTTTTATGTCCCCTCTGCTTGGCTGCCAAGACCAGAGTTTTTCACACTTAGGCATAACACCACTTTAGCAAGTGTGGTGTAATTCCTTGGCATGCAGGCCAAGGATCTCACACCGGTCCCCCGATGCCCCACTTCGTGAAGCTCAAGCCAACTGTCTCCGAACGTCCAAACACCGAACAACGCCTCTCTCTACTATAGGACTCCACTGACAATACCTTCACGACCTTACAGCCGTCCACGGATATCAGCTACCAAAGACCACGATGTCGTCGAAAGTCATCCCCATCACTTCCGCCCAGCACTTCAAGTCCACCGTCGCCTCATCCACCTACACCGTGGTAGACTTCTACGCAGGTCCGTCCTTAAGCCGCCCTGCCACCCTCCTTCCCCCATGATTCGCCTCGATGTACTTGTTGTACTGACCGCTCCTCCATCTCCGTCGTCTCCAGACTGGTGCGGCCCCTGCAAACAAATCTCCCCCATCTTCGAACAACTCGCCGCGCAAGAAACCAAACCCGGCCGCATCACCTTCTGCAAAGTAAACGTCGACGCCCGACAAGATGTCGCTTCCATCTACGCCATCCAAGCCATGCCCACCTTCCTCGTCCTCAAAGGCAGCAAGGTCGTCGAGACCATCCGCGGCGCCAATCCTGCCGCTCTGCGCAGCGCCATCCTCTCCGCGGCAGCAGACGCCGCGCGCGGTCCCGCGAAACAGAGCGCTTCGTTTTCGGGAGCGGGACAGAAGCTGGGGTCTGATGCGGGAGGGAGGACGCTAGGAGGAGGTGGTGGTGGAGGAGGACAAGCTGGGGCTTCGTTGCCCAGTCTACCGAATCTCAACATTGGACAACTCCTGTCTTCGCCGGCTGCGTTTGCGCAGGGAAGAGGTCTTCCGCAGCTGATTGTGCGGTTCTTGGGCCTCTATCTTTCGACGCTATTGAGCTTTGATCCCATGCGCACGGCCCAGGAAAGCCCCTTTGCAGTCAACAAGGGCAGCGCGAGTATCAAAACTCGCTAAGAGGGTATGGTACGGGAGGCGTGAGGGCGCATGCTGTGTTTGCTAGAGGCGTCAAGGGCATTTTCGGGCAGGAACGAGCTCGAGCGGCACTGCGAGATACGTGGGACAGCATTGTTGTAAAATTGTTATTCACGCGAAGGACTACACAGCACTTTTGAATATGAATAGATGGGCCCGGACAAGTTGATTGCCGAGCGCTGTCTACTAAGATGCTGGAAACTAGACATGGCTCTGCATTACAACCCAAATACCTTCCCATTACCCTCTGCAACAAATGTAGGTCGTGTGTCGAAGGCTTTATATGCTGCCCTCGATCCACTGCTTCAAAGTCATGACTGTCGTGTATATCATTGCCACCAATCCAATCGTGAGGAGCAAGATGTCGTACGCTTTTTCCCACCTCCCCTCGGCCATGCCTTTGAGATGGAGGAACGGCGGGTATATGTAAACAAGGGGCACGCAGGCGAAAGCTCCGATCAACGCGACGAATTTGTCCAGGTCAGAGGCACCCAGGATGGCGATTAGGCCGCAGAGAATCATCAACGCGCTTCGCACGGCGTTCTTCTTCCATTTCATGGTACTGCTCTTCTTGCCGGAAGCTTTGTCGCCAAAGAGTCCGACTTCAATGATGCGTACGGCCGGGAACAGCTGCACTGGCTCTCCCACCAGGACAGCCATCGAGTAGAGGAATTGCACCGCGTTGACGAGTTTGCTGTCCTGTGGAAAGTTGGAGATGATCTGGATCTTTGTCTCGTCACCGAACGTAGCGTAGCAAAGTGCGCCTACAGACGTGAAGATGATGGTAATGATGAACATGACCAGGTAGAGCAGGTACGGAAACTTCTCTGGCTGTCTCATCGAGGACTGAATCGGCAGAATAAGCCCAATGCCTTCGAACGTGAAGATAGCAGATCCGATGGTCAGGGTAAAGGCCGAGGGATTGAAGAGCAGCATACTCGGCGCAGGGCCCACAGTGGCAAGGCTGTTGATATCGTAGTACCAGATGTACACCAGTCCAATGAGGATGAAGACATCCGCCAAGAGAGCTGCAGGTCCAAGTTTGGCGATGTTTCGGATCAATGCAAGAGGGATGAGTAGGACAAATTGGATGGCGATCAGAGCGGGAACTCCAAATGGTTGCGCTGATCCGACCGGTACCACGGCATGTAGAAAGGACAGCAAGTTCTCGGCGGTGAAGATGAGGCCGGCACACACGAAGCCAAGCTGCGAGAGTGTGATTGAGCCGAGGATGAGGGAGCGAAACCTAGGTCCGAAGATGGCGTGGCCCAGTTCACCGTAACCACCTCCACCATATCGACCCCTACATTGCAATAGTAGCCTGAAACAGAGGGTGGTGACTATCGACACCGCGATGAGGACCGTTGAGGAGAACAGGATACCGCCATTTCGGAAGGCCTTGGGTAGGAACATGATTCCGGTTCCGACAAATGCCTTCAGTAGAGTGAAGAACGTTTTCGTCGTACCCGCATCTCCATCACGCTTGATACGTTTCGAGCTTTTCCGTCTAGACAGAAGCGGCCGTCTCTCGTCTGGCGCTTCATCGCCATCATCGATTGCCGACTCGGTATCCATATCGGAATCCGTGTCCTCGAGGTCTTCGCCAGCGAAGCTTCCATAAAGCTCAAGGAACGAGATGAAGTTTCTGGTGTACGGTGTGGCGGCAGTGCTGAGCCGCCTGCGTACTTGGTGCCTCTGCACATATTGACGCCGCAAGCCTCCCGGCTGAAGCTGGTCCTCGACGGCGGCATTGTCCAGGTCGGGCACCAAAGGTCGACCCGTGCTCGCAGAAAAGGTATGTGAGCGTTTTGGAGCGCTGGCGCGAGCTTTGATTTTGAAGATGTCGCGATGCATGTCACCGCCTTGCAGCCTCAAGGACGACTCGGGCACGTCTTCTGGTGGACCAGAGCCGGCGTCGCTCCTGGCTCCAGAACCAGCATTGTCTCCGGAATCGTACGCAACAGCCTCAGGTTCGGCGGAGAAGCCATCGGGCAGATGTCTGTCGACAATTTGAGCCTCGCGTCTCGACTGTTGGGATCCTGGAGTGCCGGGATAATCGGCCATGGTGGCGTCGTGATACGAAGACATGACGGCGGCAGATTCGTTCGTGGTCCGGTTGCTTCTTAGGACATGATCATAGAGATCTAAGACGGGCAGAGACCGAGCACGTCTGCATCAGCACCGGCATCAGATCGGGAGAGGATGATCACAAGCCAAGGGAAATGAAGTTGGAAACGGATCGAAAGAAACCCAGAGCTCAAGCCAAGCGGCGGCGGCACGTGGGCCACGAGGACAAGGGTCTCAGATCACCTGCAACTTTGTGCGAGGCAGACTTCGGCATCTGCCCCACAACCTGCCCGTGACTACAAGAACCTAAAGACTCTCCATTTCTTCCTCCACTTCCACCTCATCTTCCGCTGTCACATGCTCAACATCCGGCCTGCGCCTCATCAATAACCGACCGCCGTGCCAATGATCCTACTCACGAACGACTCATGGACGCGCTCGTCTTCCTGCCTGCGGATCGATCCACGTAGCACGTCGCGTCGAGCAGGAGGGGAAGACTAGAAGAGTAGAGCAATGGAAGGCCAGGAGAGTTGGAGACCCGGAGAGCCAAAGAGCAGGAAGTTCGGAGAACAGAGGAATCCATACGCAGTATGACAGGTACACAGGACTGGATACGATAGAAACCCACCGACCCCAGTCATCCACCTTCACTGTGCTAGAAGTCTACTTGACTACCTCCGTCATTCTTCGCCCTTGAAAATTGGGCGGTAGATTGCTTGTACTGACTCCGCAGGGGCCAACGGGATGCGCCGGCGTTTTGTTGTTGCTGTCTAGACAGCTAAACCTGGGCTGACCATTGCCATGGACATGGCGGTGATTTGCATGCACCGCAGGATGTCGACTGTGACGTGCAGCAGCCAAAGCAACAGTTGCGTGATGACGACGCAGATTCCAGTGGACATCACACCCGATCTATGAGAAGGGGAGGAGGAGGATCCACAAATGCATCCAGTCAAGAGTCTGCAACGTAGGATCAACGGTCTCTTTGTTGCAAGAGGAGTCTTGGGCATCAGTTGTCCTGGCCTGACGGTCGCGTGGTGGAATAAGTAGACGCTTCTGGACTGTTATGAGAAGCGCATTGAAGTTGGCGTTCTCAGGGAATGATCCTTTCCAATCTTGTGGCGACTTAGAATGACACATTGACTCCGCTAATCAAATGACAGTTACTGTAAACCACCAGTACCCCAAACCTTGACCTTGGAGAAATCCTGTGTGTTCTAGAACCTTTTTCCTGATCAACGCTCTCGAAAGATGGACGCTTGTGGTGATTCGGGCAATCAAGCTCATTCGAGACAATAACTTATTCCAACGCTCTTCATCCTTTCACTCAACTCCGTGAAGACACCGTTCCAGTCGTAGTCAATGCCCCGCTGGTACTCACAGCACAAGCAGTAACAGTAGTCGCCCCCGGCTTCGTCGTGGTCGGTGGCGCTTTGACACATTGGAGACATACTCCCGCCTTTCTCATGGTTGTAAGTGTCTCCAAAGCACAGCCACCACAATCAGTCGTTGCCGTCTCTGTCGTAGCCCACGCGGTATGCAAACAACCACCGCACGGAGCTTCCCATTCCGTAACAGTCTTGGTGCAAGCCGTCGTGGTGATAGAGGGAGTGCTGCTCGGAGCGCATTGGAGCACAGCCGTCGTCGAATCATAAGCAGTCGTGGTGACAGCAGGGCATGCGATCAGACATTTGAAGCCTTTGGTCTGTGTGTGTAGGTTGCAGCCCTTGCAATCGATGTGTGATGTTTTGGTGTAGGCTGCAATAGGAGGGCAGCAGCCTGGCATTTTGTTGATTGTCATGTCGCAGCTGGACGGTAATGGCTGTGAGGGCATTGTGATATTTTGGGCCGTCGAAAAGCTGTCCAGCGCCAGAAGGGTTATCAGCCAATAAAGCATTTTGTTGGTTGCAGTTTGCCGATTGGGAACGGACTGAGATGTGGATAATGTCAAAAGAAGTGAACTTCTGAGCTGAGCTATGTCGAGTCGTTTATGATGTGTTCGATGTTGCACGAATCCAATAGTTGCTTTACAAGACGCTACTGCAAAAAAGCCAGCTGACCTTTCGGCACCTGCCTGCTACATTCCTCGTTGAAACCCGCCGAGTGAAATCCATCAGCGTGGTTGCCTTCGAAGGATGGAACACCGGTCCACTCCCTTTCTTGGCAATATCACGAAGACTTCAGCCCCACGTCAGTCCCCCCCGAGCAACGTGCTGTATGGTCAATGCCAAGCCATGTCTCAGCTATGAGCAAAATGTGGTGGCACTGGCGCTCATTCCCTCCGAAAAGGCTTTTCAGCGCTCATTCCTGTGGCCAGTCCAAAGTCATTCAGCTCCGCCTGAGCCCTGGATGCGTATTCTTATCGTGACACTACGCACAAACAGTCTTTCACATGTTAAGCCCATCATCCCTGCCACCGTATTCCCAAATAGGAAATTCGTGACGCGCTAGTGGGACCAGTACTTCTTCGCTTCTTCCTTCTGAGCCCGTTTCTTCTCCTTCTCCTTCTCCTTCTCCTTCTCTTTCATCTTCATCTTCATCTTCATCTTCTGCTTCTCTCGATACTTCTGACCCTTCGGAAGCCTCCTCCCGGAATGCAACGTCCTCCATCGGCTCGTCCTCAGCACCAAACGCCAGGCCAAGGCTTTCATTCACGAGTTCATCAGGAACGGACTCGTCGCCGATCTCAGCAGGCACCTCGGTCGCTTGTTTTCCCTGCTGCTTCTTGTTGTCATAGTTGCCGCCAGCCTTTTCGGTCTTGTTGACTTCTCGAGCCTTCCATTCTATCCCAAGTCGGAGCGGCCGGTAAGCTTCGTCGACCGGGTCTTGGAGACACAACTCCTTCCCCCGGAAATCACTACATGGGCTTGTGCTTCGTGCGCGTATTTCTTATGCTTACAGCTCTGACTTTCTTTGTCACCTTGGATCCTTAGTCTGTCGCCGTCGGCTTACACAAGCTTCGAGTGAGCTGTAATGACATTTTATCAAGATCCTCATTCGAATCCGCTGCACAACTGGTTTTCCGCCACCACTTAGATCAGATACATCTCCGTCAGTGGCGAATGGTCTTCGTTGACATCGTCGAAGTTGTCGTCACGACGCTCGTTTAGACATCATCCATACACCGATACAAGTGGTCCCCATGCCGCGGCCTTCCATGGCTTCGTCTCGTTCGATATGACGACGAAGAAGTACAAATGAACACATAAGCTATCTTCTCCAGCTAGGAGTAGAGCAAGCCTCGGCCTTCAAGATCAACGCAGCACTGCTCGCGTCCGAAGTACCCAGATGTGCCACATGGAAAAGATCGAACATGAAATCGAATATACACTTCACCGGAAGCAACAGAACACCAACAGCCACGATTAATCGTTGGCACCAGAACGCTGCGTTCAGCTGGATAATAGCGTCGTCTTCGGCACGCACGTTGTTGTCGTGATTGCTGGAGGTACAGAGATAGGCACGGCGCCAGCATACCAGCTGCCCAACGCGAGACATGCACATGCCCAGAATTTGCTGTCTTGAGTAGCTATGTAGGTTTCGTTCAACCGTTCTTCCCCCTCGTCAGGGCGACATTACGGGATTCGCTCCAGATGTACTGTCTTCTTGAAGATGGGGACATGTGTGTGGCATTTCTTTGGCAACGAAGGGAAACGATGGAACGGTATTTTTGGATGACATAGAAGTTTTTTTTTGGCGTCCTTGTTGTTTTGAATACAGTTTCCAGTACCTCTGAAGATAGAATAGCTTCTCTCCATGCAATACTCCAGCTTCGCCTTATGCTCGAATCAATCGTTCACGGTATCATCTCGTTCCACTACCACGGTCTTCCGCCAGCTGGCCCGCCTGGTACACTGCCCCTCCCCTCCTGGTCCTCCTCCTTCTCTGTCGTGGTGACCCGACCCGCCTCCGAATCTTCCCGGTCCTCCACCGTGATGATTTCCAAGTCCATCGCCGAACCCTGAACCTCCATTGTGAACCCCAGACTCACCCCTACCAAGATGACCTAGTGGTCCTTGCGTGTAGCCGCCTCCGTGATTCGTTCCGCCGCCGAAGTGGTGTTGCGGGTGATGATGATGTTGTTGGCCAAACTATTAGGGTTTGGAGTCATGGTGATGCGAATGCCCACCAGAATGTTGATGATGGTGTTTAGGTGCCGCGCCAATAAAGCCTTCTTCTGCAGAAGACCCACTGTCCTTACCGCCAGAAGACTCACGGCCCTTACCGCCAGAAGACTCACTGTCCTTACCGCCAGAAGACCCACTGCCCTTACCGTCAGAAGAACCTGCTGCTGCACAGTTTGATTCAGCTTTTCCAAGCGCAGCGACAGGCCTCTTCGGTGCCGGATTCACGTCTGTGACCGGGTTGCAACCAGGAAGCGCATGGCCTGGAGTATCCACATTCTCATGATACGTCCTCTTCAGTTTGCAAGCCTTCGTCTTCGTTGCAAACTTCTTGAAACCCGGACAGGTGCCGATATCTTCGTTTCCCCAAGCTGACTTGGGGCAACTGCTCAGGAGTTCCGGGATGGCACCTGAGGTCCAACCGTTGAAGAAGTCGACGTGCCAGCCATAGCCAGTGTTATCGCCCTGGGAGAGGACGAAGGAGCCAGGCTTGACTTGGTCAGCGATGGAATGTAGATCAAATTGGTTCTCCATGAAGATATGTGGAAGGCGGATTGGGTGGCTGCTTGGGCAAGCGCCATCTTGGATGTTGTCTTCTGGGTAGGCCACGTGTGCGCTCGGATCGGATTGGTCGAAGTCCTTGCCGTTCCAGCAGTGTGGGAAATGGATGGCGCCGTTGAAGCCCGGATAGGCGTTGCAGTCTGTTACTCCAGTCGGGAAACCCCCATCTGTGCCTTCATTCCATGGCCCAGAGCTGTGACAGATCCATTGAGTAATGTTCTGCCTAGGAATCTGGGAAGCAGCAGCACGCATACGAGCGTCACCAGCGATCATGCGAAAGCCCTCGGGAAACTCAAAGGGGCTGGCTTTCTTGTCGTGATGAGAGCCAGCGTCGCGGTAGTAGATTTTGTGGCCAGACGTTCGTACGCGAACGTAGCCGGTGCCATCCTTGGCTTCCATGTAGAGAGAAGGATGCCAGTAGCTGCTCTTGTCCGCGGCATTGCCATCACCAGATGCAGAGCCTACCGTCGTACAATCGGACTTCTGGAGAGCATTGTAGCTGGCATCCGGACTAAAATTGTTTGCTCCAAAGACTTGGTGGACATGAGCGCTGAGGGTGTGCGGATGCTCGATAGGATCAGAGCGTTCGACCAAGGTATCGTCGCCTTTTGGAGTATATTGGACGAATTGCGAAAGCTGACCGAGAGCGGGCAATGCGAGAAGAGCGGCAGTAGCCGTGAAAGTCGTGAGCTTACACATGATATCCGTGTGTTTGCCGATGGGGTTGCCTCGCAAGTTGGATTTCGTAAGTTCCGCTCGATGCAGTACGTCGATTGACCAATCAATGGCTATTTGTGCGGACTTAAAAGAAAGTCATCTGTTGTTTGTTCTTCATGTGTTGTTGCAAAGAATGAATGAAGGTCGACCAGAGCGACGTAGTAATGACTGCAATCGTCAAGAACGTGAATAATAAACGAAGGACTCGTAAGACGACTGGGCGACTTGAAAGCAGGAGGCAAACAATGAGCAAAGCGAGAAAGGGCGTCGTGAGCTTTTCACACAATGGCATACATTGCGTCTGCCTTGTAGGCCAAGCTCCTAGTACTGTGGACGGAGGGATGGACCGTGCCCCAAATTGTACAGTCCTGCAGGAGATGAAAGGCAGTTACAGAAGGCTCGCGATTCGACATGAGAGAAAGACCGGTCGCTTGGCGGCGATGATGCCAGACATGAGCCATTTCGATCCGGGAAGATGTTGGAGGGTTGTTTTTGATCATCGTTTCATGACGGGGATACGGTCTCGAACTAGAAAGAGTAAAACCTCGACTGCATGCATCGAGGAGGCAAAGTCCGCACTTGGCATCACATGCGGTGAGCGATGGAAGGACTAATGCAGTTGTTCGGTGTGTGTGAGTGGTAAGAAGGTGTTGTTGACTCCTGAAGTGGCGGTAGCTGTGCGGTTCGTGAAACACTGAGCGCCTTGAGATCCACATGTTTGACACGAGAGACGGCGTGGCGCTTGTGCGAAGCTGTCAGCCGGGCACGTGGAACACTGATGAGAGCATGGTTTCTCGGATGTCTTTTTAGCTTCTTTCTTCGCGGTACCGTGGCATGCCATACGCTGAGGCACAGGTGAAGGATGCTTGCCGCCTGTGGCTTTCTCGACCGCCAAATCAAGGTTCCGGGGCGCTGAGTTGGTGCGGCGCAATCTTTGATCCTCCTAAAGGCTGAAACAGCGACAGCTACAGCTTCTTAGGGTACGACCCTATCCTCGCCTGCAGGTTGGCGGGCGAAACCTGCTCACCCGAGTGTGTCAATCTCAGACGGTGCATCGAATGACCATCAACTGGAAAAGCATTGCCATCTAGCTCATGGCTGCTTCAACACGTGGGTTCCAAGCTCTCCCATCAAGTCACACAGACTCCTCGCCAACTGCGCCAGATTATTTCTGATATCATTAGTATAACTAGTCCCCAACGCTCGGACACCCATCCTCATCACACTAAGATCCACGAACTCACCTGCGTCAAACCGGAGACGAGGCTTTCCACTTCCCAAGAGAACACACGCATCTGCTTCGCGGCCGTCCAAGAAGATGGTGCATGCCTTTCCTGTTGTTCTGTGAGAGAGTTGCCTCGCTGCGTCATTTCCGAGCTCCAAAAGCGTCGATGGGTGTGTTCGGCGCTGCGTCGCCTGTACCAAAGACTTGACATGAGCTTAGATGCTGCAGTTGCTCGGCTAACAATCCAAGTCTGTCTTTTACCAGTTCCAACGAGGTTTTCACAGGATTTTCACAGGTATCATAGACGGGCATACGATCTGAAGAGGCCGGGGTCGGAGGTAGTGCTACGGTACCTTGATCGTTCATTTCTTTCTGGGCTTGAGTGCGATTGCTTTGCTGCTTCAGGGAAACCATTTCAGCCTCAAGGCTGCTGATACGCGTTTGGCAATCGAGTAGCCTGGCCTCGGTCTCCGCAAGGATCACTGCTTGTTGCGTGGTGTATTGGTCGACCTGAAGATTCTGTGAACGCAGTTCTTGGTTCTCCCGTCGCAACGCCTTGGCGTCGGCGGCATCTTTCGACGCTTGTCTGCTCAGTTGGCCGGCTTGTCGTTTAAGCTTTTGAACCTGTCGTCGAAGTTTGCGACTTCGTTTTCCGCCATGATTGAGCGACTTTACGTGCGATGAAGTCTTACTTTTACTTGCTGCTTGAGCAAATTCGTCCTCGCTCGAATCATCCCAAGCAATTCGCCATCTTTCGTACTGTGAAAACTGCGTCGATTGGAGCACCTCAAGCCGATCGGACAGGGAATTCTTCTCAGCCTGGAGGCTTTCCACCTCATGGACTAACGGCTGCAGGTAGAATTGGAGGCCCGGTAAGGGTTCGTCATTCGCGTCATGATTAGGCTCGAGTCGACGTAAAAGATCGCGGTTCTGCCCATTCAACGCTGCTAATTGTGCTCTGAAGTTGTTTGTTTGTTGAAAGTAGAGTCTGCACAAGCGGCCGATCTTTCCATTGGTCTCTTCTTCACCTCGATCTCTTTGTGTACGCTCCGCCGCGGACAAATCAGCTTCTGCCTGCGCTGAGGGCATGTGGTGCTCAAAGAGGTTGGCACAAGCTCGTGGCATATTTGCCGGAGCGGACGTGGCAATACCCATGTCCTCTTCAGCGTGGTCTCCGTCTTGACGTATCATGCATGGGCCTACGGGTGGTGCCCCCACACGCGAAGACTTCCAGAGCCGCTCCGGTCTTGGCGATGAATGCTTTTGCTCCCAAATGAAGCAGGCATGGCACCTGACATGCTCTGTATTCGCGTAGTGCCAATGCGGAGTCTCGGTAATAGCACAATTGAGACATGCCAGAGCTCCTTCGCTGAGAGGCCCTTGGCTAACAAATGAAGACCTTTGCCGTTCAGAAGATTGAATGGTTTCAGTGGTTTGGGCCATGTCGGCCACGGCTTTGTTGTAGACGCCATTCTCGTCATAGTGAGTGTCGAATCTGCGGCTTGAACGCCGTGGGTCTCGTCGAGACGCGGCTGTACGTGACTGTGAGAATGAAGAGGCGAGCGATTCCGGCGTGTGAGGCGAATGGCCTATATCTGAAGTCTCGCGGTTCTGGAGGCGTTGCCATAGTCTTTCTGGTCGAGGCTTGCCCACGTTTCTCTCATATGTGTCGCAAGTGCGGCAGTGGCCACGCACGTAGCTTTTGGCAGATGTCGTCCCGCAGTTTCGGCAAGTCTTCGACATGATCAAGTTCAGGACAAGTAGTGGCTGTAGGGACAGTTTCGGAGATCACGTGCAAAACTTGAACAAATACAGTAGCGGGCGAGGCTGAATAATAGCGATGCATTCTGAGTATCTATATATCGACAGGGCGTGGGAGGTGGTGCAGGTGGTGTGTCTAAAGGAGAGATTGAGTTGCGGGCTTCCCGCGTGAGCCGAGGATCTTGGCATTGACGTCTCATGCTCCCTCTTCACTTTGACCTCTGGAAGACATCCTCCACGATACCACGATACCCCATCCGTATTGGGCGGCAATCACGATGCCTCCTCCTCTCAATCCGCTCCCGGTATTGCGAACATGCGTGCTGCGACCACGCGCGATGGCTCTGCGGCCGAGCAACGCCGTCATTGGCGTCAAGCGACACTTCGCAAACCAGAAGGACTCACTCCCCCAGTCGGAAGACAAGTCTGGCCCCAATATGCACCAAGCTGAGCATGTGAGCGAAGAGGCTGCGAAGATGGCGAAGATTCAGGGTGGCGAAGGACCTGACGTGGAGGGCCAGGGAACACCAGTGCAAGATGTGCGAAACACACTGGCGAGGAAAGGGATGCGAATGCTGACACGGGGAACAGATCATGAGAAACGAGACGGACACTCTCAAGAATGCGCCGAAAGTGATGCAGAAGGATGCGAAAAGGGGGGATACCACAACTGCTTCCACCACACCTGGAGGCACACGCTCGTTCTCAACATGGGCACGACGACAGCAAGACCTCTCCCTCAACCCAGAACAAACCGGCTCGCTGGACCCGTCAATGCTGCCCACTGCTGAGCAACAGGCGCAGTACGCCGCCGAATTGGACGCTTCATCGAACGTGCCAGTGGAGAACCCGGGGCACAAATACCCGCTTCCCACTCTGCCGCTGCCCGGTAACCTACGAAAGGACAAACGCTACGATGCCATTGTTGACCAGGTCACCAACCTGATGATGATCGACGGCAAGAAGAGTGTTGCGCAGCGTAATATGGCTGTGATTCTCAACGTCTTGCGGACTTCCTCTCCTCCGACTTATGATCCTAGGCGGCCTCTACTACCCGGCGCGCCGCCAGCGTCTCACCTCCCGCTGAATCCAATTCTCTATCTCACACTGGCAATCGATAGCGTGGCTCCTTTGCTTCGAATTCGTGCGCAAAAAGGAGCAGCAGGTGGTGGTGTAGCTTTGCAGATCCCTGTGCCGTTGGGTCTGAGACAAAGAAGACGGCAGGCTTTTGTCTGGATTCTTGATAGTGCCTTAAAGAGGAAGAGCAGAGGTAGTGGGAGGGACATGTTCGCGCAAAAGATTGCCGAGGAGCTTATTGCTGTAGTGGAAGGGCGGAGCTCTGTGTGGGAGAAGAGGACGGGCGTCCACAAGCTGGCAACCACGGCGAGAGCAAATCTGAACTATGGAAGTCGACGCAAAAGATAAAGAAGTGCGGGCTTCTTGCCTGCAGAGCGCAAGCATTCTCAGGGACACGCAGGCCCGACAACGAGCTACAAAAGCTACTGAATAATCGCATGATGTGTGCGCACGTCTAATTGTATCACGTCTCCATCAAAATAAACATCATATCCCATGCAGAAAGTGTCGCGGCTCAAATGAAAAAGCACAACATCTGACATGCAATCAAGCGACCACCAATAAAGTTCAAAGTACCAAGCAAAACTTGGCAGAGGCTTGGCTCGAAACTTGGCACGGTTGTGCAAGTGAATGACGTTCGATAGGATTTACCAACGTCATAATCATACAGCAGAACGTACATATATACAGACTTGATCTCTCGAGTCTAACCCGACAAGCACAGACTACCGCGCATTCACATCAGAAAGAATCAAAATACATCAAGATGCCTGACATTATCGGAAAAGCCAAAGAAGCCATGGGCAAACACGAGGACAAGAAAGCCCAGCCTGGCAATCAAGTTGAGCAAAAAGCTGACGACGCCGCCAACCAAAGTATGATCTCCCTGAAAGAAGAGTGAAGAGGAAATGTGTTTCTAGAGATGGGGGTTTCTGATTTTAATTTGCAGAGATCAACGACGCCGCAAACCAGCAAGGCGTGCCGCAAGACATGGACAAGGGGATCGATGATGTGGCGGATCAGAAGATCAACAGCGATATTCCTGGCGGAAACTAGACTGGTGATGGAGAGTGCGATTATGCATAGTGTCTATGCGTACCAGAGTTGATCCGCCCTCATAACATTTCCAACTGTGGTTCCATTTCCGAGGCTGGCAGCTTCAGTGATGTACAACTCTCCATCGCCTCCTGTTACACACGCCACGACCGATTTTGAGTCCAGGAGCCGACGGTCGAATCTGAAATCATATCCGCCTTTCCTGTGTTGATGTCGACTTCTTGCAAGAAGATATGCCGCCCATCTTGCACGCCATTGATCGCTACCCATGTTTTCTTTACATCACGCGACAACGTGAACCCAATCGGCCGAGCCTGTGAGGTTCGCGGAGTCCTCTACCGGCCCCGTGGCGAAACCTGAAGAAGCACTAGGCACCCCAGCGAAGAGATGATGGTCTAGCCTGGTGAAGTAGAGGAGCTTGTTGTGAATGTTTGTCCCGTTGATTCCGACTCCGATGCCATCTGGTGTCGACTTCGTGGACGTGAAATTGGCATCACCATGCTGCTGAAATACAAATGACACAGTGAGACAACAATCACGTCAACTCCATTCCTTGGTACTAATGTTCGACGCGGTCGGAAGCTAAGAATACTTTGTATTTTGCAAAGGGATTCAGCGGCTCTTACGAAAACGAAGCCAAACTTAAGGTCCCCTCCGGACGCACATAAGAAACGGGCTCGTTTCGTTCATAGTGCCTAAAACTACGCTAGCGACACATCTTAAGGACTTCCGATCTTGCAAGCTCATATCTTGCTGCATATTGATTGGAAACAAAAGCAAGGACGTGAGGCTTTGCAATACAGTCTGGGACACGCTTAACATCGCGAATGCCGTATACGTGGACATGCAAAGTTCAAAAGCAACTCTGGTATACGTCAACCCGACGAGTCTCGAGCGTTGGCTGAGATGCATGTTGAACGCACGGCCCCCTGGGGCACGGACAGCTCGTTCACGTGCGTTTCTTGGCGCTGATTCGCGAGAGCGGACAAGTAGTGCTCTATTTGATGTCGACATCACGTGGTTGGTGCCGAACAAGGCTCGTGGAGTATGACGGAGTCCAAATGCGCTATCAGCACTTGCAGATCGCGGCCAACGGTTGGCCGTCGTAGGAACTTGACTGTTGACCTCTTCTGATCCTCGAAGCTATGCGATTGAGATTTGTTGGGCTGATGGAGAGGTGAGAGAAAGACTGAGGATGGGAACAGGATAAATTCGCCGAGAATTGCAAACGCTAGAGCTAGGTTTCGTCGAGCTCTGTTCCAATTCAGATCACATATGTAGTGCAAAGAAAATCACATCCTGTATCTGAACCCAACCATATTCCTATCCGTCACCTCTTCCTCACCATCCTCGCCGGCAGTTGCTACCCCTTTGCCCTCAAATTTCTCTCTCCTTCTATTCTCCCAAACCAAGTATCCCCTCAGCCCCATCGCCCCCACAAGCACAAGCGCATAACAAACCATGATAGCGCGAAAAGCCGTCTGATACCTCGGCGCCTCACTATCCTTGAAAAACTGCGGCCCGGAAAGATTCCCAGCACAGTAGGCCAAGAAAAGCAGAGCGGTCATTGTCATTTTTTTCGTGGAGCCTTTGTAGTCGACACCCACCAGTGACATTGACAGGGGCAAGGCAGCCGGTCCCGTGGAGAGGAGATAGTATCCAAACAGCTTCACTCCTTGTGAAGGCCCCTGGGCGTAGATGATCGCGGATCCAATCACCGGGCAGATGACCACACAGCAGATGAGGTATAAGCTGATGTTGCTCCAGCGCCCCGCTGCTCGACCGGTGAGCATGATGGTGAAGAAAGAGATGAAAGAAGCCGGAAGGGTAACAAGCGTCGTCTGCAAGCTCGTAAACCCAAAGCCCTTCAAAACCAGATTGCCGAAATTCTGTGTTCCGCCGTTTGGGATCTGCGTTAGCAGCGAGATTGCGAAGAAGAGAAACGTCTTGGGATCGGTGAGACATTCGATCGTCTGAGCAGGAATCCAGGCACTTCTCGTTCTCCCCGTCCCGGAGAGTTCCACGCGTGTTTGTGCGAGTTTCTTCTCTTCGGTCGTGAGAAAGGCAGCACTCGCGATGGAATTCGGAAGCATGAAGAGTAAAACGAAAGCCCAGAGGAACGTCATTCCTCCGAGCACAATGTACATCCACTGCCACGGCTCCAGGCGATTGTCGACATGTCCGAGTCCATAAGCCAGGAAACTCGTAGCAACGCCTCCAAGAGAGTTCCCGGCGAACCAGATTCCGACCCTCGTGGGGACTTCGTCGCGCGTATACCAGGAACTCGTAATGAACAAGAAAGCCGGACTGATGGTGGCTTCGGCTACACCCAGGAGGAATCTCACGGTCATGAGACCTCCGTAATTCGTACAAGCAGCCGTGAGAGCAACGACAGCACCCCAGAGGAACGTATTTCCAGCCACATATGTCCCAATAGGGAATCGTTGAATGAGAATCGTGGTAGGGTACTCCCAGAACAGGTAGCCAAAGTAGAAAATAGAAGACACCCAGCTATACTGAGTCCCGTGGAGATGTGTAGATTCTTTCAATCCGAATACCGCAGCGGAGGAGAGGATAGTTTTGTCCTATTCACATGATACTCAGCAAACATTCACATCCAGTGCGTGTCGCTTGGTGGATTTTCTTTGCTAACCATAAAATTCAAAGTATATGTGACAAAAAGCAATGGAATTATCCGGAAATCAATCTTTCGCACGACTGTCTTCGCCTCTGGGGGTAGAAGAGCATCGTGGGACTCATCTGCATGGCTTGCTTCCGATGTGGGAGAGGATGCGACGTTGACGCCTTGTTTATTGTCCATAACACTCGGAGGCCGACGGGGATTGCGAGACGGGAAAACGCAGAAGTCTTTTGGGTTCTGATGGGCAAAGTTCCAGGTTTTCCTGTCTGAGCTAGGGTGAGAAAGTGTGTTCCCAAAGTCGATATGATGCCTCGAGACCTACCAATGCATTAGCAAGGATAGGCCAGCTTTCGGCAAAGATAACGAAATTGCCGATGGGGGAAGGAGGCAACGTGCATAATCTTAACACACTTGTGAAAGCACGCGCACTGGCTAAAGGTAGAACATTTGTTTGTAAGCTACTTGTTCGGTAGCGGTATCTCAGTAAGGTATAGTTACTATACAGCATCATACCAGTCATAGTTCCATCCCCACAGGAGGAGTGGTGAATCCAGAGCGCCAACGCTAATCCGATCATTCAAATGACAATGAAGCTACCGATCCCTTCTCACCACGCTGCGACTTCCCGCAGGTGGTTTCTTCTCCCCAAAGTTATGTAGCCTTTCGCCGACGAGATAAACTTCATCTCGGATTCGACTCCTCCACCTACTAGTAGCACGAGACAGTTCCTTGCTGCCAATTCCGATCGCGACCAGACCAGCGGCCATCGGGTAGCTGAAGCGGTATATCAGAACTCCCAATTCCCCAACGGCGGCAGGAATGAAGAACGAGATGCTGCCAATGATGACCTGCGCGAGACCGAGTGGTGCAACCAGAAGGATCGCACCAATCAAGACGACAGGTAAGATGAAGAAACGAGTAGCAAGTCGGGCATTCGGATTGAAGTATCCGTCAGCGAAAACACGACGCACAGCCTCAGCGCCACGAGAGCCAGGAGCTGTCACCACGGTGCGACAGAGGTTGACCAGCATGAATCCCAAAGCTCCATCTGATAGTGCGTAGATGTTGTGTTCGACAACGCGAGTAGATCCGGCTTGTCCTGTCTGATTGCCATTCTGTACAAATGAGGTGGTCAGGTTGGTGCCATTTGTCGGTGCCGAAATAGTGAGGTTGAGGCCGGTGACATTTACAAGTGTGTCTTCCACCAAAGGACCGAGCGCAGAGTGCATGTAGGTGTGAAGCGGAGCCAGAAAGTAGAGTTGTAGCAGCATGACAACCACTGCGGGCACAACCGTAGCCGCAAAGCCGTAGACATAGGCGCATTTCAACGCTCGAGTCCCGTACTTCTTCGAAGTCTCGACCCAGACTTGAACATCGATGGCCTGTACCTTTTGCCTGAGATACTGCGCACCTGATTGACCCTTGAACGCAATGTACAGACAGCCTCCCAGGATGTATGCGCCAATGCAGTGGGCATAGATGTCGTTGACTTTGATTTCCACCGGCAGTAGAGACTTCAGAACATACCGCCCGAATACAAGTGGCACCAGCGTCGCGCAAAGACCTGCGAAAGCGGAGAACAGCCACAGGCAAACCATGAACAGAGTGACTCTGAGTCGGAAAAATGGAGGAACGTACACTTTCGCGAAGTGATCGCTCTTCTTGCCGTCTTTGTCCGCGATGTAGACATCCTCATCATCAGCGTGCAGGAAGGCCTCGCCAGGTTTTGGTGGTCGGTACTGATCGTTGCAAGGCGTTAAGACATACTTGCCGTCTCGTTTGAAGTAGACCTCAGGCAGCTCTCCGTTCTTGGTCAGTTGCGTTTTGGAAGGCACGGTAGGCCTTTCGGGACTCGCCTTCTTCATCATCAGGAAGCTGATCCACGACGTGTGCACATGTGTCCCTTCTTCATCCTTTCTGCGGTCGTCGAACAAGAAATGAGACAGGCGTAGGCCTCTCGCGCAGTGCCGCAGCCACCAGGCGTACATGGTGCTGATGATCTTGGCAGTATTAAAGAGTTTGATGCTCAGCGGGACAACGAGATTGTACAGGAAGAGGTCGAACGGAAACTCCAAAACCGGGTCGGTCGAGATCCAATTTATTGGAAAAATGCCTTTGAAGACCCGTCCAATCGACCAAATGACTCCACCAAGGCAGATGCTTACCAGGAGGCCGTACACCAATGCGCTGAACGCAATCTTGCGCAGTTGTGTGATAACATTGCGCTCCAGAACATCACGGACTGGATGGAACGTCGGGTCGTCTGGATCGCGAATGAACCATAAGACGCCCTTGCGCAGAATCTTGCGGCACATAGCGACGAAAAGCGCGAAGTGGAACATGTAACCAGTTCCCACAAACCAGTGCCAGAAGCAGAAGGTGTACGGTGAGTGCACAGCAAATGCCCAGCGCGTTGCCACTGAGGCGTTGTTGAAGAGGGGCAAAGAGGCTATGTCCAGCAGCAGACCGCAGTAGAGCGGGAAGACGAGCATCTCGATGCTAATGATGAGAATCACTTTGAAGACGCCGCCAGCCTGACGGAGTGAGTCGCGAACCACCTTTTCGGCCTTCTGGCCTGCTTGAGATCGCGTGATTGGGGTATCCGCAGCGACATAGATGGTTGCGAGGGCGGCCAACGCCATGTATCCAGCGAGAACCGCAAGACCACGGTCGTTCGAATTCCAGTAAACGAGCGCAGGGTCCATGGGCACCTGCTCTGACGGGATGACAAGAGTACCATTCCTCAGGTTGCCAATGATGTCAAGCCAAGGGCGTGTGTATTGTCCGAGTGCTTCAAGACCAGCCAACAATTTTGCTGGAACGGCATGGACGTGAGACATGGCACTAGAAACACGCCCCCACAAGAAAGACGTAGAGCCCGAAGAGATGGTCTCAACCACAGAAGTAATGAAATGACCAATGCGATTCAGCATAGAGTTCACTTCGGCCTCAAGGGTTTTAAGCGAAGCGTGAGCGTGTACCGAGGCGCTTAAAAAGGCCCAGTTCCAACCAGGCATCCCAGGATAGCCGACTGGCGCTTCGCTGAGAAGCAAATTTTGCAGTCTATACCCGGCATTCGCGGCAGTCGAGGTCACGAACTTCGTGATCCACTGGAAAGCATCGGAATCTCTGTATGTCGGCGCCCAGGTTGTGAAAACACTCAGGATAAGTCCAACGCCAAGGCCAAGCACAAAAACAAACCAGCCAACAACCAGTAGCGTGAGATCAATCAACAGGTCGGCGATGAAGGATGCTACCTGCAATGGCGTCTTGACGAGGAAGGTGACAGGCGCGCCAATGAAGGATAGTACCAGCTTGCCCCAGACGTATGGTAGACCAACGGCACCAAACACCGTACCTGTGACGAGGACACTACAGAAGCACGATGTCTGGAAAAGGCCGATGAGTGGGCCTTGGAGTCCAATGAGTTCGAGAATGCCTTCAAGGTCTTCTGCATCCTCGATGGCCTCGGCATCTAGACCGGCTTGCTGGGCGGCAGCAACGACTTCAGGATCATTCTGTTGCTCTTCCTCGTGGTGTGGGTTGTCGGGGATGGCAGGTTGTCCACCCTGGACGGGCACAAATGGCGCTTGTTGAGCGTCCTCGCCCTCGCCCACCATTTCCTCATTCGGATCCGCCAGTGGTTCTAGCGTACCTGGTGCCTCGATGTCTCCCCAAAACCAGTCCACGAGCTTCGTCCACGCATTTGCCGGCGGGCCTTGCTGCTGACTGAGAGCCGGCTCAGTTGGACGAGAGTGGTTGTCGACAGCGTCATCTCCAGCGATATCGATTCGAGAAGCTCTTTCTGTTTCTTGACCATCTTCAACATCAAGAGCGTTGTCCTCCCGCTGCTGCGCCTCGTCTGTGCTGTGCTTTTCTGGCTCGGCGCCTTCGAAATGGAACACATTGATAGCTGTCTCAGTCGGTTCGCTTTGCTGCGACGCAGGGATAGCCGAAGACTCAGCAGTAGCGCTTTTGGCGCGATCCTGGCGAATTTCCTCCCCTTGCTTGAGCAGGTCCATAAGCTCTTCATTTGAGAGTATGTCTGACGGCGGCTTCGGCTCTGGGACAATACTCTTCGCATTCTTCTTGCCAGTACGTTTGATGTTAACTTTGGCATCGGGCCCGGCGTTCGTTATCGGAATCTCGTCGTTCTCGTCCTGGAAGATATCCCTGTGATCTACCTGCTCGGCTGGCTCTTCTGGTGGGCTCACTTGTTGCCAGCTGCCTTCGGTGGACGAATCACTGACAACACTTGCACTCTCAGTTCCGAGCTCTGCATTCGCAGTCGGCGAGGATGTGTGATGCCGGCCATCGGGAGACAAGGCAATGTCGGCCTCCTCTAAGATGCGCTGAATTTGAGTAGCTCGCGAGATGGTGTCCCGGGTCGGCATGGGCGGTCTTCTAGTATTGCTGTTCGCATCGTCTTCGATCTCAGGAACTAAAATGCCAAACCGTTCACTGAAAGCTTCCTTAGAATGGCCGAGCTCTTTAAGTTCAGAAACGAAGATCTCTTCCCAAGCTTCCCGGTCTTGATCAGATAGCAAGGCCAGCTTCCCGTAAACTTTTTCAGCGACTTCTGCCGCGCTGGAGTCTGACGAATTCGATACACGGACCTGAGCCATCACTTCGCGGACGATCTTCTCGAACTCGTCTCGAGCCTCGGCATGGCTGCTCTGTAGACTCTTGTTCGCGGAATCAATGAGCGAGCTCAGATTCTCCCACCCTTTGAATTCTTCCCTGGCTCCCGCGGCGCTGCTGCTGCTCTCGCCTTCCAAAGCCTCCGCTTCAGCCTGCAGTGTTGCAAGCCGCTCCCGCGCCTGATCGAGCAACTCAGCCTGTCTCATCAATCTTTCTCTTTCCCTCACCAATCTCTCACGTTCTCGTTGCTCGTGATTGAGGTTATCAAGGTTGACAAGCGGTTGCTGCTGCACCACCCATTCTCTAATCAGGAAGACCAAAATGAAGCCTGTGATAACGACGCAAGTTATAAGCTGGCCTTCAAAGACGTCGAGAATGACACCATTCAGCTGAGGGCTGGCCGTCATTTCGGAAATATAGGTCCAGGAGGAGAGGATCGAGACGTCAGCGCGGGGCCAGATATCTGTGGCATTTCGAGCTTCATCCACCGTGGGAGTCGCGTTGAATGCGTTATTCACGAGACCAGAGATCATGTCCACTGTCGTTTCAGTGTGTTGTGCCTCGGCAGAGCCTATCCGGCCATGCCACACTTGCTCGAAAGCCGTGTAGAGAGTGTCAGAGAAGGACAGGTCGCCGACCTGTGAAGTAACGGCGGTTGTGTGGTTGGATCGACTGTCCGGTTGCATTTTGCGTATGAAAGTCTCTCTTGCCCATCCAGCGTCCGCGAACCAGAACATCCATCTCCAGGCCCATCGAATCATGTAGGGCAATACCACCAACCAGACGCTACTCACAAGCAGAGCTCGGATTGCTTGTACGGCAAACACAACCGCATGTACACATGCTCTTCTCGCGAAAACCGTCCAGGGAAGCCTCTTGGGCATGTTCGCATCGTACAGCTTCGTGAAGCGGAAAGGCGTCTTGCACAGCTCGCAGTGCTTCTTGTGAGAGTGAGAAAGCCATTCCATCAGACATTCCTGATGGACGAACTTGATGCTGCCGCTGCATTTGCAGGGGTAGAACAGAGGTTCTTGAGGCGTGTCTTCGCTCCGACATATACGACAAGTGTCCGCGCCAAAAGCACTCTCGCTCCCGAACTTGGATGAAGTGGTATCTCGGCGTTGTGGAGGGGCGAAGGCGGGATCGTTCATGATGTCGGGCGCGTCGGGCGAGGGCACGAATTTGACGGCATCGGGATCGACCGAATCGTCCATGGTGGAAGGATGCCGGGTGGTAAGGGGACAATACCGTAGGAGATTGGTAGAGCTGCCGCGTGGGCTGAAACGGTGATGATTAGGTCGTCATCGAACTGCCACTCCGTCCACCAACTCGAAGAGGGGATGTACTCCGATGGGGGAGCAAGCGCGCCAGTTGGCCAGGTCGTTAGATGATGGCTTGAGGTTGCTTATCGGGGTGGGGCGGTGCGTAGGAGGATGTGCAGAGGTCGTTTAACCCGGCTGATGTATCATGTGTCGTGGCAGCGCCGACGGGCGACAACTGCCAGAGATGGCGGCTTCGAGGTCACGTGCGCAGCGCTGAGTGACAGTGCGGACTGCCCCTTGCGGCAAGATCGCGCAATGAGATCGATTCAGAGGCTGATTACGAGAGTCAGAGCGCTCCCGAAGGAGGAACGTCAATGAGTGCGCGAGTCGTGGGTTCGGGGGGTGCGTGGTGGCAGACAACGTGTTGGACGTGAACGACGCCAAGAATGACAGTGGTGAAGACGCAACGGTTGAGGGTTGCGCTGCACGGTGAAGTCACTGGCAGACGTCGCTTCAACGGTGCATCTTCTTGCTGCCAACGGAACTCAGGTACTACTACATGTACTACTACTGCTGCTGCTGCTGCTGCTGCCACACACACACGAGGAGACCGCCCCTTTCTGTCCATCTTCTCCTTCTCTTTCTTTCTCCCTCTCCTTCTTCTGCCTACCACCCTCTCTTTTTTGTTCGCGGAAGGCTCAATTCGAACTTCGTCGTCGCTTCCCTGCCGCCCGCATGCTGGTTGATTCAAGGTTGCTCATCAAAGTTGATGCAGCCGTCGTCCCGAGTCGCGTGGAGAACAAGCTCTCCGCGCTAGCACCACACGCTACATCCACCGCCGACATGGCTGCCGGAAATCATGGCTCCTTCAAGTCCTCCACGACTGCAACAACACCGCGTGACAAGGCCACCATGAACGGCTCCATCCACGGCGGCCAGTCCGGCAGGTCGTCGCGATCCAGACGAAAGCCCAGCAGAACCTACACCGGCTGGGTCGCCGACAAGATAACGAAAGTCGTCGTCTGGTACCTGATCATCACCTTCGCGTTTCGTTGTCCCGCATCCCAGAAGGAACTCAAGGATAGCTCACCGAGAATATGCAAACCGTACCTCCAGAGCAAAGACTACGCCACGCCGTACCTGCAACCGTATTACGACCAGTACCTCTCCCCCTACGTGCAGCATGCTCAGCCATACGTCGACCGCTTCAATGAACACGTCTACAAGCCTGGCTACAACGTATACCAGCAATATGGCGCTCCCAGAATCGCCGATGCTCAAGTGTTTGGTGCAAACCAATGGGAGAAGACGATCCGCCCCCAGCTGCTCGTGTTGCAGAAGCAGTCGGGCAAGCAGTATCAGGCACACCTCGCTCCACACGTCAAAAAGGTGCAGAATGTCGTCCAGCCATACTATGACTCGGTAGCCACATCTGCCAGCGATCTCTGGGAACTAGAGCTGGGACCGGCCTACCGTAAGACGAGACCGTATGCGGAGAAGGTTTATCTTCAAGGGCACGAGTTCGCGGTCAACACTGCGCTTCCGCAAGCTCAATACGTGGGAGGCGCCGCATGGAGCTTCTGGACACGTCAGATTTGGCCGAGAGTGCGCGTTCTGTACGGCGAGAACGTCGAGCCTCAGCTCATGCGCATCACCGAGCGTTTGGGTCGATACAAGGATGGAAAGAAGCTCGAGGCCGAGATTAAGAGCTTCGAGAGCGCTTCCAAACTTGCAGAGGCTTCTTTCAGCGCCAGCTCTGCCGCATCCTCGATCTCTTCAACCGTGAAGGAGGCCACCGCAAGCCCGTCGTCTGCTGCCAGCCAAGCCGCTACCGAGCCAGAGTCGACTTCTGATCCAAAGGAGCGATTCCGCGAAGACCTGAAGAGCTGGGAACATGTCTGTGCCAAGGCTGTTGAGGAAGGCGCAGAGGACCTGAAAGAGCGTGTCACGGAGATCACCGACCGCCAGATCAGCAATGCGGAGGGCACCGGCAATGCTTTGGTCACGCAGCTCGACCAGACCGTCGAGGGCGTAGTCAACAGCGTCAAGGCTCGCGTTTTGCAGATCGTAGGTCAAATGCCTGAGGATGCAACGACGGAACAGATTGAGACTGCTAATGAGGACCTGGTCCTCGCTATTCGCAACGCTGGTCAGAATGTCAAGCACCGCGCACAGGCTGTTCGTGAATGGCGACAAAGCGCAGTTCATGAGACGGGAGATCTTGTGGGAAAGGCTCTACAGTCTACTCTCGAGACGATCGACAGCATCCGCGAGCTCCGTCTTACCGAAATTGGCCGCAAGTATGCACATTCATCTCTTCCGCATAAGGAATGGAGCAGATACAACGACATCAAAAAGGCTACACAGACGTGGCGAAATGATGTCGAGAAAGCTGCCCATGCCCACGAGGGAATCCGCAATACTCACACCGCCTTTGACGACATCGAGCACATTGCTATGAGCATCGCCGAGGATGCTGCCAAGGAACTTGGTCGATTGAAGCAGGTCGGCAAGTGGAAGATTGCCGCACAGGATGATAGCGACGACTTTACGACGAAGACCGTTCCGCCACCTGTCAAGAAGGCCAAAGACCAGGTCGTTGAGAAGGTTGCTGAGGCGTCACGGGCTATTTTCGACGAGGAGCCAGAGCAGGGAGGCGTCGAAAGTGCCACATCGGTCGCTGCTGAGAAAGCTTCTCAGGCTGCGTCCAGCATCTCCGAGGCTGTCGTGGGATCTTCTACCGGATCTGTCAAAAGCGCAGCCAGCGAGGCATCAAAAAGGATCGTTGGTTCAGACTCGCCAGCTAGCAAGGCCTCCAAATCTGCGAAGAGCATTGCATCAGCTGCTTCGAGCTCAGTCATTGGCAGTGAGCCCGGCCTGTCGGACACTGCTACCATGATCGCATCTTCGGCATCTTCAGCAATCATTGGCTCGGACTCGCCGGCGAGCAGAGCTTCTAAGTCCGCAGAAAGCGTAGCTTCTGCCGCATCCAAAGTGGTCGCTGGTAGCGAGTCTAACATCTACGACACGGCTACAGACGCCGCATCTTCAGTATCTTCTGTGGCCGCGTCCGCTTCCTCCCATGTTGCGGATGAGCCAATGACGAAGAGCGCTGGATCCAAGCTTTCTAGCATCCTTTCCGCACAAAAGTCAAACGTTGACTCAGCAAGTAAAAGTGCCGGCAGCGTCGCTAGCGAAGCCTCGAAGAGTGGTTCATCTGTTGTCGAAAGCTTGACCGGACCCTCAAAATCGACTGACAAGATCTCCAAGAGCGCATCGTCGGCTGCCAGCAAGGTCTCCTCGCAAGTATCTTCAGCGGCCAGTGCCGCTTCAGGAGCCATTCCAGATGCTGAAGCTGTTGCTCAGGCTGCCGAGGGAGCCGCTCATGCCGCCACTGAAAGCTCCAAGAAGGTCTTGGGAGGTGCTATGGCCCAGGTACTGGTAGAACCTCGAGAGCCCATCATGGAAGAGGACATAATCGACGCAGCTAAACGATCGAGCTCCAGGATCCAATCCATGGCCAGCGTTGCGGGCGATAAATCAAGTGAGCTCACCAAGGCTGTTCAAGATGCCATCAAGGCCGCCACAAAGACTCAGGGTGCGGTCGAGAGTGCTACCAGCGTTGCATCTGAACAGTATGAGAGCGCCCTAGCCGCTGCCAGCAGCGTCCTTTTTGGTACCCAAAACGCAGTCGAGAAAGGTAGCTCTGTTGCCAATGAGCAGTACCTGTCTGCTGTGACGGCCGCATCGTATGCAATCTATGGTACTCCCGCAACTGCTGCTCCGATTGCTGCCGCCAGCTCCGCGTATGACAGCGCGATGACTGAGGCATCAAAGCAATACGATGCCGTCAAGTCTCGCATCTCAGAAAAGATTTCCGGCACGCCAAAGCCTGTCCACGAGGAGATGCTCTCGTCGGCAGAGTCAGCTTATTCTGCTGCCATTGCTGCGGCCAGTGATGGGTACAAATCTGCATTCCCAACGACAACACAGAATTTATACGAGAGCATTTCATCGGTCGCAGCTTCTCGACTTTCTGAAGGTGTCAGCGCTGCTTCTGACCAGTACAAGAGCGCAAAGAAAGCTGTGGGCGCGGAGCCTACTCCTGTCCATCAGCAATACCTTGCATCTGCGCAGAAGGCTTACTACGAAGCACTTGGTGTTGCTCATGGTCGCTATTCGGAGTTTCTTGATGCAGCATCAAGCGTCGTCGGTGCTACGCCTTCTCCAAAGTCACCCTCCGATCAACTCTACCATGCCATGTCTGGGGCTCGCGACGGTTATAGCTCCTATCTTGATGATGCCAGATCACGTTACAGCCAAATGGTCAGTATCGCAAGCGACGCAGCCAAGGCTCAGGGTCACAAGAGCATTCCTAGCGATGCCCTCGAGAACTTGCAGGGCCAAATGGCTGACGCATCTTCAATTGCCATCTCTCGACTTGCTGCAGCATCTTCAGAAGTCAGCGCGGCTGTCTACGGCACACCTGCGCCCGTGACCGAATCGCTCGCAAGCCGTGCAAGTGAGAATTGGGAGTCGTTGGTCTCGAAGGCCAGCGAACAAGTGTACGGTCCGCCTCCACCCTTCACTGATGTTGCAGTCAGCCGTGCAAATGGGTTCGTAGCACAAGCCAATGAGGCTGCTTCTACTCAATGGGATGCTGTGCAAAGCATCTTCTCTGAGCTTGTGGTTGGCAAGGAGCCTAGCTTCACCGAGAGCGTCTACAGCCGACTACAGTCTGCCTACTCGACCGGCGCTCCAGCCATGATGTCCCGGGCATCCAGCTACGCAAGCAACGCCTACGAATCGGCGACATCTGTCGTGTCCGCGGTGTTTGTGCCTCCAACTCAAGTCCCTGGAATCGTCGAGCAGATGCAAGAACAGATCAATGCTGCGGTAGATGCCGCTAGTACCCAAGTATACGGGACATCAAAGGGCACTGTTGAGGTAAGTTTCTTCTCAAGCCTTTGTAATTGTGTGAATCACTGCTAACAATGTCGCAGCAGGCAACCGAAGCGGCCGCATCCATGTACAGCGACGCCGCTTCAAAGGCAAGCGAGGCCGTTTACGGCCGGGAGACGAACTATCTCGTAGCCGCCCGGTCGAATGTAGCAGACATCGTTGCCTCCGCTTCAAGCGCTATCCACGGCGCCATTTACGGCTCGCCAACCGGAACTGCAGAGGCCGCCTCCAGCGCTGCTGCATCAGTCTATAGCTCGATTGCAAGCCAGGCATCTCAGCAAGCTTCTGCTGCTTCTTCGGCAGTGAGCAGTGCTATTTATGGTGAGGAGCAGACCTACCTCGAGGGAGTGCAGAGCCAGCTCTCCGTCGCCATGGCGAGCGCCCAGAGCAGACTTGAAGAGATAGCAGTTCAGGCTAGCAAAGGCGCTGCCGATGCGTACACCAGCGCCGGTTCAGCTGCGTCTCAGGCGGCGAGCAGCATCGTTTCTGCTGCTAGCACGGCCACCGAAAGGGCGAGGGACGAACTATAAAGCAGAAGCTTATGGTTTTATCCACACCTAGCCATCACGAGAGAAAGACAGTACGAATGACAATCCGAAATGGAGAAGGTATCCACACACACACACACACACACACACACACACACACACACACACACACACACGAAAGAAGAAAGGAGCAGACAGGTGTGGGGAGGAAGCAAGGTCATTGTACACACGACGGGACGCCGGGTCCTTTTTCCTTTTCGTTTTTCCTTTTTGGTTGTTTCTGTCCGGCGACGGCGCAAGCACGATATCCACAACCCAGAGCAGAAAGAGAGATTTCGATCAGAACGTTTCTTATCATGGAAGACTTTATACGAAATGCCCTATGTATGAGGCTGGAACAGCTCCTTGTGTAATGAGTAGCAATAGGATTAAGTGAGGGATGGAAGGAGGGGAGTTCATTATGAGGGCTTCTTCGATTTTCTTTGTGGTCTGGTCCTCTTGCCCTTCTGCACTGCTCCAGTCCGATTATGCCGTGTTTCCTTGGTGGATGTTGCTGGGCTCGTGCCCTTGTCATCCTCCCCACAGTGTGATGTCCCGATCCTTCAGTAGTTCAAGCCGGGGTTCGGATCCAGCTGTAATACTTCCAACGGGCTCAGTGCCTAGGCTGCACTGTCGTCACGAGGAATTTCCAATGGAAAGCTCGCATCCCAGCAGCAGCAGCCCGCAACGTACATTGCCATACTCGTGGTATCAGGCCCGATTATAATGATCCGATCGAATCGAGCAGGTAGCATCCAGAAAATAGTTGAGGGGAGAGAGGGAAACCTCGTTGGAAAGGAAGCGCAGAGAGCTTTCCGAAGCCTTCGCTGATCCATCACATAAGTAGCGGGACAGTCACTCGCGCGCGTGCGAAGTGAAATAGCACGCGCTTTCACATGCCAAAACTTTGCTCACTTTGTTTGGCCGAGAATATGCCGAACAAACGAGATTCGCAATACGCAGGGCCATACGACATTGGAAAGCATCTGCGCGAGAGGGTAGTTCATCTGTCATGCATCAGGTCGCCGCTCTGAGGAGATCCCACATGCGCTGAGGCACGTGGCGACCTTTGGCAGTTCGTCGGGAGCTTCTCAGAAAATAGATTGCTTGATATAGATTAGGGTGTCGTACCAGACATGGGAGCGAATTTTCCAGGTGACGAATTCAGATGGTGAGGTTTGAAGAGGGCATCGCTCGGTTGTAACGACTCGGATTAGCGTATTCCCGGCGACGGCAACGTCAAAAGTTCCTTTCCTTATGTCCAAAGTTTTCTCTTGGTTCACATAGCTGACTTGAGCACAGCCATTCTGCTTATACCCACGGAGACCAGATCTGGGCAGCCTGGAGCAGACAGAGGCAGGCAGTCGAGGCCCCTGCTGGACATCCCTTCAGGACCAAGAGCCGAAAGAGTGGGCCACTCAACCGTCACAGCAACTGAGCAAACACCTATGCAAGCTCTGATCTTTTTCAGGACAAGCTTTTGTCTGGAGACGTGTATTCCATGATTTGCCCCTTCGGCGACTAAAAGCTCAGCGTTCGGGATCGTCGATGCAATCAACCTAGAGTTCTCTGAGATGACGGTCGTCAGTGGGGAGCCTGTAATATTTGGTCGAGAATCCGGATAGCCTTAACAGGAGGACGTATTCAATCTATCTCACCAACCACTACTAGCGTCTTCGCTGTGATGTGAGAACTCTGCCCATGGTCACGGGAGTCGAAGGAGAGAACGCGAAGCTTGTCGCTGAGCTGGTCGTGAATGCTGAAGTCTGATCGATGAAAATGAGTACTGTGATGAGATGTGTAAGAGAGGCGCGCTATTATCTTGACCACGTCCGCCGTGCACTGTAGTGAACAAAGGTGCATGTGCTGAACCTCGAATCTGGTATGCTGTGTATGCGCCGTTGACATTGACCAAGTCGACCATATCGGGGTATTGCGAGTTGGTACCTGCGGACGGATACGACTCGGGAGTATTATGCAGGGCTTTCCAGTAAGGTGTCGTGCCTGGCTAGCCTTATAGTTGGCATGCCGATGAACCAATTTGTCGGCAGACGAATTGCCAAAATCTTGCCGTGAAGCGCTTAATTACGGATGACCAACGTGGCTGAAACAAATCGTGTTAAGTAACAAACCTCTGTCGACTGAGCGAACATGGTTAGCGACGGGTTCATTGTCATGGACGACTCAGCAACAGGTCTTTGACTACACTGAAAGAGCAAGATGAGAAGAGTGGGCGTGAGGCAGCAGATGACACTCGTTTCAATTGGACTCGACCGTGTCAAGAACCTGGTATCATAGCTATCCGGATGCAAAATCCATATCAAAACCCATCAATCATAATCTTGCTGCCGTTGGTCGCATCGCCGCTGGTCGTAGTAGGTATGAGAGGCAAGACCTTTCGGAGGACTCGGGTCGCTTAGATTCCTTGCTTGTTGGCACTCGCAGAGGCGTCGTGCTGTGGCCAAGTCAGTGTCTAATTCTCCGCAAGAGGGAGGAGAGTTGCTTACCTTGCTCTGGTCAAGCTTGTCCTGACCGGCACCGAGGGCACCAGAGACACGGTCGCCGATGGAGTCCTTACCGGGGACGTTGCCCTTGGCCTGCTGCTTGTTGGCCTCCTTGCTGGCCTCGGCAGACGAGCCCTGGACGCTCTCAGAGACGTAGTTGGCGGCGTTCTTGACGGAGTTGATGGTCGAGCCGACGATGCCCTCGTTGGGGTTGTTGGCGTTTGGTGCAGACATTTTGAAGTGTGGTGGTTGGTTGTTGGTTGAGCGTGAAAGAGTTGTTGTTGGTGGTGCTTGGAGTGGTGGTTGCTTGTTTGTTGATGTCGAGAAGAGGGAGGGGTAGACAATGGAGGGGCTCTTTTATGTTGACCCTCCAGCGCCTTCCTTATGATGACGTCGTGTCTTCACGGCCACAGTGACGCCTTCCCCCCATTCCATTCCAGCTGTGCAGGTCCTTCCACATGCAGTCATTGCCAGCTGGCTTCTGTTTGCATCTAGGCCCAAGCCTCCTGTGCCCTACGCACCTGACGCCTGCCCAGCCTGTCGCCTTTCACATGAACATGATATGACGAGTAAATGACGCAAGATTCACCCTTGCGAGTTCCAAGCAAGATCCGTGGAGCAAGCACGTCAGACTCGCGTCGGGGCGGGCCGAGATGTCACATGCTGCCGGGTACAGCCCGCTGCAATCTCTTCGCGATGCCCAATCACCGCGCGCACAATCATCTGCGATCTCGATCTCACATCGTCTTCGCACAGAGACAACGCCTGGTGCTTTCTGCCATTGTCCCGCAATATCTCCGACGACGGTTCACTTCAGCGGCTCAAAGTAAGCTTTAGTAGCCTTCATAACCTCGCTCAGCCATGCAAAGAGCCATGTAAATCACTCCGATATTCTTGTGTTCTCACTACAAGAGCTGATGGAGATCAGAGTTCACGCGGCCAACGCATTCGGCAATAGCTGCCGTTTCTGGAGCATGAGTACGGCGACACGCAGCTCATCAACTTCCATTATCCGCGACTTCTAAGTTACGCCAGCCCCTCGTACATCCAGCAAAGATGGGCGAAGAGCGCATCCTCGAGAGAACTTCGCATGATCCCCCAACAGAGAGGAGAGACAGGTGACATCGAACAGCAATTCGATTGTTCTACGCGTCACCGATATCTGACCTTCTGTCCGCCTCGGGCCTCCATTTTGGCTTGGCGCTTGCTTTGAGCCCCGTTCACTTGTGGGCCTGTCTCCTGACCGCCGCCCATCATGCCTCCCACGCCGCTCTTGACTCCGCTATACGTCGTGAAAGCCAGCCAAATGCTGTAAGCCGCCGGCAAGAGCATCAACCACCACGCCCAATTTCCGACAAACGCCGCAATCGCGATGATTCCCCAGGTAGAATAGACAATATCCCACATCCAATCCGTCAATCCCTTGGCCTCGAGATCCTCTCCAGCACGCTTGAGCTCGCCGTCTTGGTAGACGGGACGTGCTATTCGCTCAAACCAGAATTCAATGATGAGCGCAGGTGCATTCAGGAAAATGTAGGGAAGCATTCGTCGCTTGAAGAAGAATAGCGCGAGAAGAAGATAGAGCAGATTCAGGCCCAGCGCGATCAAGTGCGTCTGATTGAGTCGTTGGGCGTTCTTTTGGGCGAGCGTCTTCTGGGCTTTCTTTGCAGGTATTAGAATTCCGTAAATAGTGTGCCCGCTATTGTTCTGCAACTCACGTTCGCCATTGTGAGACTCGGCTTATTATCCAGACCAGGACTGAGTATTGCAATGGTTCGCCGTTGTTGTTTGAGCCACGAAGCTCTCGAAGCACGCGAGCTCAGAGATCCGATCTGATAGCTTTCGGCTTGGCGGAGTCGGTGCGCGGACGGGGGGCTCGTGCTTTAGTGTGGTTGCCGTTCTAAACAACGACCAAAACATCGCGGCGGCAACGACAACATCTTGCTCCAAAGCCACATCTGCTGCGCGCCCTGCACTTACCGGAGGACGAACTGGACTGACATCTATAGGCAGCGACCATGCGAGACCTTTCATGACCAGATACTCGATTCACAGCCACGTCTTTTGGCACCCTGCACCACCGCAAGTTAACGACAACTGCGTTCAAGGACTTCCGGCAAGATCACCACAAATGCGCCGCAGTCGAGGGCGCAGCGTCCTTCCTTTCTTGTCCTGCACCATCAACACTACCGACACCTCGTAATCCTAGTACTCGACTCTCCTTCCACCGAACATGTCTCCTACGACAGGCATAGCCGCTTCTCAGCTGCGGCAGCTAATATACTACCACCTCGACAACGACATGCTCGACAATGCGAACTTTCTTGCCGGCAGACTGCACGCTCTCGAGCCCCGCAACCCCGACAGCTCACACCTACTCTCCCTCACGTACCTGCGCTCGCAGCGGTACAAGGCCGCATATGACTTCAGTTTCAAGTACGGTGCGAATGGTCGGCATCTCGGCTGCGCCTACATTTTTGCACAGTCTTGCTTGCAGCTTGGGCGAAACACGGATGGTATACATGCGCTAGAGAAAGCAAGAGGCTCATGGTCGCTGAAGAATGATTGGGACAAGCATTCGGAGACCTCCAGGCGGCACGTACCAGATGCGCCGGCTGCCCTAACGCTGTTGGCAAAGTTGTATCGCGCACACGGCGACATGCAAAAGGCGGGAGACAGCTATATTGAGGCACACAAACAAAATCCATTCGTGTGGGATGCTTTTGAAGGTCTCTGCAAAATTGGAGTGGATTTGAAGGTCGAGAATATGTTCAAGCCTTCGGAAGAGATGCCGGGAGCGCCTACGCAAATTTCTGGAGAACCGCAAATCTACATCGACGAAGACATGCGGCGACCACTTGCACCGCAGCCAAACAGGTCGGGCGCTTTACACACACTCGACGATCCCTTCACATCCACAAATGCTGAGTTCGAAGACCAGGAGATACTGCCCATGTTGAAAGGCAAATCAGCATTGAAGAGCGGACTGAAGTCGAGCGCATCAGGATGGGATACTCCGATCGCCAGTGCGGACATACCAGACGACGATGTTACCATGGAAAATGATGATGACGGCTTTCAAGACCCGCCTGCTGCGCCATCTAGGAGACCGCGCGGGGGCTATCAATTTGAGACTTCTGACAGGCCTCGGGCGCCTATGCTTCGAGGTAACCTGGAAGCACCCGATGATCCTTTTGGAGCGCCACGGAAGCCCAGCGCTGGGGCCCAGAAGCGCACCATCTCAGGAGCTGCACTGTCTGGCACAGATTCCGCACAGCCTCGGAGGAGCAATCGTTTGTACACACAATCGACGACTAACAGTCGATCCACGCGGTCAACGGCAGATGCAAGTGCCTCCACATCTAGCAGGGCGGATAGGAACGCTCGGACAGCCAAGGCAGCCACCGGTACGAAAGGCAGAACTGGTGCGGTCGTTGGACGGGTCGTCAGTGGTAATAGGAAGATCATGCCACCCGATGAGAAGGAGAAGGAGAAAGACAAACGATCGGCAAGCCGAACGAGAGACCGGACCATTACGACTACGGGTGTCCCAGTCACCAGTTCCGCCATTGCTGTTGCCCAGAGGCACTTACAGGCCCCTTCCCAGCAGGACATGCAATCAGAACAGCAAGCAATGCGGGAGTTGCTAGGCAACTTCAAGCAGCTCGCAGTCGGATACTTCAAAGCATCGAAATTCGAGCTACCTGAGGCAATCAGCCTCTTCCAGAGACTACCAGCAGCACAGCGGGAGACTCCATGGGTCTTTGCGCAACTCGGCAAGGCGCAGTATGAAGCAGGCGAATATCGAGCAGCCGAGGAGAGCTTTGGCCGCTTGATGAAGATGCAACCATCGCGGGTTGAAGACATGGAGACCTACTCTACCGTGCTCTGGCATCTTAAGAAGGAAACCGCTCTCTCGTATCTCTGTCGGGTCCTGAGGGATGAACATTTCGACGCGCCTCAGACATGGGTCGCTCTCGGCAATGCCTTCTCCCTTACACGTGAGCACGATCAGGCTATTTCTGCATTCAAGCGCGCCACTCAGCTTGACGAAAAGTTTGCATATGCCTGGACCCTCATGGGACACGAGTACATGGCCAACGAGGCCTTCGATTCTGCGCTTGCTGCTTTTAGGAAGGCAGTCGCAATCGATCGGAGAGGTTATGGAGGCTGGTACGGTCTCGGCAAATGCTTCGAGCGCATGGGCAAGATGGAGGACGCAGAGCGGCATTACCGGATCGCAGCGAAGATCAATCCATCGAATGCCACCCTCCTGGTGTGCATTGGAGTGGTGCTCGAGCGCTTGCAGAACAAGACTGCAGCCCTCTCGAACTATGCTAGAGCTCTGGAGCTAGCGCCTGGCAGCGCACTTGCCCGGTTCAAGAAGGCGCGAGTCTTGATGCACATGAGAGAATACTCCAGTGCTTTACTGGAGTTACAGATTCTCCAGAATCAGGCGCCGGATGAGGCTAACGTGCATTTCTTACTTGGAAAGTGCCATAAGGGACTGGGGGAGAAGAGCGATGCGCTGAGATCGTTCACGCAGGCGCTCAATCTGGATGTGAAGGTAAGCGTCATCGTCTTTCTAAAGGTATTGCGCGATCTAACAACGACCAGGCTGCCCCCTTCATCAAAGAGGCGATGGATACCCTCGGGGACGACGATGATGAAGTTAGTGACGACGATTAGAGCTGTCGCCAGCTGGTAGCTGGTCTTGACATGACTTGGCACTGCATTTCCGGGTTGGTTTCAGGAGGCATTGCATTGGGAGGCGGCGTTTGTTGCAGAAAAGGTAGATTCGTCACCATACGGCCTGGGTGACATGGAATGAGCGTTTTCGAGGCGCAGGACAAATGGAAACTGCATGGCAAGTGCACTTCGCGGTGAATGGGCACCTCATGCTGGGCATTATACGAATACGCATCGCGAGCAAAGGCAATTTGTTCTTGGCTCGAAGGCGAGGCAATCTCTGGGTAAACAGTACCTTGGGTAGACTTTCTTCACTGAAACGGCCATTTGGAAAAGTTCGAGTGCGTTGACATTCCATTGCTTACGCTACCTCTCTCCTCTCGTCCATCTTAAGTACAGGCCTATCTCTTACCCATTGCGTGATACAGTATGCATTCGATAGGCTGCTACATAGATACTAGGTTGGAGCCAAGTCAACTTAAAGTGAATGGGCGTGCAGGGCAGTGCGCACGAGGGGTCGGCTCGGTGGTCCGAGCTCTTTGTCGCGACTAAACGCGCCTCAGCCCAACGCGTGTTTTCTCATCTGGCCATCCTCTCGAATGAACTACACTGCGTCTTCGTGTCAACTCTTTGGCGGACTGACCGACAACTCGACGACCTGTGTGCCGCTCGGCGCATTAATCGAATCCGCATTGACGTCCGCCCACTTTCAAGATGTACATCAAACAGATCATCATCCAAGGCTTCAAGTCCTACAAGGACCAGACCGTCATCGAGCCCTTTTCTCCAAAGCACAATGTCATCGTCGGTCGCAACGGATCAGGCAAAAGCAACTTCTTCGCCGCCATTCGGTTCGTACTCAGCGATCAATATACGCAGCTCAGTCGCGAGGACCGGCAGGGCTTGCTACATGAAGGTTCCGGGTCCGCTGTGATGAACGCTTACGTCGAGATCATATTCGACAATGAGGACGAACGTATTCCCACAAGCACGAAGGAAGTCATTTTGCGCCGCACGATCGGCCAGAAGAAGGATGAGTACAGCTTGAATCGAAAGAATACGACCAAGCAAGAAGTCATGAACCTGTTGGAAAGTGCTGGATTTAGCAGGAGTAATCCGTATTACATCGTGCCTCAGGGTAGAGTGACAGCGATCACCAACATGAAGGATCACGAGCGGTTGAAGATGCTGAAAACGGTCGCTGGTACTGAGGTGTACGAAAACAGACGCGCCGAGTCGCGCAAGATTATGGAGGAGACGGAGACCAAGCGCGCTAAGATTGACGACCTGCTCGACCAGGTGCGCACCAGACTCGGAGAGCTTGAAGAGGAGAAGGAGGAGTTGAGGGCCTTTCAAGACAAGGATCGCGAGCGGAAATGTCTGGAGCACACAATTCACAATAAGGACAAGGAAGCAGCAGAGGAGCAGCTCTCTAGGATCGAGGAACAGCGTGAAAGTGGTGTCGACCAAAATGACGAGAACGTTGAGGCACACAAGGAAGCGGAGCAAGAGTTGGAGGCAGTTGACGCGCAAATTGCAGGGCTGCAGCAACAGGTCAAGCTGCTCTCTCAAGAGCAAGCGCAATACAAGGAAGAGCGTACTGAAGCGGCACGAGCGCGAGCGAAAGTGGAATCCGAGGTCCAGGCCATGCAAGGCAACCAGAATGCCGCACAGCAAGCACAAGCTCAGCGTGCCCAGGATCTGAAGGATGTCCAGGATCAAATCAAGCAACGTGAAGCGGAGCTCGCTGAGCTCCTACCAGAGTACCACGCCAAGCGAGAGGAAGAGCGTACTTTGAAGCAGCAATGGCAGGATGCTCAAGGAACTCTCCAGCGCCTCTACGCGAAGCAAGGTCGTCAGAGCCAATTTAAAAGCAAGAAGGACCGCGACGCTTGGTTGAAGAGCGAGATTGCCAGCGTGCATGAGGCTCTGGCTACGCGAAAGGCCGTCAGCATGCAGACCTCAGAAGAAGTCACAGAGGTGGAGCAGCAGATCGAGCAATTGGAGACGGACATTGCGGAACTGAAGGATCGGATCGAGAATCGCGGCGACGAGCAGCAGAACCTCTCGGCGGAAGTTCAGCAAGCCAAGGATGAACGAGACGGTCTGCAAGACCAGCGCAAGGAGCTTTGGAGAGAAGAGGCCAAACTGGACAACGCCATCGCCGCTGCCAGAGCAGAATATGACAAGGCGTCTAGATTTCTCAGCCAGATGATGGACCAGAACACATCTCGTGGTCTTGCCTCAGTACGTCGCCTCGTGCAACAGCAAGGTATTGAGGGAGTTCACGGTACTCTTGGCGAACTGTTCGAGGTGAATGAGAGATACAAGACTGCCGCGGAAGTCACAGCCGGAGCTGCGCTCTTCCATTACCTCGTGGACGACGAGAAAGTCGCTGAGAAGCTCATCAAACCGTTGCAACAGGAGAAGGGCGGTCGCATCACTTTCGTGCCTCTAAGCCGTGTCCATCCAAAGCCTTTTGACGTCCCGAAGGCCAGCGATGCAGTTCCGCTGATCAGCAGGTTGAAATACGACCCCAAATTCGAAGGTGCAATGCAGCAAGTCTTTGGAAAGACCGTCGTCTGCCCGAACCTTCAAGTCGCCGGGCAATACGCCCGCAGTCATGGAGTCAGCGCAATCACGCCTGACGGAGACAGATCCGACAAGAAGGGTGCTCTGACTGGCGGTTACTACGACACCCGCAAGTCACGTATTGACGGCCTCACTCGCTTTGCTACTGCACGCGATGAGCTCGAACGCATTGAGGGTCGCAAGCATGAGATTGCTCAAGAGTTACGAGCAATTGATCAGAAAGTGACGAAGGCAAACAGCCAGCTCCAAAAGATTGCTCAGAAGCGAGATCAGCTTGAGGGCGGCTATGGACCGCTCATAGACGAGCGGAGACGCAAGGAATACGAGCTCAACACTCGCCGCGATGAGGTGGACAAGAAGCAAGAGCAGCGAGGGAAGATTGAGGATCTTCTGAAATCGCTCGGCACGCAGTTGTCCAGCTATGAATCCGAATTGCAAGCCGACTTTAAGAAAGCACTTAGCAATCAGGAGGAGCATGAGCTTGAGAATGCCAATGCACAGCTGCCCAAGCTCAAGCAGCAGCATATGGAAGCCAGCAAAGAGCTCATGGAGCTGCAAGGCCAAAAGCGAAACATTGAGGATCTGCTCAACGTGAATCTCCTTCCTCGACTCGACCAGCTGCAGGCGGAGGACTTGGACACTGATGCCAATAGGGAGGGCACCAGCAGCGCCAAGGTGAAGGAGCTCAAGGCCGATCTGAAGCGCGCCACCAAGGCTCTGGACAGCATTGACGCGAAGCTGAAAGAGATTGACCAGCAAATCGAAGAGCGTCAAGAAGAGATGCAGAATACCGAGCAGACCCGAGCGAGCAAGAGAGCCGATCTTGAGAAGCTTGAGCAGGCGATTCGGAATCATCAGAAGCTTATCGAGAAAGGCGCAAGGCTGAAGGCTCAAGTTCAGACCCGACTCAACGAGGCCAACGCTCATATCCGAAACCTAGGTGCTCTTCCCGACGCCGCTTTCACTGCGCAATACTTGAACATGAATCACGGTACTGCTACTCAGCGTCTGCACAAGGTCCAGGAGTCGCTCAAGAAATTCGGAAAGGTCAACAAGAAAGCGTTTGAGCAATTCATACAGTTTGAGAAGGATAGAGACCGACTCGAAGACCGACGCAAGGAACTTGATAACAGCGATTCTAGCATTCGCGAGCTTATCGATGTGCTTGACCAGCGAAAAGACGAGGCAATTCAGCGGACGTTCAAGCAGGTCAGCATGCACTTTGCAGAAATCTTTGAGAAGCTTGTTCCGGCTGGCAGGGGATCACTCAAGATTCAACGCCGTAGTGATCGTGCGGTAAACGGCAACGCAATGGACGAGGAAGAGAGCGAAGACGAGGATCGCGGAGCTGGCGGTGTAGAGAACTATGTCGGTATCGGCGTGTCTGTCTCTTTCAACAGCAAGCATGACGAGCAGCAACGCATCCAGCAGCTCTCCGGTGGACAGAAATCTTTGTGTGCTCTCGCACTCGTGTTTGCGATTCAGAGATCCGATCCGGCGCCTTTCTATCTCTTTGATGAGATTGATGCCAATCTTGATGCGCAGTACCGGACTGCTGTTGCGCAGATGCTCAAGGAGAGTGCGGAGACGGGACAATTCATCTGTACGACTTTCAGGCCGGAGATGCTGCACGTGGCCCAGAAGTGCTATGGTGTGAGTTACCTCAACAAGGCCAGTTCGATTGATGTCGTTAGTCGAGATCAGGCGTTGGACTTCGTGGAGGGTCAGATCAGTGGAAAGTAGACCTCGGTGGAACAATGCGCATGGAGCACGGGGAGTATGGCGTTCGAAGAGATTACCCCGGCGAAAGCTATGCGGATCTGCTTATGAGATGGGAAATGATATGGCGCCCTCGGCTCCTAGCTCATGAATGATGTTGCGATTGCTGTACATTGCTGTACATTACCACTTTGATGATTCCAGCCTGCTTCTTCATGGTCAGCACAGCGTCCATGGAGTGGTACTTCGCGTGCTGACTGAGGGAGACGTAGTATCAGAGCTCTCTTTGATCATGCATCCTGCCTTGATAGGCGGTCGCTAAGAAGTGTTCGAAGCTCCCAAGTGGGCTCCTTCTGCTGAGTGTGCCACGGTCGAGCAGCTTTTTGGTGAACTCGGGTTTTGCATCATTGTGTGAGACGGGCGTGAAGGGAGACGACTTACAATTTCGAATGTCTTCGATGTGAGAAAAGAGGTATATGATCGTGGAGATATGACTTCCGTCGAGGAGGAGGAGTGGAGTGAAAATCTGTCGAGACCTTAGGTTCTCGAGCAAGGGGCGGGCGGAGTGAATGAGAAAAGGACAGCGGCTAAGGTACTCTTATAATCAGGCAGGTTCTTAATGCATAATCTCTGTATAGGTGCGGTCTGTGCGCTTATATACTAAGCGAGACATACTGCACCCTTCTACTATTCGAGCCTATAAACAAAGTTGTTCGGGCGAGGATGTTTTATTTCCTATCCCTACTGCTCTCAACTCCCGGTATTCGTAGGGTATATTCTACCGAAGATCGAGGTTTCTCTCTACTTTGCACAAAACCCCGGACTTTGCCGAAACCTGCCTGAGAATAAAACCAGCCGGACAGCCGCTAGTCGTCGCCGAGAACCCACCAATCGGAACAGGTTTTTACAGCTTGCTTCTGTTCCACTCTACCTCCTACACCTCTACAACCTGCGACTGACTCTATACCTACGGCCATCAGGTCTCATCCAGCTCTCGTTGTCTCTCGAATCAATTTACTTGTTCAAGGCAGTGACGCTCTGCTGGGTTGCGTCTCGGCTTGCGTGGATATCGAGTCAAGAACGCCTGCGTACCGTATTGGGAATAATTTCATTTGCAACATGTTACTGGACATGAGCCCTGCGTGCTGGAGGACGACCTAAGAGAGAGGGCCTGAGTGGCCGATTGGGTTGGGGATCATCATTGGCCAAACAGCGCTCAGCGCCATCCCTCAGCCGCGGGGATACAACGATTCATCGGCTGTGCATAGAGTGTATTCTTCGCGAACGATGACTGGGAGCACAACAGGAGCACGCCCACTCGAAGGATTGAATGTCCTTGGCTGGGTCATAAATTCTTAGCGAGCCTTAGCGAAAAGGTCAGCCAATGGTAGCCTCCTTTTACGCCAGTAACATTTCAGTCAACTCTGGCTGCGTAGCTGCGATGATCGCAACACTTTCAGCCGTAGGGAGTATTCTGTTTTGATATACAACCGGGGACGCCCTGTCCTCGCGATGTTGCGTCTCTCGTCCTCCTTTAGTTGTTGCTCGGCATGATGCGCGTGTCCTCTGTTTCTATCTGGGCGTGTGCCTTGCTCGCCAAGGGTGAGGAAGCATCATCAGCTGGGTGAGATGGCACATTTCGCTGACTGATGATGTTATAGCAGCCCATGGCGCCAGCGTGGCCGACTTTGTGGAGCAGGGCATTGGTGCTATCACCGTCGGTGCCAACTCGACTTTGAATAGCACTGTTACTACTTCATCTCCCAGTTCGATCGTTACCAGCTTTGCTCTAGGAAATGAGGGCAACGCTACCGTCTCTTGCGGATACGCGCCGTATACTTCATCTAACTTGGAGCCAGCCGAATCGTGGTATCAAATGCTAATGGCGCTACTACACTCCTTCTTGAAGAATCTGAAACTCGGTCCGTCTACGCTATGCACGGCCAGACATACACCGCCTCTGTCCTCCCCAATGGCCTGGAAGTAATCGTTGAAAGCATCACCTTAACTTCAGGTGGAAGAGCCACAATACTATCCAATGGAAAAGTCCTTAGCGCCGGGTCTTCGGGAAATCTGGTAATTAGATCTTCCACTTTACATCTCAACTCTACGACATTCACTTCGACTTCGCCTTCGAGTGGGTAGACGACAAGTTCGAGGACTTCGAGTGCGCCGGCTGCTACACATACAACCACAAGGTCGTATGGTGTCCGCCTTGAAGCGTCTATTGGATTGGTATTCGCATTGATAGCTAGCGTTATGTTCTTGTAGCGCTCTCGACGCCTGTACGTGATGCACCTAATGGCGTGCTCATCACCGAAGACCGGATTGCCGTATGGACCAGTTCCGCAGTCTCTCACAGGATCGATGCTGCAGGCGGTGCCGTGTGGGTGGTAGAAACTACAGGAGAAATCGCAGATGAGGCCGAAAGTAAAGGGCGATATGAAAGAGAAAAGGAAAGCATGTGATGGGTCTGAGATATCATTGCTATTGGTGAGAGCGCCCGCGCTCTTCGTCGTGGGCTTGTGCTCTCGCTCGAAGTTGCAGAAAATCAGACGCATTGATTGAGTGCCCTGGTACCCTGAAATAGATAGCCAGTGGTGTAATAGTCTCGCTCAAGAGTCTGATATCAGACGTTGCAGTATTTCCACCTTGGCGCACGGACCTCCGTTTCACATGTCAAAGGCTTGGCAATGTAGCGTATCCACCTCGTTAAGCTATATGAGTCAGACTGAATGAAGTAAATATCGGGTGCGTCTAGGTATAATAATCGTATCGGAAAGCACAATTGCACTACTTCAAACTTTGAACTCGAGCCCTACGCACCTTCCTCTACGTTAGCAATTCAGCATAATAGGAAGGTGGGTACTTTCTAGACATCCTATTGAGAGTCAACACCGAGACGTGTGTACAATACAAGCCATGTGCGATTGTGACACGCCGGCTTGTCAGTTGTAAGCTTGTGAAGTAGTGACTCGGTCGTGAGCGGTGCACCTTCGGTTTAACATGTGAATAGGCCAAGATGTCAAAGCCCGTGCAAACGCGTCGATCTGACAAGTACTTACGTCACCAAGAATAGCCGAGATTTCCATCTATAAAGTGCCTTCCTCTTCTCTCTCTTCCCTTCTCCCTTCTCTTCCCTCTACTATCCACCTCCAACCCACACGGACGCAATCACCAGTCTCACACGGCTCTCCTTCCTCCAATCACATACAACCTACGCGAATACAAACACCACTCAGGCAACTTCCGGTCGTCAAGATGCTCGCTCGTCTCGCTCTTGCCACCGTCGGCCTCGCCAACCTCGCCTCTGCCTGGTGGATCAGCTTCTACACCGGCGAGCTGTGCGACCAGGACGCCTCGTTCAACTACGTCAACTATTGGGGCAAGTACCAGAGCAACTGCGTCTACGTTGGCGAGGACGAGAACAACTGCGGCTGGTACACCGACAACGGCCAGACGAAGAACCGCTGCACTGCTCCAATGCTGGACCCGCGGCCATCCTCGTAAGTCTCCCGTCGTTGCTTCTGGCTCGTAGAACATATCCCGCTGACAGGTCTTTGCAGCTACCTCTACGCCGACGACACCAAGTGCGACATCTACATGGGTAGCACTTGCGAGGCGGACACGATTGTTCAGGTTGGGCCGGGCCAGTGCGGCCAGATCAGCTACCCGGATGGCTACACGGGCGGCGTCTCCATCTCGTGCAACCAGGCCTAAGTGCACGGCACGCATCAGGTACCTCATGCATCTCAGATGCGCCTTCCTCCACGCCAGGATTGGCATGAGTACTCCTCGTTGCGCCTGCCTCTCTCACCCATGAAAATCGGAAGGAACTGAGGTAGACTCGATACTTCCGCATTGCAATACAAGGCAATGGCCTGATGAACATCCTGCGTCACTCTTATGTAACCAAGTTTCCTCCAGTCTCCTTCAATTTCCTTCCTCCTTCCATTCCTCTTCGCTGTCGACCGCTTCTTCACCTCTTCGCTTCGCTTCGCTTTCTTGCCCATCACAACGCAAGCCCATCAAGAATCCAGACTCATCAAGTTCATCTGACCCGTCTGCCCAACATGCTCCTCCATCTCGCTCTCACCGCTGCAGCGTTGTCCAGCTTCGCCTCGGCCGGCCAGTGGGAAGCCAACTTCTACGCGGGCTACGATTGTGGCTGGGACCTCAACCGCACAGACTACTACAGCGTCTATGGCACCGCAGCGCTCTGCGTCTACGCTGGAAATCCATTGCAGGTTGACATCGACTGCACCTGGTGGACGACGGAATCCGGAAACACTGGTGACCCCTGCACCGCTCCAATGTTGGATCCTCGCCCGATGTCGTGAGTCTCCCGCTCACATTCCCCGGCTGTCCATAGCACCAAGTCTCGTCTTGGTTTCCAGTCTAGATCGCCTTGCTGACTCTACGCGCTAGATTTGAAGCCTCGGCCACCACCGAATGCACTCTCTGGATTGGCAATGGGGCGTGTCTCGACGACCATGCTCAAGTCGTCAACATTGTCGGCGACTCCAAGACATGCACTCGCCTTGATTATCCTGCCGATGCTTCACCCGAGAACGGCGTCTCCTTCTCGTGCTGGGTAGCTAAGGGTTGAGAGGGAAGAGAAGAGTAGAAGTGCATTCGATGTCATGGGGTTTCTTGAGGTAATCAGCCTTCGTGCGCAGTGCCAATGTGGGTGCTCGTACCGGAGCGTCATCAGCGTCATGGGTGCAGGAACATGAGTACTCAGTGACGCTGAGGATTTGCAATCAGCTCAGATAGGCGACATAAAGACTCGAGCCGCCAGCTCGATGCCAGCTTCGTCTTTCTCTTTCAATGATTGGCAGTGCGTGCTGTGAGGTCGTTTGTGAGCAAGCGCGAAATCATTTTGCAGGGTGTCGGATCCGATAGCTGCGGCTTGTCCGGCCTGATCATAGCATGAGAAGATCTCCTCGTCTTCGCGCCGCCACGGAGATGTTGATTTTTCCGGTCGCTGAGTTCCACGTTCCACGCGCAGAACAAAACCCCAGCCTCAAACAGCAACCTCATTTATGACAATGACTGGAAAATTAGCAAATCGAAACTCGGAGCAAAAAAAGATACACAACCAAAAAGGGGGAAGCACGAATGCTCTAATCGTACAATTCTGGATATGTGAATCTACAGAATTTAACAAGCCCCATTGGAACCATCTTGCCGATAGACCAAAGTTGCTTGCCCGATGAGAGCAAAGTACTCAAGACAATTGATATAGCTTACCGGGTGAACTTCGGCTTGGCTTTAGCGTGCATGTCGTTTTCGCTCCCTCTCTTTCCCTTCCCTTCCTCCTCCTCCTCCTCCTCCTCCTCCTCCTCCTCCTCACATCTCAAGCGTTCCAAATATTTACGTCCGTGCATTCACCAAATCTCTCGTCCAGGGACAAGTTTGGAAGACCAGATTAAAATGTGAACAAGGCAATAGCAGGAAGAGGGATCCTACGGCGAGGCAGAAGGTGGCCGGCCTAGCCCAAGTGTGTTCTGCCTATTTCCCGCTGTTCCCTATCTGAGGACATCGTCGCCGTTTCGATTTAGGACCTATGGTATATTTCGACATGACGGTACTTTTCGTCTGCTCAAGATCGAGATCGAGGTGGCAGGAAGGAGGTGGTGGAGGTGGGAGCCAATGGAGTTGTCGCCGCCTACGATGGTGAGTCGTCTCTTCTCGAGCGAACGGATGATAGGCCGAAGTTTCGCTAATGACACGCTGGCAACCTGGTAGTTTCTGTTATGGTATTCCGGATTTTTCTGGGAAACTGCAGTGTTATGGTAGAAGCAACTGGTGAGTGCAGACGAATATGAGGGAGATGCTCGTCCCAACGTGCTCTGGATCGGGATTTCGATGCTTCTGGCAAGGTCAAGCAAGTCTCCAAGCTCTTCAATTAGGATATTAGAAGAGAGGAAAGGCGACCTACTGCTCAATCACTGTGCACTCTCCGGCAGCTTCCTCACAGCAAAGAAGTAGTTTCCCCAATCCTCACTGCCGGGCACTTCTTTCCATCCGAATCCAGGCACATACACCACACCCATGACCTGCCATCCCTTGGCGCCCACCACCACGTCCAGTTCCGGCTTCGATCTCGCCCATTCCCTCAGCTCATTCGGCTGGATATATCGACTCCACTCGTGTGTTCCCCTCGGTACCATCCTCAGCACATCTTCCGCGATGAATTTGGTCGTGAACCATGAAGTATTTGTCCTTGCAATTGTAGATCCCACCAGCCATCCGCCAGGCTTCAGATGAGGTAATATGCTCTCCAAGAAGGTGGAAGGGGTCTGGATATGCTCGATCACTTCGAAGATGGAGATGACATCGAAGCCTTCACTAGGCGTAGACGGTGGTGGAAGCTGTTCGATCGGGATATTCTTATACGTAAGGCGACCGGGTTCGAGAAGCAGAGGATCCGTCCTTCGATGCTTTTTCGCGACAGCGATGACTTCGGGCGTGGGATCGATCGCGGTGACAGACTCTGTCATCGGCAGTCGCGCCGCGGATTCGGCGAATATACCTCCTCCACATCCAATGTCCAGAAATCTGAGCTTTTCCCTGGTATCCCGGACGTAACTGCCCAAGCATTGCTTTATGAACTTGTGTCGGAGAGGATTCATGAGGTGGAGCAGTCTGCTCGAGCCGTGCGGGTCCCACCATGATGAGGCGAGAGCGTTGAAATGTGACACCTCTTCATGATTGACGGAGCTCGGGGACGGAGGTGCTTCGAAGTTGGTATTGTAGGTTGCGAATGCTCGCGCGGGAGCTTTGGCTGGGAGTCGTGACGTCGAGGCTGCAAATGCCTGTTTCAAGGCGACGCGTCTGAGATCGTTCGGGAGGGAGATGATGCGGCCAGCGAGCTGGAGAGACGACATCTTGCGTGCGAATTGAAGATGACGGGTGGCATATTCGTCGGGAAGTGTTCACGGCCTCATCAAGAATCGAGATGCCCAAGCAACGCACAGACCCCATATCTATCAAACTCTATACATCTGCTCACGACCTTAACCTGAAGGTACACAGGGAGAACGCATGAACAAAGCTTTCACTGCCTCGCAACGCCGCTGAACTATGGCAATGATATTGAATAAACAGAGGAGAATCGAAAGGACAATTCTTCTTTCAGTATCCTTTCACAAAACTCCGCCTTTCCTTTATTCTTTATGCTATATCGAGCTTCCTTTGATACCTTTGACCATTGTTCAAGCATATATTTCCAATGCGCATAAAACCTCCTCTTCCCTCTCATGCTTTGGTCAGAAGGAACATCGTAGCTGCTGGCAGCTTCACATCGATCGTCACCACCAACTCCTCAAACATGTCCACCGAACCCTGTCAAAACTTCTGCTGCTCCGCCTTTATCCAATACCTCGACGCTCCACTCACGAAGACCGACATCCTGGAAACGGAGATCCATCCCCTCTTCGCTCCCAAGCACTTCGACAAAGCCATCGACTACTCCCTCATAGAACTGCCCCTCCGTCTGGTCTCCCAATGGCTCAAATTAGACCCCGTAGTCCGCTTGATCGTGGTAATGGCAGAGGGTGAGCTCAAACGTGACGGCGCATGGAAAGGATCCAAACCTTTCCCGGTCGACTTCAAAACATTGGATGGTTTCGCGATGCGTGGTGTTTGGCCGAATGTGGGGCGCTATGCCACACCAGAGCAGGATACGGTAGGTCCTGAGATGCGCCAGCGAGCGGCAGAATTGCTGCTAGGAGTCGTAGGTCTCATTCGCTTCCGTATCGATGAGATCTCCGGACACGAAGGTAAATGTATCCCCAGCGAACGTCCCCTCGTTCATCCCAATTTCCCTCGAGGAAGCAAGAGCATAGTATTCGTTGGGAAGGACAACTATCGCTTGATCGAGTCTTTTACGCCTGCATCAGGTAAGTCCACGGCTCCAGATTCCCCAACATGGCTCCTCCTCAGCCGCTTTAACCTAGCGCAACTACTCATCCACGAACTGTTTCACGCCCTCGAGCATCTTTACAACGGCGTGCGAAAAGCTGAATTCTTCTACGAAGATTCCAGTATCGCGGAATGCGGGTGCGCGGTTGAGAACGCCATATTCGGGGGCCTACTAACAAGCAATTCAAATGTTGTGACTTCTAGAGCGAGTGAATGGTGTGAAGCAAGCAAACGACGTCCCAGATCGAAACCAATGATCATGCTGTTCGACTGGCCCTCTGCCCTGTACAAGGAGATGTATCAACAGAGAGGATGGAAAATGGCATGTCGCGAGGTCCAAAAGGAGCGTTCGACGAAAATCTCCAGGGTCCCGTTATCGTTCTTGGAAGCTATGTTCACGACCGAATTCTGGCAGAGTAACGCCCAATCACGTTCAGTCCTTCAAGTTCCAGTCATGGGCGAATGTGTCGCTAGATGGAACAAGCGTGAGAAACGCATCGAGCCGTGGCTTACTTCGAGTGAGAGGGCCAGCGCATCGGACAAGGTAAGTGTGTGGTAGGCCTAGGTCACGTTCTTCACAAGACTTCATACGGAAAGTCTTTCAGGTAATCTCGGGTATTTCATTTCGCATCTGTCTCTTTCGGAGTAACGCTGAAGTCATTCAGCAGGTCGAACCAGACGTATTGAGTCGTTCCATCTCCTGTCGTACGCTATTCTCAATCCGCAAACTGGCGGGTGAGGTATTTGCGGAAGCCTTTGTTCACCAAAGACCAACCCCCGTTAGCACCTTCCGCCGTGGCTGACACCAACTGGAACATTTCCCAGCGTGAATCAGTGCCACCTCCAATCACGTAGATGATAGCTCCTTCATCCTCATTGCTGCTTGCGTTGGCCGGCGCGAACGCGATGATGCCTTTTGGAGGCTTGCCACTTGGATTGTTCGGGAGCGGCAGGACTTGATTTTGTACACGTCTCCGCGAGCCATCAGGCGCGGTGACCACGCTAGACGGGGAGCCACCCTGCCAGTGCGACGGATCATTGCCGATGTAAAATGGCGCAGAAGCTACACTGCGGGCGTCCTTGAAAATCCTCGGTGCGAAAGGGCTTGCTTTGAGGGCCGCCATAGCGGACACGGCAGCGTCTCTGGCAGGAGGTGAGGCAGAGGTAGGTGGTGGCCGAAGGCCGTAATACTCCTGAACGCTTCCCTGATATCCTCCGCCGGCGCTGGTGCCGATAGCAGAAGACGGGGCAGGAGAAGAGTAGCCTGCCGAGGTTCCAGATACCGAGTCCTTGTCGTAGCCTGCGCCCGAAAGGCGATGACTGGCGTATGACGGTGGTTTGCCCTGCTGTCGATACTTCATTGGAGTCTCGGTTGGCGTCTTGGGGCGGAGATCGAACACGTGGAGAGTTCCTTTGTCGCTGGTAGACGCTACCCAGCGGTTGCTTGGACTGAATGCCAAGCTTGAGATGATGGCATGGTCACTACCACGGCGGAACTCGGCGATCTGACTGAGTGTCTTGGTATCGTAGACTCGAATAAGCGTTCCCTGCTCACTTGCAGTGGCAAGGTGGGTTCCATCTGGAGAGAGTGCCATGCATCGAAGTGATGAGTTATGCGCACGCAGCACACGCTTGGTGGTAGGACCGTCGATTTTCAGCTGCACCAACTGCACCTGGCCCACAGCCTGAGCGGGCAAGACGATGAGCTCGTTGGTCATACATGCCAGACCGTACGGGTTGAGCGCTGTTCGGAGGAGTGTGTGGACTTGGTTTGGAGCAAACAGTGGTGGCTCGGGCTCCACCTTAGCATCGTCTTCAGCTGGCGAGTCGGCTGACGCACTCGTGGGAGGATCAGGTGGCTGCAGCTGTTGGTAGAAGAACACGACAGTTCTCTCTTTCAGGACCACGGCCATCCACTTGGTAGTAAGTTTCACAGCCTTAACCGGCTCATGGAGGTTGAATCGATTGAGCTCGCGTCCCACGAAGGCATCCCAAAACACTACGAAGTTTGGGCCGCCGCCGGGACCCTTGTGGGCGCAGACAAACGCGTACCATCTGTCGTCTAAGGCTTCTGCAATCAAGAGTCCGCCATCGAAGCCGAGGTCGGGCTTGTACGTGGTGAAGCAGTTGTCGGTGCGGAATGCTCGGAGGCCTGTGTCAAGGCCAGTGACGAAGCGAGCTCGAAGCTGAGAGTAGGAAATGGAGTTTACAACGTCTGTTGAAGGAGGCTGTAGCTCTTGGCGGGTATTCATGTTGATAGGGGGGCGCGGCGGGCTTTCGCCACTGGACGCGTCGCTCTCGGCGCCACTGTCGGTTGGTCTGGATCAACTCTGGGAGTCAGCAAATGAAGTCGTCAAACCTATGATGCCGATGAAGCGTCTAGTCGCTGTGAGAGGCGGCTGGCATTAGCATCGCGGCTCTGACGGTGATGGCTCTGGCAGCAGCTCTGACGGTGATCCTGGCAGTCCTGACGGTGGTCCTGGCAGTCCTGGCGGTGGTCCTGAAAGTGACTGTCGAGATCCTGGTATCCGCTTTGGCTTGCGGCGAAGTCCCAACCAGGAAGTTACGAGTCGAGAAGAGAGCTCCTGGAGGAAAGATTCCCGGCCGGCAGGTTCCGAAGAAGACGATGGTCGCGAACACAGAATGCGACTTCACCAACCGGCAGATGGATGCTGTATTGTCTTGTTACAGCTCAGCGGGCGATGAAAGTCTGCCGTGTTGTGTTGTCGATGATCTTCACATGACAGCGGCGAGTGACAGACGCGGCAAGCACGAGCCAGTCTCCGCAAAACAGTCAGCGAGCCAATCGGCGCCTGCCGCCCGCCAAGCCGACTAGCTCCAACGGAAACCCTGCAGGCGCAAGTTGCGAGGAGCCCCCTTTGCCAGGCCTGGACGAGGGCGACTTCTTCTCCGTTCACGCTCCACCGCAGACCAGAGCAGCTACCTGTCTTGCGCGTCGCTCGTCTCTGTCTCCATTCACTTCACTCGTTTGACAACGACCCATCCCGTCCGCATTACTCGCGCCTTGTTGCGAAGCTCAGGTGAGTTGAAAAACAGCAGAAGGTGGTGGATGTTCCCACAATGCTGCTTCGGGACACGTTCATCTGAACCCTTGATCCATACCATCTCACCCCTCAAACATCATTGCGCATCCGGGAGAGAACTACTCCAGGGCATCTCATGCTGACTGTTGTTGAATTGCCTACAGCTTTCATCACCAAACACCAACCACGCCGAACAAGACCACGGGAAACCGCCCAGGATAACGTCCTCTGTGCGCGCAGACTCACCCGCCAGCATGTCTACCTCTACCTCCGCCATCAAGCTGCGCCGCAAGAAGAATGTCAAGAAGGGAATCCAATTCTGTCTGATGGTCTGCGGCACCTCGGGCACTGGCAGGACCACCTTCGTCAACACTCTCTGCGGGCGCCAGGTCCTCACCCCGCTCGACACTGATGACCCGACGACTGCGCACCTTGAGGAGGGTGTCAAGATCAAGCCAGTCACCGTAGAGTTGGAGTTGGATGAGGAGGGCACGAGAGTGTCATTGACCATTGTGGACACTCCAGGCTTTGGCGACAGCATTGACAATGAGGCTTCGTTCAGCGAGATCTCCAGCTACCTTGAGCGTCAATATGATGACATTCTGGCAGAGGAGAGCAGAATCAAGCGTAACCCTCGTTTCAGGGACAACAGAGTCCACGTACTCCTATACTTCGTACAGCCAACCGGTATGGGCCCTACGCCAACCATTCATCTCGCACTCTGCTGACATTATCTACAGGACACGGTCTCCGCGAGCTCGATATCGAACTCATGCGCCGTCTCAGCCCACGTGTCAACGTTATCCCAGTCATTGGAAAGGCCGACTCCCTCACCCCGCTCGAACTGGCAGAGAGCAAGAAACTGATTATGGAGGACATTGAGCACTACCGCATTCCGGTTTACAATTTCCCCTACGACATTGAAGAGGATGATGAGGACACTGTTGAGGAAAATGCCGAGCTTCGCGGTCTCATGCCCTTTGCTATCGTTGGTTCGGAGGAGGTCATCGAACTTGATGGCAAGCGCGTCCGTGCTCGTCAATACCCATGGGGTGTTGTCGAAGTCGACAATCCAAGGCACTCAGACTTCCTCGCCATTCGATCCGCGCTCTTACACTCGCACTTGGCAGACTTGAAGGAGATTACCCACGATTTCCTGTACGAAAACTACCGTACCGAGAAGTTGTCCAAGAGCGTGGCCACCTCCAACGACAACACGGGCGTCAACCCAGAGAGCGATAGCCTGGACCCACAGTCGCTTGCATCGCAATCTGTACGTCTCAAGGAGGAGCAGCTTCGCCGCGAGGAGGAGAAGCTGCGCGAGATCGAGGTCAAGGTGCAGCGCGAGATCAACGAGAAGAGACAGGAGTTGCTAGCGCGGGAGTCGCAGCTCAAGGAGCTCGAGAGCCGCATGGTGCGAGAGCAGACGCCAAGCCAGCCAATTGTCAACGAGGACGACGAGACGGAGGTCGGGGCCTTGCACTAGACTGCTCCTGCTGCGAAGCCTGTCGAACTGTGCAGTGCAGCGCGGTGCATGCTTTGGCAGGATGCATGCTAATGTTTGTACAAAAATACCGTTCGAAACGGAGTAGGCACTCCCTCAGTTTTACAACGACAGCTTCGACACGTCGGCGCGGCCCGTCGATGGAGCTAGAGAGCAGAAGAGAGAGATTTTCCTTTGTCGTCCACTTGAAGCGTGCTAGTATTGGCGAGGACGGGTATCATCAAGGTCGAAAGTGAAAAGCAGAAATACCCGGGTGTGTACCTACATGTTCTGTTTGTAGCCTTGGAATTCGAGAGCTGTAATATCGGTTAATCACACGCTTCTGCGCTGCTTGGACGGAGATGCAAGAAAAGAGGTAAGCATCACAGCTGTTATGTCGTTCAATGCTGCAGCCAGAGGATCAATGAAGGTGGCTCTCAAAACGCAGGACCTGTAGGAGCATCGATCGTACGCGTGTCCGCGTATCCTCGAGCAGCGATGGTAGTCGTCTGCGAATAACGAAGACTGATGCATGTGAAAGTTGAAGTGGTTGTAAGCTTGGCGCTGATCCGTCATTTAAGGTGACATCCTGCCCAAAGCTTGTGCCTGAGGTTGTCCAACGTCACGTCTCGTCTTTGGGGAGAGAAACTTCGGCAGCTCGACTTCAACACTCCGAGTCGTCTGCATGTGGAGCCCAGCATCCGAACTTCCGCTGGCAAATCGCGCACTTCGCTCGCTATTCGACAGGCTGCGAAAATCGCCATCCATGGCCATCTCCAGCCTCGACCGCGACGGACACAAAGGGGGAGATGGTTGCCGCGGAAGGTGTTCGGAAAGAGACAGGCATTGTGAGGCGGATCCGAGAAAAGTGATTCTGCCTTAACGCCACTGCACAGACAGGAACAGGACGGCGATGCTGGATGCGGAAAGTCCTCTGTCCGACTCACGGTATCCGACGTTGCGACGGACGCGTCAGATTGCTGCGTCTGCTGGACTCAGGAGCACACCTCACGCCATTGGTCTTCTGAGGTACTCGCGTCCGGGCGAGCGTCTTCTCGACATCTGCAGTGGCTGTGCTCCGTCGTATCCGGCCAATGCCAAATCTGTGGAAATTGATTGGAAAAGACCAAGATGCGGCTTCGGGACAGGGCCCTACGTATGCGCCTATGCGTTCCTGGTTTGTGTACAGCATCTTAGCACGTCCGGTGGCCCGTCTGTAATAGAAACAAGGCCTTGTCTCCCGTCGAACATTAGGATCCAATTGGCCGTGATCCCTACAAGCGAGCTATCCGTCTCCTAGCGCAATTTGCCGTGATCAGACGCTGTATATCTCGTGGCCAGGCCCAGATCCTTTCTTGCTTGTGTTTTTGATATTTGCTTTCCCTGGTTTGCTTTCTCTAGCCCTTCAGTGTGCCAGCTTTTCTTCTTCTTCTTCTTCTTCTTCTTCTTCTTCTCTCACAGGTCGTGGATCCGCTGTACTGCGTTTGATAGCGTCACTCGGAAGACTTGCGAACTGTCTATAGGCTCCTTCACCGAGGTGAAACTGGACCATCGACCTGCATGAACGACAGCAATATGGAGGACAGAACAGGAGCTCGGCCAAGGGCAAGAGTAAGCGCTATCATCCACCGATAAGCTCCCACCGTAGAATGCTAACATTCAACAGTCAGAGGCTGTACCACCGAGGCATGAATCGCACCTTTCGCCAGATGCTACTCAGACCGCTTCACAGGCTCCTGATGCCTCAGCCTCTGGTGATGGAGAGGAAAATGGCGCAGGATCGCCATTTGGATTGCCACGAAGGGCAGCGACTACCTCTGCGCAGGACTTTCGTTCCCCACGGAGAGCCGCCACGAGTTCCCGGAGTCCTATGCCACAGCTATCTGAAACCGGATCCATTTTACGACGACGGAGCACTGCTTTATCTAGGAGAAGTGCAGAGCCGCGGCCAAGTTCAACTGCCAACAGGTCCAGAATGAACACGATCATGGGACAGGCTGGCCCCGAGGACACCACGCAACTGAGAGCGGCGCAGGAGAACTATGTGCACCCGGACTATACCTACTTCAACCCCGCTTATGAACAGCCGCCCAGCGCAAAACCCGTCTGGAGCTTGGCGAAGCCCTTGCCTCGCGTTCTTAGACCCGGAATGGTCCCAACCTGGTCAGAGACCGAGCAAAGGATAACTGAACCTGAGCGACCGCCTAGGAACGTCCAGAAAGTTGGCCTTGAAGTCGACCCGGCAGACCTCGAAGAAGGTAGAATTCAGTCATCGCTAAACCCAGCGAAAGTCTCAGCCCAGCTGAAAGATTCCAGGGAACAAAGAGAGAACAACTTCATCCAAGCAGTCCAACAACGGCGAGGGACGTTTACGTCGAGGATTTCGGGACGGCCTGCTAGGGCGTCTTCGCAATCGTCTCGGGTTGGGCCGAGGGGGAGGGCGACGAGTGCGGCGTCGCGAATGACACCGGTCAATGGTGTGAACGAGCCTCAGCAAGACCAGGAGGCAATTGACGTGGGATCACAGCCGAGTCAAGACTTGACAGATTACGACCAGGCAGAAACAACGTCATCGACGGTGCCAGCTGACAGGATACCGTCGCGAGGAGATGATGTTAATCAACTCGATCCCATTCCAGAACATCGCGAGCCTTCGCCGCCACGAAGATCTACAGATTCCGACACAGCATCACAGCAAACGCTTCATCTTGAGGATGAGCCAGACCTCTACGCAGATATGAACGACCTGAAGCTTGTCGCCGAAAACCCACCTTTGTACGAGGAGATTCACAACCACCACACCTATTGGTCCATCGTCCGTACCCAAAACCGCGAATTCCTCGCCGAGCTTCTCGCCGTCTTCGTCCAGTTGACCATTGGCTTCAGCGCTGATACATCCGCCACCCTCAATGGTACCTCTGCCAACGTCAACACCACTGCCTGGGCTTGGGGCTTCGCGACCATGGTAGGGATCTACATCTCCGGTGGCATCTCCGGCGCCCATCTGAACCCCGTCGTCACCGTCGTGCTGTGGTTCTACCGCGGGTTTCCCAAACGGAAGATGATTCCCTACTTCGCCGCGCAATTCATCGGCGCTCTGCTCGCTGCCTACACGGCCTATGGTCTCTACCTCGCTTCCATCAAGGACTACGAGAAGACGGGTGCCTACATGGACATCGCGAATGGTTTCGTCACAGGCCACAGGCATACTTTCATCGACGCGGCCACGGCCTTCTTCAACGAGTTCGTCTCCACTGCCTTCTTATGCTGCACCGTCCTCGCTCTCGGCGACGACCAGAACGCCCCTCCCGGAGCCGGCATGAACGCCCTCATCATCGGCCTTTTAATCACGGCTCTAAATTTCGCTTTCGCCTACCAGGACGGAATGGCAATGAACCCATCGCGGGACTTCGGGCCGCGTCTGGCTCTCCTGTCCCTTGGTTATGGTACCGATCTATTCACGAATCCCTTCTGGTTCTATGGCCCTTGGGTAGGTGCTTTGTGTGGCGCAATGGTGGGAGCGGCGCTGTATGATGTGTGTATCTTCACGGGCGGAGAGAGTCCGATCAATTACCCCTGGACGCGAACGAAGAGGAGCTGGAAGAAGGGGAAGAGAAAGTGGGTTAGGAGGGCGAGGAGGGTCCTTCCCAGCAAGAAGAGAGGGGTGAAGGCTCTTGTGGATGATGAGGAAGTTACGCCGTGGCCAGGGATGGAGATGGGTGATGTCTCGTAAGCGTTTGCTTGGCTTTTTTTTTTGATTTGTTTTGTGTTGCTCTCGAAAGCGTTCAAGCGGCACGCGATACCATGATACTGAGTTCAAAGATATAGAAAGGCCTTTAGATGAGAAGTGCGTAAGGAAGATGAGCTCGAGAGAAGGCTCTTTGTGAAAGATGATTCATACAGCAACGACTAGGGTATCTCCATCTCACTCTCTGGGCTTCGTAGGTGTGACATCGCGACTGCTCCCGCCACCCTTCTTCATCAACGAATGGAAGTACTCCTCCAGTTTATCAATCGGCAGATCTTTGCTTTCCGAAGATGCAGCCCTAGAGCTTGTCGAAGCGGACTCGCGGGGCGTCCCGCGATCAGCAGAGGGTCTCCTCTCTTCGCCGCTGGTATCACGAAGAGGTCGGGGAGGCTTGGGCGTGGAAGTTCTCGTTGTCGGTGATAGTGATGATTGCGCTTCTGTCGGTGGTGGCCGCTTCAACCTCTCGATCGCAGCTTCTGCACTGATAGTGTCGTAGCTGACTCCGCCCACATTGAAAGAGACGTCGCCCAGCTCATTCAGAGCTCCTGTCTGTTCGCCGCTGGGTAGACCGACCACACGGACCGTTGACAGACTCGTATTGGAGACGCCAGATCGGCCACCGGCAGCTTCTCGTTCCCGGTCTTGAGATTCGAGCTGTTGCAGGTGTTCACGCATCTCCGACAAGAATATTTGATCCGGCTTCGTCGTGACTTCGATCTGTGGAGGTTTCTGCTGTTTATGCGCTTGTGGATCCTGTATTCGAGATTCGTAAGCGATCACGGCCGAAGGCGGCATCTTAGATGGTGAGAGCGGAGGTTCGGCAATATCGTCGTCAGCGGCTTCATCGACAGGCGAACTTTCGTAGACTTCTGCGCCGCCATTGGTCTGCTTCAATGCTTTTGGATCCGTTGACGACGGTTCTTCTGTCTGAGGCTGTGGCTGTGGTTTGGGTGCCCGCGGAGGTTGCAGGTCCACTAGCCATGCGTTGAGGACGTCCTCTGGAGCAAAGTTCTCGCTCAGCGTCCGAATGAAGGCTGCACTGTCCCATCCTGCAGGAATTACTATGGCCATGCGGTCCATAAATTCGTGCTTGGGACCCAGCTCCTCTTTCTTCGCGCTGTCTCCTGAGCGAGGCTGCTTGAGGTTCAAAGCAGACACGTTCAATCTTATGGAACTGTAGACGACCTTCTGAACCTCGCTCAAAGGACTGCCAGGTTGTTGGGGCGGCGTTGACGAGGTTGTATATACCAGTGCGCTCAGCGGATGCAGAGGTAGCAGTGCTGTCCGTAGACATTGTGAGATGTAGTCGAAGTCCTCCTCTTTGTACATATCCCGCAGAAGGTCTTCTTGTGACTCTGTGTGCTGTACAACCACTGTGATCCCCAGCTGTGCATCTTTGACTACGTCCATGGGATCTGTAGCTGGCGTTCCAGGTTGCAGCAGCGCTTTTGCCAGCACTTGCATCCATCTTCTCAACTGGTCCAAGAACTTCCATGGCTCTTTCCAGCTCAGCATTATACAGATTCCGGGCGACGTTGCGTCTTCATCTTCCTTTTCCTTCTCACCGTCAATCATCTCCCCGTTCATTGCATCTTCTGCTTCCCCTTTGGGCTTCACAAGTAGCCGCCTCAGAGTTGGTACATATTCCTCGTTCGCCTCAGGCAGCGTATGTATCTCCAACTGCGCCACCTCTTCTGGTTCTGTGCCCAAGACTTGGACTCCAGTTCCGCTCTGCTGCGGCGGAGAGTAGAGCGTTACATGGCCGTAGCCGTACGCATATTTGTTACTCAATCTCAGCTCTCCCTTCGGTCTTTGTTGCTGTTTTCGTTCCTGATTTCTCGAAGGAGGCTGAGTCGGTGGCGGCCGCGAGATACTCTGTACGAACGAGCGCTGGTCTTCTGGTGAACCTCCACAAACAATGAGTTCGCGATGCTGAAGTGCCTGAGTTCGGGATCGAGCCTGCGCTTCTCGCGTTTGGCGCAGGAGGTTTGACCAGATGTCTGTACGCGCTTCCCTCTTTCGCTTTGGTCCTGGTTGCGACGGGCGCGACATTGTGCTTGTTGCCATTGTTGAAACGGAGTGTGTCCAAGAGGTCAAGACGCGTGTGTTTCCAAGACGGACGTATACAGGGAGCTTTAATCAAATATCCATTGGAGCGCTGTTGAAGTTGCGGCGGAAAGTGCCAAGCCGGGGGTGAGATGAAGGTCCACCTCCATCATCGCATCGGTTTGAGTATCTCAAACACATTGCACGGCAAAGATGGTCTTGAAGCTACGCCTCGCTCGCGTGTCAACGCCTACAGGCGCGAAACGACATCAACCCTTCTACAACATCGTCCTTATGAATTCCCGCACAGCACGCGACGCAAAACCAATGGAAGTCTTGGGAACATACGATCCTATTCCGAAGCTACCAGTCGGAGCAGACCCGGGCGACCGAAGACAAAAGGACATCAAGATCGATGTTAGCAGAGCGAAATATTGGTTGGGGGTTGGGGCGCAGCCGAGTGACACCGTCTGGAGGTTACTTGCGATGGTGAGTTGGACTTCAGACAGCGTGATGCAAGGGACGATGGATATTGATTGAGGAAACAGATTGGACTCTTAGAACCGCGATATCTGCCTCATGGACCTCAGACTCTAAAGGCAGTGCGCTTTCCGACACATGTGCCCAAGTCTGAGAAGCTGGGACAATCCGATACGGAAGCTCACAAGGGCGGGATCATGGAGCGGATCAACTCTGAGATACAGGCTGGGAGATCACAGGACGGCGCGAACGCAGGGACTACGTCGCCATCAGATCCGAATGCTGCATGAAGAGAAGAGGATGGATACCGAGGGAGAAATGTCCAACGAACGGAGTGCTATCATACGCCCACAGCGGGTTGGAGGCAAGCCGCAGTCGTGACTTCGAAGAGACTACAATCTGTCTCTTACCCTGGCACCAAGCCCGAAGACTCAACTATCCACCGCCTGCCTCAGGTATGCGGGTCGTAGGAATGGTATTGCGCCATTACAACAAGAGGCTTCCGAGAAGTTCATGTACAGACACACATGCCAGAGATCAAAGCTCACCTGTAACATAGGCTCTTATATGAGCAGCATAGACACAAATTCCAACTAGGTGCCAATAGGCACTCCATCCTTCCTCGTGGTCATTTTCGAGACCAAGCCATCTGACCGTCGATCATGCTCTCATAGAATACTCAAGACATTCCTGCTCAAGCACCCCATGATTGGACAGTTCACGAAGTCAAGATTGCACGCCACTCGTCCAGCCCTTCTGGCGTTGAGACAGCACACTACGGGCCGCACGATCCATGAGCTGCGTATTCACCCATCCGGCAGAAAGATACGGATTGCTGTCGAGCAGTCCTAAGTCGAGGCTCTCCCGACTGCACACAATCGAGATCGAATCATCACTGGACTGTCCCGAAAGTTGAGCGTACGACGAAGAGTTGCGATGCCTACTCGCGGAACTGCTCCGGGAGCTATTTGATGAGGTGTGGGATGGATCGACAGAACCGACTAGGGTGGTGCCAGACGAGTCGCCACTCCAAGATTTGCGTCTTTGGTCAGCAATGCGAGAGCTGGAATACTCAGAATGGACGGAATTTGCATGATCAGGCTGGAGAGGGGGCTCGCGGGCGGAGCGTCTCTTCCACAGATCACCGAAGAGAGCCTGGCCTGCGGCTTTCGCGTCAGCGCGTGCATCGGCTTCCAAGGCTTTGCTACTCAGGATGCGTCGAAGCAGGCGGGACAGCATGTCCCACTGCACGAGAAGGAATTTGTGTCTGGGGCGGGTGTCTTAGCTGGAGTGACTTTATCCGTGCTTTGGCAGATGCCTTGGTTTAAAGGGTGGAGGTTCTGAGGGATCGAATGTCTTCAGAGCAAGGGCAACGGGCACATTTATCTAGTAATTCCTTAACAATGTCGTTGTTTTGGGACATTAAGCGGAAAGATGATGTGTTGTAAATGGGAGCGCGTGCTCGAACGTATGTGAATATCTAGTTGATGAAAGATGCGTTGGATTGGTATTTTTTAACATTATGTGCGCTTTAAGATCCCATCGCGTTTGACGAGGTGCATTATTACGTTCACCTCCAAGAGTGAGGATGTCTGCTTTAGCTGCATTGTATCTTCAAAGTTTTCCCAGATCTTTGCGAGGACCCAATTTTGCCAAGGATGTCCAAGAGCATGCGGCGTGGGAGATATCGCCTTGGCAGACTGCTGATCAGACATGGTTATTATTGAACCTATCACATTGTTCTTAACGAGGTCTTCGGCAGATACCTTACGATTGTGCGATGGTTCTCGAAAAAACAAGTTACGGAGGGTGGACCTGGACTAGCGTGTCTCTTAGTTCCGAACATGACGTCGGGTGTTTGGCTCGTGCCACGCGACTCAACGAACCCGTCCCGTCAAGCCCATTTTCTTCGGGAGAGCAACAATTCCTGACGTAAATCGTCCAACTGTGCAACTCGTTTCCAAGGTTGTCGTCTGTTCCAAGGCACAAGGCGCGCTGGAAGGCTTCAGTTTGACCATGACCATGACTTGGACGGTAGGAGGTAGGTGCTGTGCTCGGGGCTACTACCCTCGACAGGATCCCGCTTCCCTTTTGTGCTTTCATCACGTTCTCTCCCTGTACTGAACAGCCATCCATATCCTCACCATGGCCATCTCGTCAGCGCTTAGTCTGTTGGCACTTCCGGCACTCTCGCTGGCTATTGGTCAAGGTCAGCCATTGTACTCGCAGTACGACTTCAACCCTCTTCAGCATCTGGCTGGAGTAACACCATACTTTGAGCCGTCAGATCCTCCCAGGGATCCCTCGCCTCCCCAAGGTTGTACAGTCTCCAAGGCAGCCTATCTGGTCCGGCATGCGGCCATCAACGCGAATGACTTCGACTACGAGACTTACCTGGAGCCTTTCACGGACAAGCTAGAGAACGCCACCGTGGACTGGAGCAACATTCCAGAGTTGTCCTTCCTTTCCAAATGGTCACCTCCGTCGCTCAAAGAACAGGAGAAGGTCACGCGTACTGGAAAGCTGGAAGCTGCGCAACTCGCAGTCCAGCTTTCTTATCGCTACTACAACCTCAAGCTGCCCCAGAGAGTGTGGACTAGCACTGCAGAGCGAACCGTGGCTAGTGCGGAGGGCTTCATTCGCGGGTACGAGCCAGACGATGACCAAATCAACCTGGTCGAGATCTACGAAGGAAAACAATCCGGTGCAAACAGCCTGACGCCATATTCTGCTTGTCCGGCTTATTCGTCTTCAAGAGGCTCGTCTCAGAGCTCTCAGTATGTGAAGAAATACACGGCACCAATTCTGGCTCGTCTTCACGCCCTGGCGCCAAGCTTCAACTGGACTTCAAATGATGTGGTGGGCATGTTCGAATGGTGCGGTTACGACACCGTCATCCGCGGCTCATCGCCTTTCTGTTCGCTTGATCTGTTCAGTCCGGACGAGTGGCTTTCTTTTGAATACGCCCAAGACCTAATGTATCATCACAACACTGGATATGGGAATCCGATCTCAGGTGTATTGGGCTTTCCATGGCTGAATGCGACCGCTGGTCTGCTCTCTGGCTCTTCTGCATCAGACGACCAAGACCTTTACGTCTCTTTCACGCACCGTGAGCTGCCACCCACTGTTCTGGTGGCGATGGGTCTTTTCAACAACTCGGATTTGACTGGTGCAAACGATCCAAATGCGACAATGCCCACCAACCGAATCAACTATCATCGCCAATGGGTCAGCTCGTATATGCTACCCTTCCTGACAAACATCGCTATTGAGAAGATGAACTGCTCTGCTTCCTACGGATACCAAAACTCGACCGACAGCACATATTACCGTGTGCTAGTGAACCAGAGTCCGCAGACGCTTCCCGACTGCTTCGATGGTCCTTTGGAGAGCTGCTCTGCTGCTGGCTTCCAAAAGTTCATACAGAATCGCGGAGAGATGCTTGGAGGATTCAGTCAAAAGTGCGGAGTGAAATACGACAATTCGACCGACGTCACGAGCTTCTATTCAAGTAATAACAATGGGACCATGATAGGCAAGCGGTCGCCGAGAGGTGGTTGTATGTAAAACATGTGTAGCATACATGTAATGTATATTGTGTACGCTTAACGTCATTGAGTTGGCGCGCACAAGCCTCAGCGCATGAAGTGAATGATTCGTGAAGGAAAAAGCCCAGGACTTCTGATGTTACACTGCCTTCACATTCCACCCAATACCTGAACTTCCTCTTCGTCGTGAACATAATGCCTGTAGCGAAATCGGATCATATGAACCCCTTATGATCGTTTCCATCCAACCAATCACCGTGCGCGTCCACTAAGCAGATCGCTTACCTTATCAACATTCATTGTGCCCAGGCGAGCTTCGACGCATCTGCAACATGCCACCTAACTTCAAAGTCGCCGCCACATACAAGAAGAAAGATGGCACCTTCATCGTCGGCGAAGACAAGAAGAACGCCTTTTGGACGCCCAAGGGAGACGCAACTCCCACTGTAACGATCCGCGCCACAGAGATCACGAATCTCCAGCAGACCCCCGAGACCGCAAAGGCTATCGCGTTGAAGATCATTGTGGGAGATGAGAGCTATGTCTTCACTTTCGGGCAGAGACCGGATCAGGAAAAGACCACGGAGAAGGTCAAAGAACTTATTGCGTTGTATAAGGTGAAGGATGGACCGGCGACCGCAGCAGCGGGGACGCCGGCGGCGGGTACACCTGCTGAAGGGAGCGGTGGAGAGGGGCAGAGCGCTGCCATGGCTATTGCGAAGGCCGTAGCATCGAAAGCGGCAGATGAAGGGTGGTATGATGACAACCGACTCAAAGGGGATACAATGCTACAACGCACTCTGCTAGAGTCGAACCAGGCGCTCAAGGAGAGATTCAACCAGGCTCTGAAGGATAAGCCGGAGTCAGTCTCGATTTCGCAATTCACAAACCAATTCTGGTCGGCACGGGTACACTTGTTGCGCGCGCAGGCAATCGAGAATGCACAGAAGCAGGGAGAGTACAATGTCCTTCCGGAGATTCGATACGTACGCAAGGTTGCGGAGAAGCCGGGCGAAGAGGATATCCTTTTGTTGAATATCACGAAGGAGCAAGTCAGGCTGATTTTCAAGCAATATCCGATTGTGAAATGGGCATACGATGAAAGCGCGGGCAGCAGGACGGGCCAGATATCACAGAACGACTTCTGGACAAGATTCTTCAAAAGTAGATTACTGAAGAAGCTGAAGGGTGAACGCATTTCTCAGCATGATGAGAGAGATCTGTTGCTGGACAAGTATCTGGATCGACCCGAAGAGGGCGCTGCTTATCCTACTCCGCATATTCCTCACTGGATGGATTTGGAAGGAAACGAGCAGAATCATAGCCAGCGAAAGGGGAATCGACCTGATGAGGACATGAGACCCTCCGGCCACGACAAGGCACCAATACTACGGGTGCTCAACAACCTCTCAGAGAAGATGATGGCACACATTGCGCCAGAGGATAGTGAGGCACACGCACCAATTGGGATGGACGAAGATACGTATGAGCAACTACGACTGCGAGACTTGGCCATGGATGATGTCGACAATAGGGTAGTCTTGAATGTCCGAGAACAACAGCGATACGCGGGCGGCAGTCAAGATGATCTCTCAGCAGAGGCAAAGCTGTACGCTAAGCAAGACCCCAAGAAGGTCCTCTCACTACTACGGTCGAGTCTGCAACCGAACAACCTCGGTGCAGATGAGCAAGGCACCTTACGACTAGATCGAGCTATCGGATATCAGACAGATGATGATTCGGACGACGAAGACGAGGAATCAACACATCAATCCAACGGCACGGCACCTAAAAAGAAAGCCAAGTTGGGCTCACACGCCGCGATATCTGTCGCTTCCAAAGACATCATGGAATCCATAAGACAGCGACGTCACGCCCAGTCCTCCGATCCGACCGCTCTGCACGGTCTAAGCCAAGCGACCTTCGACACTCTCACAATGACTCACAACACCACGACCGAGTTTCTGCACTACTTCTGGTCTCTCTTCCTCTCCGGCGACGCTTCGAAATCAAACGAACTCGCACAATTGGTCTCCACTCTGGATCGCTCCCTGGACCGCATCAACGCCGTGGCTGCGCAGGCTGAAGCAGAACGACAGAAACTCATCGAAGCAGCCAAAAGGGAAGATAAGCTACATTTGGAAAGGACGAAGAAACGGAGAGGTACGAATTATGAGATGGCGTTTGGGGGCGGGAGGAAAGTGGTCGAGGCGATGGTGCGTCCCACTGTGCAGGCCTTGGATAGGGCTACGACTGCCTATCGAAAAGCTTTTGAAGAGCAAACAAAGGAGGCGAATGCGGCTGGGGCTACGATGGCTGCCGCGTGAAGTTGTAATGATATGAATCTAATTAGAAGCAGCAAAATGATCAAGTGCCTGGTGGAGAGCTGAGATGAAACAACTATTCCCCATCAGCTACAGCCTCATTACTCTCGAGTTCCTTATTAAAGAGACCTGTCGTTCTGGTCAAGCCAAGCACACTGCAACGGCTCCTGCGTCCTCTGCACCTGCCTCGGTGTCCTACAGAATAATCCTGATACGCGGAAAGACATACATCATCATACGCTATTGTGGGTATCAACAAAATGCGCATATCATCGCTTCATCGCGCCAAGGGTATCTAGCCAATTCCCTGTGGCTCAAGTTCCATCAAACGCCACGCTGTAACAATGCAAGCTCAGTACCAGACGAGCAGTAATCTTAGCCCTCAGCCGGAGCAGCTATAGTAGATAGTGCCGCAATTGCCTGCTGAACTTCGTCATTCGCAACGCTCTGCCACTTCTCCCTCTCTTTTTGAGCAGAAAGCGCAGAGGCATCGCCCACAAGCTCGTACATCTTGCGAGACACATCTCTGTTGATGTCGGTGTACTGTTCTTTGGTGATCTCCTTCTCCCGGTACCGTGCGCCAAGCGAGAGCTTGACCATCCTCTGGATCTCTTCTTTCGCGGAATAGGATAAGCGCGATGGCGAGGCAGACGACTGGCGTGCTTCTGGCGAAGCGCCATCTTGCTGTCGCTCGCGGCCTCGATGACGACGGCCTCGCAGCTGGGCGTCGATTGGCCTTTCCGAGGTGACACGGGTTTCCGCAGGAGAGAAGGGAGAGAAGGTCTGCCCCATTGGTGAGATGGGAACCAATTCCGAGGAGAGAGGAGGCGACAAGGGTCTCTCCATGGCTCTGGGGGTTCCAGGCTCGGACGATGCTGGAGACCGTACGGGAGACGAGTTCCGAGGTGACTGACGGCCATAGGCATGATCCGTTGTAGCTGGGGACGTAGCAGATGTGGCCTTATGCTCGACCTCGCGCAAGAGCGAAGAGAGGAAGGTTGGCTCTTCGGTGTTCCTGCGACCAGCAGCGGCGTTTGATGATTCTGCTTGCTCAGCTTGCGTCTGCGGAGGTCTTCGCAGGCGGGGTCTTTTCAGTTGAGGTTGTTCTGACTGTCCCGGCTCGCCCGGCGAGGCAGGTGATTGCGTGGCCCGTCGCTTGCGGCGCCTTACAGTCGAGGGTGCATCTTGTGATTCTCGAGCTTTGTCGAACGCGTTCCATGCTCTAAGCTCATCCTGCGATTCTGCACGCGGCTGCAGATTTCCAAGTCGCCCCTGAGCGATGCTGCGGAGTCGATCCGTGGCACCATGACTATCTGCGACCGCAAATCGCCGCTGCCAGACCTCAAACTCACGACGTTGTTCTTCCGTTCTCTCCTCTGTGCCGGACTCTTCGTCAAAAGGAAAGTCTAGATCGAGATCAAGTCTCCTCGACACCTCTTGCCAAACACGAGCCCACATCGCATCGTTATGCCAGCGACGGCGGGACGGGGCGCCATTTCGGTTCTGATTGCGGCGGCGGGGTTGTCTTTGAAGAGCAGAAGCCATACCGGGCAATTCTGTATCGTTCTCGAGGTCGACAAGACATGTCTCACAGTACCACACGTCGGGAGCGTCGTCGAAGCCGGCGCAGAAAACATGGACTGATCGGTCGCAGCCGTCGCAATACATGACGCCGTGGCCATCCTGTGCAGATCCGCAAACCAGACACGGATCCCAAGTTTCGACGGCGAAGAGTTCGTCTTCGACAATCATAGTCGGGTCCACCTCGGCCTCTTGCACCTTATCTCTCACCGCATAACTGTCGACGATGGGGCCACCAAGCGTGCGGCTGATCTCGACCATGTTGAATGTTGTGCGACAAATTGGACAGCTGTTCGCGCGCTCTACCCATGGCTTCAGACAGGAGTTGTGTAAATCGTGCTTGCAGGGAAGTAGATGGGCAATCGCTTCGTCGTCGGTCTCAATACTGCGAACAACATATCAGCACATGGTTCGAGAAAGATTTCATACTGAAGGCCTCCAGCCGCTTCGCATTTGCATGTGAAGCTGGGATCAACCTCACCTTCCAAGCTTATTCGGCGAATATCTTCTAGATCTTCAAGCCGTCCAAGAAGGAAGCATGGTACCAGTCAAGGTAGTGCGGAGGGCAGGCCATGGAGGCCTCCAGTATGGGAGGTCATCGCCATCATCGGCGGCAGACACGATCGAGATTAGGTGCGGTACCTTTGCGCATTCGTAGTTACGGTATGCTTGGCGGCATCAATGCCCTTGTCAGCATCATCAGCGGGAACAGCTGCGGCATCTTCCGGTGGTGGGTCTTCGACCACCGAGGTGCGCAAGTCACCCAGGCACACGATGCAGGCCTCTGCCATGTCTTGTTGGTATTGAACAAGTGTGTGAATGTGTGTGTCGAGGCAAGAACATGAGTTTGGTTTTCCGAGGGCGAAGTTGAAGTAGAGATCAAAGAGTGGATGTAAAGAAAGAAGAGACGTAAGACAGGGTCGCGGAGCTTTGACGCTAGCGGGGGCGGGCTTGGCGCACGTGACCCAGGCGAATTGATCATTCGTCCACGGTCAGAAACATCGAGGTGGTGACCTAGCTCGTGGTGGCATCATTGGTGCCTTAGCCCGAAATTGGGATGCTGTTCTCATGTGCCTTCGGGAAGGAATGATTAAGCTTGTCAGCTGTCGCCTTTTCTCCAGTTCAGCTGACGTCGGATCGTTACTCTTCTTTCCCTCCTCGTACTTCCTGTAGATGGCCGGATGATTCGAAAAGGTTGAGATGAATCCATAAGTGAGAACGTGCTCTGAATACACTGCATCTTCATGCACTGCATTGCGGTATCTTCTTTGCCTATCCTAGAACGACTGCGATCGCGGTGAGTCGGAGAGCACAAAGTCATTGGAAGCAGGTTTCGGGAAATGCCGTTCGGAGAGGAAAAAGATAAGACGATGGGAAGGGGGGGCTGTTAATGTGAGATTTTCATTCGTGGGCCTCGCTAGAAAAGCCAGGCTCTCTCGCCATCACGTCACGAGCGTGAGCCATAAAACTCCGTAGAAGCCTCCCAATGCAGAAGAATCGCCATTCTATACCTCAGCGATTTCGCGCAGACGTCTGATGGTAGAGCGGGTCGCGGCCGCAGCGGGCGTCCTGAGTTGGATATGTCAGTGTCCGTCCCTTCCCATATCTCAAGACCCAGGTGTACGTACGAGACGGTGTATGCGCCTCCTGCAACAGTCTTGCCGCATGATTTGCAGTCCCAGATTCCGACGGCGTTGCGCTTGACAGAGACCTTGCCGCAGAATGTGCATGTGTAACGGGCGTGCTGGGACACTTCGATCTTCTTGACCTGCTTACGAAGGGAGGCACCGTAGCTGCACTCAACAATCAGAATTCGTCACTCCAAATGACTGTCCTGCCCAATGTCCGCAGCTCATCTCTCACATGAGATGCCAGTCTCCAACTCTTGTTCGCTCTGCAGGGCGGGCAGGATCTCGAGAGGGATGCGTACCGCGTGCCGTATTTACCCGTGATACCGACCTTCTTCGTGCGCTTCGTCATGTTGGCGGTTGTGGGTGGTTGACGATTTGATGGTGTTGTCCGCTGGCAAAGATAAGGTCGTGCCTTGGGAGAATTTCGAGGTGGAAGGTGCGAGTTGGGCTAATGTCTTGGCATTATCAGAAGTCGTGGGACGGCCGATGATGCGAGACCGAGCAAGAGCGAGAGTGACTCGAGGCGTTTGGCGCTTGTGGGCCTCAAGAACGGTTTGCATTTCCTCCGAGCACCTTCCATACTCTCTACGATCTCGCATCGGCTGCTTGGTAAGGTATATCACGGCTACATGTACGGTTTGCGACAACGAGGAGTTTAAATGTCATCAGGCTCAGATGTATCCCCCTGGACGCTGCGTCTTCTTAGCACTTCTGTGCTCGACCCAACCGCCGGGTAACCAAGGTAACCAAGCCGACTTTCATCAATAGTTCGGTCCATCTCCTTTCCATCCATCTCCTCCATTGAACAAAATGTCGCGTGACCAACGCCAGTATGAAGTCGTCGTCTTTGGCGCAACCGGGTGAGCGGTCCATCGACATGTCAATCTTGAAGGAGCCGGCTTGCTAACTCACTGCCTCGCGTCTCGAAGCTACACAGGAAAATACACAGCAGAACATGTAGCGACTCAACTGCCCACGGACCTGCGATGGGCGATTGCCGGTCGCTCGGAAGCCAAACTCAAGAGCGTAGCAGAGGAGCTTCGCCAGATGAATCCGGACCGGGTCGAACCAGGCATTGAGCTCGCAAGCATTGATAAGGCCGACCTGGTTAGCCTCGCAAAGAAGACAAAGGTACTCATCAGTGCTGTAGGGCCATATCACAAGTATGGCGAAGCAGCATTCCAAGCCTGTGCTGAGACGGGCACGCATTACCTCGACTGTACAGGCGAGGTCCCATGGGTAAGTGCCATGGAGGGTGACCACGCGGCCAACATGGAGCAAGAACATGAATCGGCATATGTGCTTTGAGCTTGGAAGCTTGGTTGTTCGACACGATCTGGTTCTTGCCCGAGCGGACTGACAACGCAAGCACGGCCAACCAGACGATTCGTGGTTGTGTGGGCCATAAAGGAGTGTGCTAATTGGTCTAGGTCTACGACATGGTCGAGAAGTACGACGCTGTGGCAAAGAAGACTGGTGCCATCATGATACCCCAGACCGGCGTCGAAAGTGCTATTCCGGATCTCATGTGTTGGCTCTTGGTTTCGCACATACGTCGTACTCTATCTTGTGGTACTGCGGAAGTGGTGAGTACTCTGGAAATGCGGTTTTCCGTCCACAGGAACAAGGGCTTACGTTGCCGTCTCATAGCTTAACGCGATCTATGAGATGAAAACAGCTCCCAGTGGGGGAACTCTTGACACCCTCCTGAGCTTGTTCGAGTCGTACAGCTTGTCGCACATCGCGAAAACAATGTCCCCCTTCTCACTCTGTACCACCACGCCACCGAAGCAATCCCGCAGCCCACCATTGACGGAGAAGCTTACGGGTATGCGGACCGACGAAGAACTTGGCCTGCTCACCGATAGTCTCTCCGGCACGACTGATGCACCTATCATCAACCGAAGCTGGAGCCTTTTCGAGGGCGGCAGATTCTACGGACCTAGATTTCAGCTCTCCAGTTACATGAAAGCCGACAATGCAGTTTACGCAGTTATTGTCCATCTCGGATTGACATTGGGAGTAGCGGCGCTGATCTTGCCGCCGGTCCGCTGGTTGATCCGCCAATTCATCTATCAACCCGGTGAAGGAACGCCTAGGGAGTACGTATCGAGCCGGCGTCCTTCCCGGAGCTGTACACTGACGTTTGGTAGACAAGCGAAGAAAGAGCACTGCGAATGGCGTGCGATTGCCAACGCAGACGTGTCTGATCCCCGGGATCCGAAGAGAGCTTCTGGTCGAATTCGATGGGAGGGAAGCATGTACCATTTGACAGCGGTCGTCCTGGCAGAGGCTGCAATAGTCCTTGCCCGCGAAAACGAGAAGTCATTTGCACAGGAGCTTGGCGGCGGAGTGCTCACACCTGCGACGCTTGGTGCGTCATATTTGGAGCGCTTGCAAAAAGCCGGCTTGCAAGTTGAAGTCAAAACGCTGCCATGAGGAGCGAATTCTTTCCTACTGAGCGGCGGTGTGGCTTTTGGAGGAAGTGGATGGTGGTGGTTGGTAGGTCCGGGGTTCTGACCGCCATACCGCTAACTGCTGCAGCATGCAGCGGCAGACCCCCGGGACTTCTGAGTCGCTGGAGCAACATGGTCTAGGGTACCTAAACTTTGAAAATGGGACTGGCGGAATCAGTTTTCCCACTCACCGAGACGATTGCTTATGTATTTGCTGACGCGACGTCTCGATTTTCTCTCGATCTCTTTGTCTTCATCAATTGCAACTTCGCTTGCTGCGGTGTCTGCCAAACCGCCGTTGCCGTCCAAGAGCCCATTGACAGAACCACTTCGACCGCTATGGCACACAGCTAGGCGCCACCTACGACCATCTCGACGGAATACAAAGAAGCGCACATGTGTTTGGGAACATACGTCGTTTCTTATTCTTGTGGGCACGTGGCGGCAACGCCAAATGTGTGTCTGCGAGATGTCGCGCCTCACTATCGATGCGAGTCCCGCGGGATGAAGATAACACAACCCAACGGTCGTTGCGTGGAATGTTATGCTAGGGACCTCTCGCCCGACGAGCCCTTCACGACGACTGTTCGATTCAACCCAGATCCGCTCAGCTTTTCCGAAAAGCCGGTTCAGCAACTTACACCGCAAAGCAGTATCGACAGCTCGGAGCGCAACGATGCGATCATCCGATGGTGAGATTGACCCGAGACCTTTGTCTGAGAGTTGCTGCTCACCTGTCTCGAAGGGTAATGGACGTTCCCGCACCCGGCGGATCGATACGTATTGAACGCGAAATCAGCCAGACCAGTGCTTCGCTCGGAAGGATGCGTTCTGCCAGTAGCATATCGATACGACAACGAGAAGACATGAGGCCCCCTACGATTCAAACAATGCGAACTGCGGATCCGATGGGTTACGAAGCCGACGATGACGATGAAAGTATTTGATCGACAGCTGTTACAACCGGTCAAGGAAGATCTTGTTTCACGACGAACTCCACCCGATTTCCAGGTCCTGCGTCTCGCACGGCCATTATAACACATCCATTCGCATCGAAGGCATCCCTGAATGACTCTTGCCATGCCCTTTGTGCTTGACATGCTCGGACCGCGCCAGATCGGTGATATGGTCCTTGTTAAGTGATAATCATGGATGATACGATTGGCATTCGAAAAGAACAGCAGCGACCGAAGCCCCTGCGACTCTGAGGCGCCCGAGCTGACTGTCCTCTAGCAGGAATCACATTGCCTTGTACATAAACGTACACGGACAAATGAAAGTTACACCACCGTGTGTTGGTATTTAATAAGCCACACATCTCAGCAATCCAGAGGGCAGCCATCTAGATCCTTACTCTCAGTGTCGTTCGTCTTATTCCTGCTTTCTGGTAAACTTGTTTCGGGTGATGGGCTACTCCACTGATCTGCACCTTGGTTGCACGCTGTGCACGCGAAGGGGTTCCGAGCCATAAGATTAGGCTTCATTTCGATCAGCCGTGGACGTTTCCCACACTCAACAAGAGGTCCTGTGATGAGCAGAGAATACATTCAAGAGGTCGTATGTGCAACCGCAATGACGACCCGATCTAGATCTCTCCACGGCAGAGTCGCCTCACACCTCGTCTCGTGGCACCCGGATATCCCGCAGGCTCGCGAAGGCCGACTCGGATATTCTCTTTTAGACTTTGCGGCTCCAGGTTTCCTTCCAACCTCTCCCTGTCTCACACCAAACGCAGACCACTAAAACTTTCTTCAACAAATTCACAGAGAAGCCAAACCTGCAAAGACGGCCATGCCTTTTCAGAGCGGCAATGCTGGTTGGCGGTGGAGGCATCTGCGGCATCGCGCTTGTGGATCATCACGGGACCTTCTGTCGGCTGCGCGACGACCCAATGCCGACTCAAGGCGGCGAACGAGGCGCAGAACCTCGGTCATGATGTTGGAGCTCTCATAAAAAGAGGAGTAACACTTCTTTGCGTCCTTCTGCGTCGACAACAGCGAGACCAGCAGTATCTCCTTCCTCCTGCGTTCATCGCTATTGTCCGACGGAACGGATGAAGTGGTAGAAGCTCTTGTTCACCCCCTCACTTCTCTATCCGTGTAATTGCCGTTGAACGAAGCACGCGAGCAACATCATGCCCTTCCTAGCGAAGGAACACTTCCCGCTGTCTTACGAAGACATCTTGTCATGGACGTTCGACCACGTCAAATACGACTGGGATCAGCCCATCTACATCGACGCCCTTAAACCAGAACGTTCCATCTCAGCTCGACAGGCGAAGAAGCTGGTTCGCCAACTTGCGGCTGGATTCAAAGCTATTGGTGTTCAAAAAGGCGACTGTGTCTCCATACACAGCTTCAATGACATCTACTATCCCATATTCTTTCTAGGAGTCCTTGCTGCAGGTGGAGTCTATGCTGGTACCAATCCGGGATATACAAAACATGAGCTCACGCATACGACGAAGATTGCAAAGGTGAAATACATCCTCACACAGCCGGCGCTGGTCAAGAACATCTTGGAGGCAGCCGAGGACAATGGGATTCCGAAGGAGAATGTCATCATTTTCAATCCTGACGGACAACAAGCACCCCAGAGCTTTCTACAGTGGGCCGATCTGCTGAAGCATGGCGAGTGTGATTGGGAAAGATTCAATGACTACGAAACTGCATATCAAACAGGCGCTGCGAGACTATATTCTTCAGGTACAACCGGACTGCCCAAGGCCGCCGAATTGAGCCATCTGAACTTGACCGCACAACACACGCTTGTCTTCGAAACCAACCCTCGACCCTACAAAGTCCGTCGTCTCCTCCCCTTGCCCATGTTCCACGCCGCGACGGCACCCGGCGCCTTCTGTACACCTCTTCGCAGCGGAGATCAAGCCTACGTGATGCCACGCTTCGATCCGGAAACCTGGTTCAGGGCACACGAAAAGTATCAGATCACAGATCTGGCAGCAGTACCTCCCATCATCGTCCTGGCGATAAATTCTCCCTTGAACGAGAAATACAGTCTAAAGTCCGTGCGGGTCGGCCAGTCCGGTGCAGCTCCACTAGACAAAGGTCCCCAGGCACGTATGAAGGCATTGATTGCAGATGGAGCGCCCATGACGCAGGTTTGGGGCATGACGGAGACTTCGTGCATTGCTACTCGAGTTCTGTATCCGAATGACGATACTACGGGAAGTATAGGCCGACCGATACCGAATCTGGATACCAAGCTGGTCGACGAGGATGGGAAAGACATCACGGACTATGACGTTCGAGGCGAGCTGTGCGTGAGAGGGCCCACGATCGTTAAGGGCTATTTCGAGAATCCGGAAGCAAATGCGAGGGATTGGGATGAGGATGGGTATTTCCATACCGGAGATATTGCCAGCATCGATTCCAAATCGAAACTCTACTATATCGTAGACCGTAAAAAGGTACCGCATCTCTTCCTATCCCATTTGTTTTCCATACTGACAGCTCATCTCTCAATAAAGGAACTCATCAAAGTCCGCGGCTTCCAAGTCGCTCCCCCCGAACTCGAAGGCGTTCTCCTCTCCCACCCCAACCTAGTCGACGCAGCCGTCATCGGAGTCCCCGACCCCGTACGAGAAGGCGGCGAACTGCCCCGTGGCTACGTCGTGCGCCGAGATCCAAAGAGCAATACACCGACAGAGCAAGAAGTACACCAGATGATGAAAGATAAACTGACGAGTTACAAGAGATTAGAAGGAGGTGTGGTGTTTGTGGAAAGTATCCCGAAGAATGCATCGGGCAAGATTTTGAAGAGGATTTTAAGGGAGGGGGCGAAGGAGGAGATGAAGAGGGAAGGAGGAAAGGCGAAGTTGTAGATATAGTTGGATGTGGGAGGGAAGGAATGTTTTCGTATCCACAACATGTTCTCCCGACAAGGACAAATCCTGTATTTCATCCAGAGTTCGAGAGCAAACGGAATTCAGCACATGGAGACGTTGCTGGACGAGAGTAATCGTCGCGATAGTCTTCCTCATCAGCAGATGTCGCTAGGACGGGTCCAGTAAGCTGTCAACTTGCCTCGCTACATCGATCGTGACGCTCACACCAGATTCGGCCAATGCCATCTAGGACCCCGATCTCCAGCCGACCGAGGCAGATGAGACGACTGTTCACGCTTTTATCGATAGGATATCGATCGATGGAGGACAGGGAGAAGCCGACGCTGCGGAGAGGTGTCAAAGAGGTGAAGCGTAAGGGGTCGGGCGAGACTAGGTACTCTCGTATTGATAGATACGAGTACACAATGCCGTTGCCAAATTTCGTTTGTAACATACCGTATGTGGGTGTGTTTACACTGTGTATCTTCGGGATGCGGCTCGTGGATCCACGCGCTCCACCTTATCATCTCTGCGCAAGCCACGAAAAGTCTATTGTGGAACGGCCCGGAGCACGTGCCTTTGCCATTGACACCCCAGATTTCTTGCCGGCCCTTGCCCACATGATCCACCGGTGAAAAACTTCTCGACACCTCCCCCAGCAAACCCCTCCACTCCTCTCACATCACATACACCACCACCTCTCTCTGCATACTCCGACAAGAGGTTGGCTTTATGTTTATTCCGACCATCTTCACTTCACAGGTACGCTTCCTATCGAGTCACCGCCTCTTCCGCCGGATCAGAAAAGCCTGATCATCGCCTGATAACGAGCAACGAAGCGCTGACATGCCGCCACAGGACTACATTGCGGATCATCTTTGGAAAGCCTCTGTAAACTAAGAGCTTCTCCAGAGGAACTTTGGCATACACAATTCCACAATGGCGACTGCTATCTTTACCCGATCTTTCAAGCCCTCGGCTGGCCTCAAAGCCTTCAAGCCTACCTACCACGTCAGGTACAACGCCACCGTCCACAGCGGTACACCGCGAGTGCCAGCGACACCTCCAACTTCTCGCACCACGAAGCCTTCTTTCGAGCGCGCGACCTTCACGATCCGCGATGGTCCGATCTTCCACGGAAAGAGTTTTGGTGCCAGGACAAACATCAGTGGTGAAGCCGTCTTCACCACCTCTCTCGTGGGCTACCCAGAGTCCATGACCGATCCTTCGTACCGTGGTCAGATTCTGGTCTTCACCCAGCCTCTCATTGGCAACTACGGCGTCCCATCGTCCACCCGCGACGAGTTTGGTTTGCTGAAGTACTTCGAGAGCCCAAACATCCAGGCTGCTGGAATCGTCGTCGCCGATGTTGCCCTGAGATACTCCCACTGGACTGCCGTCGAGAGTCTTGCCGAGTGGTGTGCTCGTGAGGGTGTCGCAGCCATTTCTGGTGTCGACACTCGTGCTATCGTCACTCACTTGCGTGAGCAGGGTTCATCCCTTGGCAAGATCACCATTGGCGAGGAGTACGACGCAGACGAGGACGAGGCATACGATGATCCGGCTGCCATTAACTTGGTCAAGAAGGTCTCGACCAAGGCTCCATTCCACGTCCCATCGCCGAACGGATCTGCTCACATCGCATTGCTCGACTGCGGTGTCAAGGAGAACATTATCCGTTCCATCGTTAGCCGCGGTGCCAGTGTGACTTGCTTGCCGTACGACTATCCAATTCACAAGACTGCTCACCATTTCGATGGTGTTTTCATCTCCAATGGTCCGGGTGACCCAACTCACTGCAAGGCCACTAGCGACAACCTCCGCAAGCTCATGGCCGGAAGCAACATCCCAATCATGGGAATTTGTCTCGGCCACCAGCTTCTCGCAATTGCTGCTGGAGCCGGCACGACCAAGATGAAGTACGGCAACCGTGCCCACAATATCCCAGCTCTCGACCTCAGCACGGGCAAGTGCCACATCACCAGCCAGAACCACGGATATGCTGTTGACCCTGCTACCTTGCCCTCGGACTTCAAGGAGTACTTCACCAACTTGAACGATGGCTCCAACGAGGGCATGATCCACAAGACCCGCCCCATCTTCAGTACTCAGTTCCACCCTGAAGCCAAGGGAGGCCCATTGGACAGCAGCTACCTATTCGATGCTTATCTGAAGGAGGTCCACCAGCACAAGGCGCAGAACGATGTCCTGAAGGGCGGCAAGGACAACCGACCCAGCCCACTGCTGGTTGACCTGCTCGCCAAGGAGCGCGTTGGCGTGGCACCTGACCAGATTCAGGCGACCTACAGCTGATTCAAATTGTCAAAATGATTTCTGAAAGCGTGATGAGGAGTTTCGGTATGGGCGGCTGGGGTTTGGGTTCCGGGTTCAATCGTTAGGCAATCCGATGTGCGTATTTGTATGTGCACGTGAGGTCGGATACTCGAAAATGAGACGCTGTCACTTTTCCTCGTGCGCAATGCGGACCTGAATGACTCCGTTCCCCTCTTATGGCTTGCATGTATGTGGAAGACAGCTTAGGACGTCTTCGTAGCAGTCTACACCTCCTCCATCAACTTTAGCGTAACCGCCAACCAGACTGCTTTAAACTTCATGCTGAAACAAAAGATCTGCAGCCCTCTACACGTGACATGCGAAACGACACGGTGGTTGTCTCTAAGTCGTCGCAAGCCTCTCCACTTCGTACAATTCATAGGCGCTTGGCAGGGAGACGCATATACTGCACTGCACTGCCCACTAGCACAGCCTCGATCGTGGGCAAGAGAGAGTATCTATGCGAAGGCGCAACTTGGTGCTCTTCCCTTTTCAATAAGCGTCCTTCAACGACAAAGCGACACCACTGAGGCGCAGTGTTTTCCATACGAGGCTGACGGCTACCACTGCCGAACGGTCTGTCTGTGCTTCCATAAGCTTGTGGCTGACGGCGAGGCGAGAGAGGACGCTGGGTTGATCCTCCATCCTTGTGGACCAATCCGGACGTTGTTGGCGTGAGGGTTGCCTGGATTGGAAAGAAACCGGATTCGCGCTGGCGATTGCAAGTCCGGCAGGAAACAAGAAACATACCGAGCTTCACTACAGCCCAGAGATCCAACGACCGGGGAAACCGCGACCAAAGACATTTAAAGTTCAGTACCATACGATACGATACGACACGATACGATTCGGCACCCGACCGAGACGCTCGCTTTGAGTACTTCACCGATGCGACGATAACCTGCGCAACTCTCCCATTGCGAACACGACCACCGCGCGCACACGACCGCGCGACCACCACAATTCTCCCTCCGCGATCGCGCGCGACGGCCAGGCAGCGACAGCGCTGGCATCAGAAAGAGCAGTGCAAAGATGGTAGCATGTAATAGAACGCTCGAAGACGCGCACATCATCGAAGACCCGCTCTGGCAAGGCTTCACCTTCCACCACTTCGGCCTCTTCCTCGCCGCCGTCTTCGGCCTCATATCCGTCGTCATCTCCCTCTGGCTCATCATGATGCACGCCCTCCACTACCTGCGCCCCGGCGAGCAGAAACAGATCATCCGCATCCTCTTCATGATCCCCATCTACAGCGTCGTCAGCTTCCTCAGCTACCTCTTCTACCGCAAAGCGATCTACTTCGAAGTGCTCCGGGATTGCTACGAGGCATTCGCCATTTCGAGTTTCTTCGCGCTGTTGTGCCATTACGTCGCGCCGAACCTGCATGATCAAAAGGATTATTTCCGCACGATACAGCCGAAGAATTGGTTTTGGGCCGTGTTTGGGTTGCAGAAGTGTACGGGTGGGGAGAATCGGGGGCCGTTCAGGAAGCCTAGGAGTGGGTTGACGTGGTTCAATGTGAGCTGGATATGTTCTCGAAGAGAAAGTGAAAGACAAGGGACATTGCGCTGACATTTGGGGTTGCAGATCGTCTGGGCGGGTATATTCCAATACTGCTTCATTCGGGTGACCTTTACGATTGTCTCGGTGGTCTCCGAGGCTCTGGATCGATACTGCGAGGCGTCTCTCAATCCAGCGTTTGCTCATATCTGGGTACTGGCTTTCGAATCGCTAGCCGTCACGCTTGCCATGTTCTTCGTGATCCAGTTCTACATCCAGCTCAAGGACGACTTGGCAGAGCACAAGCCATTCCTCAAAGTGCTGAGCATCAAGCTGGTCATCTTCTTTTCCTTCTGGCAGACGGTATGTTTGATTGGTAACTGCCTCCGCAAAATTTCACCAGCTCACATTTCACAGATCCTCATCTCCTTCGTCTCTTCAGGCAATGGGCCCCTCCAGCCCACCAAAACCCTAGCATACCAAGACATCAAAATCGGCATCCCTTCCGTAGCTCTGTGCATCGAAATGGCCGGCTTCTCCATCCTCCACGTCTTCGCCTACCCCTGGAAACCCTACAGTATCAAACACATGTCCCACGACCCACTCACGGCAGCCGGAGCAGGCTACAGCGGCGAGGCACCCAAATACCAAGGCGGGCCTCTCGGTCTCTGGGCTCTCGTCGACGCTTTCAACCCGTGGGACATCATCAAAGCCAGCGCTCGCGGATTCCGATGGATGTTTGTGGGCGTGCGACACCGGCATGAAGATATCAGCTATCAGCCCGCGAAATTTGGGTCTACGGATACGGGTTATAACGGCCTTGGGAATGCGACGGAACTCCGGCAAGGCGGGGTGGGAGGTGGTGGTGGTGGGGGTGGTGATGCGGCGTATGATGATAGGACCGAATTACTCGGGCATTCACCGTACCCTACCGCCGCCGGGGGAGCGAGGGGCGCGTACGAAGACGTCTACCAGCCTCCTCCTCATCCTCCTCCTCCTCACCACCACCACCAAGCGGCGGGAGGCATGGGGACGGAATTCAAGCCTTCGGACGTGTACGATGATGTTGATGATGATGATGATGATTATGGTGGTACGAGGGGTTATCATCCGGGTATGGGACCTCCTCCTCCTCCGATGATGGGCTCGGGAGGGATCGTGGGTACGGGGCCGAGTGGGAATGGAGTCCATCCTGCGCATAGGCCTGGACAGACACCTCCTCCTCCTCCTCCGCAGCAGCAGCCGCCTCCTTATCCTTATTAGCTTGCTTGCTTGCCTGCCTTTTCTTCTGTAGTATGTATGGAAGGAGAGAACCATCGACATTTTTGTCTCTTCCTTCCTTGCGGTCCTTCCTTTTCTGCTGTCGCGGCGAAGAGTACTTTATGATGCATGCATGCATGGTCGCATGGTGTTTGTTTGTGCTGTTGCTGTTTCGACGCATGGTGTTGGGTGGAGTTTGTTGGATGGATGGCATTGGGTTTGGTTTTTGTACATCACAGAACCCCCCTATCTACGGTCTTGCATTTGAAGCTGAAAAGGACGGAACAATATGAAATTGCATTCAGAGTGAATGGACTGGAATCCCGAAGATCTTTTATTTTTTGTTACCCTTACCATAGGAAACATGAGAAGAAACCTTTCCATCCATCATCAGGAGAAAACCAGCGGGGCCAAGAAGAAGAAGAAATAGCCAGCCTTTCAAGAATCTCCCGTGTACATGTAGCCTGTCCGGTCCGGTCCTCTCGCACCGGCCGGCCGGCTGGACGACAACGTACGTACATTGGCAACGATCGATGCCCGAGAAGACCACCTAACCTACCCATCTACCTACCTCCTCCCACCTATCTTCGTGAGTTCGCATCCCCATCCCCTTTTCCCTCCCATCCAAGCGATGCATGATTTCAATATGAGCGAATAGTAGTGAACGCCGAAAATCTAGAATTTCACAGTGGACCCTGGCAGGTCCAGAACCCATTGTCCGGTGTTTCGTCAGCAGCAGGTGTTCGGTTCGGAAATCTGGGTGGTGTGCCGCCGGCGTTGCTTTGGCGTGGGACCGGGTGGACATGGGTGGGTTCTTTGGAGACGACATTCGTTGTCTGCGAGAAGAAAGGGGGTACTAAAAGAGAAAGACAAAGAGAGAGGGCTGTTGCTGGTAGTGGTGTTCATCAATCTTGCATAGGCAGAGAATGACTGACCACGACCGAGGCACAGAGGTATGGTTTGCTGCAAGTTAGAGGTGGAAAAGGGGAGGGGTTGAGTCATGTTTTTTTTCGAATGGCGAAGGAAAAGAGAAGACGGAGCTCTCCGGAGCATGCATGAGGTTGTACAGGAGATGAACAGGTAGGGATGGCGAGAGTGCAATAGATGTCGAGTGATGAATGGATTTTTGACTTGGAACCGGTCAGAAGAGCCCATGCACGTATGGAATCGTAGATACGACGGGAGCTTATGGCTCTTGAGCATCTTGAGAGTATATTATAGCGCTTGGCGGGCATGGAATGTGAGTAGCGGGGGAGATTCATCTGATGATGAATGAGTAAGTCGACTTGTCTCACGGAGCATCCGGTACGAGAGGCTACACAACAAGCTACTACAGAATGCATGTGAAAAGATTCCGGATAGGAAGTTTCGGGAAGGGGCTCCCGGTGCGATCTGGAGCAGACGGAGTCAGAGGCGTCGGTTGCGAAACGTGCTGTCCGGGAGGATGCCAGGCCAGGCGTTGATTACCTTATAGGCAGACAGACGCAGGCAAGAAGGTAGCTTTTGGAGCCTTGGCATTATTAGCATCAGCATGCTTCACCCTCGGGGATTCTGCTCTGGTTCGGGAGCATGAGCATGGCGTGTGGTGAGGGAGACAGGGAGACAGGGAGACAGGGAGAGTAGTGGTGAGCAGGGTGGCCTCGCTTGTGCAAATGAGTCGCTACCGACAAGGTGACGGGAACGATCGGGGTATCTGCTGTAGGATGTGGACGTCTTGAGGGCATCCTGGCAGCAGGGCAGTGTATTCGTGATTGGGAAAGAAGCATATACATACGGAAAGAGCAACGCGTCGCTAGCGTGGTGGCGACATGCAGAAGCGGAAGGAGTGCTACAGCAGTGTGCATGGCTCTCTCCACTTGGCTGAAAATAACAGCCGCTACTGCTCGTCGTCACGTAGTGGTGCTTCTCGTAGTAGCATTCCAGTGTTTCAAGCCGTAGTTGACGTCCAATCCCATGTCGACGTCGTCGCATCGCATGCGGAGAGTGCACAACCACATCAACGCCACGTACAGTACGATACAGTTTCAGTACAGCACAGCACAGCACAGCACAGCACAGCACAGCACAGCACAGTGCAGTACCGTACCGTGTAGTGACTTCTTCTGCAACTCCATGCCGGGGCATGGCTCGCGTCCACATCCTCGCCCACGCCTTTGATATAGTACACTAGAGCGGCAGATACGAGCTCTCCTCCACCCACCGCACCACACCACAACCTCTGTGCTCCGCGAACCCGCCGCAGCCATTCTTCACGCAGGCTCAAGCCATTCCCAGCGACCTCCAGCAATTCAGCCAGACTGCCCGCGCGTGTCCAGTGCGAGGCGAGATACGGCGTCGGTTTGCTCCCGCTCCCGCTCCCGCTCACGCTCACGCACATGCAGGCAAGCTCGACCTGGCGCACGCACAAGCAGGACGAGATCCTGGGAAAGCTTAGTGCAGTGTCTCTCGCGCGCACACACGCGCTACAGGAGAGGCGGTTCCGTAGGCGGCGGAAGGGGGCGGAGAGGTATACATTGCACATGAGGCGCGCGCGGCGGTCTTCACGTCATTGACCGAGAATTCAAGGCGCGCGGGCTCACGACAGACAGTCCACTGGTTCTCGCCGCGCAGCATTAGATTTGCACTCGTCCGCACCGAGCAAACAGGGACAGCGGGACGGGACACAGGACAGGCCAGAGCAGCAACAGCAGCTCCACATCGCCCACTGCCGACATCCCGCCTGATAGCTCCTACTTGTATAGTGGTAGTATCAGGCACGGCCAGCACGAGCGGGTCGGTCGAGGTGGACGAGTAGTCTCATCACCAGACACGTAGCAGAATCCAATTCTCCTCCACGGCATCATCATCATCATCATCATCATCATCAACAGACGACAGCACCGGCGGCCGACATCATCATCATCATCCCGCTCCGTCGTGTCGCGCGTGTCGCCAGCGGACGGACGATTGAATTGGAGGAATCGAGGCGAGCTTGTTTGGGGAGCAGCGCGCCAGACCAGGATTAGCCCAGCGGCCCTCGCAAACCTTGAGGCGACGATCCAAATCACCCTCGTCTCTCCTCCTCGCCCGTCCCCGTCCCTGTGCCGTTCCCACGATCAGCACTGCAGCCCAGCAGTTCCTCGCCCGTTCATCCTCCAGCGCCCTCCAGTGCCTCCTTCCATTCTCTTCGTCTTCTCACCTCTCGACCTCCACCACACCACACCACACCACACCACACCACGCCCGACTCCTCCTCCCCGGATTCATCGCCATCTCTCTCCCTCACTGTCGCTCCCACCTTCGCACTCACCACCATCCGCTCGCTTTGCAGTCCACGTCGCCGTCGTCCTTGCCCCGTTTTTCCACCACCGCACCTGTGCCTACGCAGCACCGGCTGCCGCTGCCCGGTCGTACCACCCGACTGCCACGCTTTCCCTCTCCCTGGGCTGCCACAGATTACCTGTTACTTTTACCGCATCTTGCTGGTCAAGCACTCTCTTCTGCCCCCCCGAGCCGCCATCTGGAGCGAACCGCCCTTGTATAATACCCTTCGCCGCGATCCCGAATCGAATCCACCCAAAGAACCCAAACCAGACCTCGAGTCCTTCACCTCCGCCCGACTGCTCCCGCCGACTCCCGCCAAGGCCAGCTGAAACAACGCGCTCCTCACACCACGAACAATTGCGGTCGCCAGAGGCTCACTTGCATGACTGTCAAACGCAACGCATAAGCAGGCGAAAGCCGGATACTTCACTATTCCTAAGACGCCGCGAGAACCGCGCGTCTCGCACCGTCGACATTCTCCGCCCGCAATTATGAAGCTGCTCAACATGCTGCCCTACAGGAGGAACATGGTGATATGGCTTGCCCTCGGGAGCATACAATTAGCAGCTGCCACACAGACATATTGTTCGACGCAGAACACGGGCTCGAGTTACAGCGCAGGTGCGTACACTCTCCCTGACCTACATACGTGACGCGAACCCCGGTCAATGTCGCTGACCTCCTTGCAGTGACCAACATATATCAATCCAACGGCGCCTGCACCGACCAATGTTCCTCCAGCTACGCCTTCGCCGTTGTGCAATGGCAGCAGTGCTGGTGTTCCAATTACATCCCAGCAAGTCAAGCCAGCCTGAGCGACTGTAGCCAGAACTGTCCTGGCTATCCTCAGGAGCAGTGCGGTGACGCCAACAGCGGTTACTTTGGCTACATCAAACTCGACAGAGCAGCATCCGGAACAGCGGGTGCTGCCTCGTCCTCAACCAGCACCATCCAATCTCAGGTATGTACTCTACACGCATCTTCATATCTGCATCAGGGCCTCCATGGCATGGCGCAAGGCGGCGCTTCACCTAACACCGTAGCTACGCCCCATCGTCTTCCTGACAGCCGTTGACCCTTGTCCTGCTGCAGTCATCCACCTCTGTCGTGCTACAGTCATCGACACCCCAGACGTCGACCAGCGATCCCGAGACGAGCTATGTGAGTCCGACTGTCGTTCAAACAGTGACGCATACTCCAAGCCAGAGCATATCAGTCTCATATGTGACGCAAACTCCAAGCCAGAGCGTATCAGTCTCATATGTGACGAACACTCCAACCCAGAGCGTATTAGTCTCATATGTGACGAATACTCCAAGCCGGAGCGTATCAGTCTCATATGTTACTCCAGTATGATTGGCACTTTTCATAACGCGAGACCCTTGCTGCGCGTTGTGTCTTTTTGTGCTACTAACATGCTGCTTTCCTTGTCCGTCGGCGCGCACAACGCTTGACATTTGCTGACTTGCCTGTGCACAGATACCATCTACTACCACCACGCCAAGCTCGACACCGAGCACAACATCTACGTCCAGCTCAACCTCACACTCGAGCTCGACTCCGCCGACGACGACTACTACTACTACGAGCTCGGTCGTACCGGTGACGAGCTTGGTATTGACCACGATCTCGGGCGACGTTGTGACACAGACCGTCACCACGACGCCTATGGCCACGGTCGACCCTTATCCGCACTCGGATAAAATGCAACTCCAGCGGAAGGACGGCCTTGGTGGAGGTGCCATCGCGGGCGTTGTCATTGGTGTACTCGCTGGGTTGGCATTGCTTGCTTTGGCTGGGTTCTTGCTCTGGCGACGAAAACGCAACAATGACGATGCCGAGAACAACGGCACGACCGACAAGAAGAAGCCAAGCCGCAACGTGAGCGTCCTTAGCAAGGCCGGATTGCTCGCGCGCGCTCGTCCTAGCATGGGCGAAAGGGACACCGACGACCACTTCCATGTCAACCCGACGACCGGCGCCAATAGTGTTCGACATTCGATGCTCTTTTCGGGAGCAGACGGTGTCAGTCCGGTCAGCCCGCTTGACTCCAACGACACCAGAAGGGGGAGTCAGCCGATGGTCTACGATCAACGGCTAAATCCCTCGGTGCTCTTTGCCAACCAAGAAGCGAATGGTAGTCGCATCTCCATGCAAGACCAGCAAGACTACTCCAGACCTCTGGGCGTCGTCAATCCCGATCCTCGAGAGAGCTTCGATTCGCGCATGGGGAGAGCGTAGAGATGCTCTCACTCATTAAACCACACCACCACCCCCGCGTTTACGACTTGACGCACGTACATGGGCATTCAGCGGCAGGGAGGACTGCGAGGAGTTCTCGGGCGTTTTTGACACATTGACTCTTTTGATATATACCCGACGGCGGGAGGACCCGTCTTTTGATTCTGATTCACCACAAGGCACTACGACGCATACTGGCGTTTCTACAGCAAACGGAGAGAATGAAGGCACCGGGTGCCGGACGGACAGACCGACTTACATGTGCAAACATCAACATCCTTTTTGAAACGCACACGATTTTCATTTCACAGTCACTTGTGTGAGAGACGCCTACAGCGACCGTCACGACCAGACATTCACACGGGTTCGGCCCAACTTGCCGGTTGCCGACGGAGTGGAAGGCGAAACGGCTCGGATCAGACGAGTGTGAATGCGAAGGGGGAGAAAAAGTTCATTTTTGAATTGGTACGCTACGTAATCATGTTTGTATTGTATGGACACGATAAAAGAGAGGCTTCCCTTGGGAGGTTCATTAGACTTCTTGGGCTACGATTCTCGTCTGGTGTCACTTTTCTGGTACTTAATAATCGACTAATATGTGATGGAGCTGTGATGCGAGAGCTTTTGGACGTGTTCACCCAGAATTACCGGGACCGACGAAGACGAATGACTTGTGGTCTTTTGCCTTCTGTTCGAGACTCGTCGCAGGATGCTCCTTGTAGGATGCACGGGCAAGGTCCTGCGAGGAGGGTGGAAATGAGATAGCTGGTGGGCTTCTACTCTGGGAAGATTTGATTTGGAGAGGTGAGACATTTTCGGGTAAGGGTTCCTGGTTGGGGTGGGTGTGGCAGTGTGGCAGCGTGGGTGCAGGTATGCGGTGGCGAGGTAGTGGGTTGATAGAGGGAAATGAAATCGGTGGTCAAATTGTCGTGTACTTTTGTGATGGGGGTCATCATAGTGATATCTAGCTTGAGGCTGGGTATATGATGATGACCTGTTTGCAGAATGCGGATAGATTGTAGGCCTAGGGCGGAAACGTGAAGGCATCATCGTTGTTGACTAGGGCGGAAACCCTTTCGGAAGTAGTAGATGGTACTTCTGTGAGGAGTCTCTAGTTTGTTACTGTCGGCCAACGCAGGCGAAGACGTCGTTGTACGTTGCGAAGTGTTGAGAGTGGTTCACATGTTGTGCGGTATGGCCACTCCTTCTTCTCCGGGTTAGCAGGTCTCGTTAGCGCCAATGGCGTGCCGAACTTTAACGCGGAAAAAGCGCGGCATTGGTGCGAGTCTTCCAGACAAAGTAGAGTCACCATGGACGCATCGATCCTTCCCCCTCCACACCTCTCACGACCTTCCACCTCGCAGCAGACACTTCATGCTGTTTAACCACTACTCCGAAAGATGACGACTGCCCCCAATGGACTGGTTCACGCCGCCGACACCCACAAATTCAGTACGCCAATACCGCGTTGGAAAACTTCACTTTCACAGGCTGACAATCCATAGAGCGCACAAAGCCCGAAGACCAGCGCGAGAACCCGTTCGTAAACCTCATTCCGAATCAAGACATCGCCGTCATACCCTCCTTCACGCTCGAATCCGGCGAAGTTCTCCAGAATGTACCGCTAGCCTACAAGACGTACGGCGAGCTCTCGCCCGAAAGAGACAATGCTATGGTTATATGCCACGCGCTGACCGGCAGCGCCGATGTGCAAGACTGGTGGGGACCGTTGCTTGGTGGTCCGGGAGAGGATGGCAAGGAGGCAAGAGCATTTGACGTGTCGAGGTTCTTTGTGGTCTGCATGAACAGCCTCGGCAGCCCGTATGGGAGCGCCAGTCCGGTCACCGCCAAGGATGGGAACCCGGAGAATGACAACTATGGGCCCGAGTTCCCTCTGACGACTATCAGAGACGATGTGAACCTCTTCAAGATTCTTCTGGACGATCTTGGGGTGAAGCAGATCGCGGCGGTCATTGGCGGGTCTATGGGTGGCATGCTCGTACTGGAGTTTGCATACTTTGGAAACGACTACGTCAAGACCATCATACCGATCGCAACTTCGGCACGATACAGCGCTTGGGGGATCAGCTGGGGCGAGGCACAGCGTCAGGCCATCTACAGCGATCCGAAATATGACGACGGGTACTATCCCTACGATGATCCTCCATCGAGCGGCTTGGGGACTGCGCGTATGCAAGCTCTGCTCACTTACCGAAGTCGAGACTCTTTCGAATCTCGCTTTGGTCGCAACCATCCCGACCCTACCCAGTCCAAGCAAAACATCAACTCCCTGCAGAGGCCAGTAACTCCCCAAGGCGAGCACTTTGCGGTACACAACGAAGGCCACAGGAACGTGGGCTCACCGCGACGCCACGCTGCGAATGGCTCTTCTCCGGAGCAGTCTCAGGAGCTCTGTGTCCAGGATCCTCAGTTCTCTGGTGCCACCGAGCTCAAGGTGGATGCTAAGCCACCGACCAACCCTGGTCGAAAGCGGATTCCGACGTACTATTCCGCCCAGTCTTACCTGCGATACCAGGGCGAGAAATTCATCAAGCGATTTGATGCCAATTGCTACATCGCCATCACACGCAAGTTGGACACGCATGATGTTGCTCGAGGTCGTACCGACGAGACCGGGTCGCCCACCCCAGAGCAAGTCCGCGAGGCCCTCGCCCTGATCGCACAGCCGACGCTCGTGCTTGGGATCAAGTCTGATGGACTGTTCACGTACCAGGAGCAGCAGGAGCTTGCGGCTTCCATTCCGAACAGCGAGCTGAAAACGATCGAAAGCCTGGATGGTCACGATGCCTTTTTGCTGGAATTCCGACAGGTGAATACCTTTCTGCGCGACTTCATGAAGAAGGAGCTCAGCCACATCATGTCGCGAGAGCCTGTCAACTGGCCTCGCAAGAAGGAAGAGGCTACTGAAGCCAAGGCGAGCGTGTTTGGCGAGGCTGAAGTGGATGATATCACGGCCTGGTAAAGCATCTTGCTTCTCATAATGTATCTATCGAAGAGCGGTATCCAAGTTCAACCCTCTTATTCAGAACGCCTTCGGTCCGCGCGTGGAGGCCTCGCGCGATCGTCGCGCGAGATGTCGCGGGGAGAAGGTCAGTTGTCGACGACTCCGTGGCTTTCTCCCTGAGCAAATTTTCTTTTCACCAATCATCAGTCTCCATCTTCCACTCCGATACTGCATGCCAATGTACTACCCTCTGTGCTTGCCGAAACTGACTTACACCACCGTCCGAGCGATGGCCATGTTGCCATTACCGCGAACTGCGAAAGCGCCTCTTGCAACACGCATGGCATTGATTCTCGCCCAAGAAGTCGAACGTCTTCTCAATGAGCAGCAGCATTAGCTGCAATCTCAGCTGATGAAATTCAATCCAAGTTCCTCCCAAGGCTTCGCCACCCAATTCTCAAAAGTCTCGGCTTCTTCAACAATATCCCGCTTCGCGCTCTCTCCAATGGCCCCCTCTACGTCTACCCTCACATCAGGAATAGCCATGTCCTTGGATTCCCGAGCCTTCTCCTCCGAGAGAGCCCAATGCGTCAAGCCTTTTGAAACCCGCCCGGATCGCCGTCGGAATCATAGCATGCCCTCCGAAAGCCTTTGCTGTTCTCGACTCGTGTGGAGCTCGTCTTCCGTCTTCCAGATTCCATCATTCTCGCTCGTAAGATTTCGTCTTCGGGGTCCGTGTGCTCCTGAATCTCGCCACGACGGTCAGATGATCGCAATCCGGGCGTGAGTTTTTACCAGGGTGCAGTCCATCTCTGATAAGGCCATTGCTCCGGTCTGTGCTGCTGACATGTGCGCCCATGCGCGGAGAAGCCAGTCTTGCTCGTTGTCGATTGGTATGGAGACCTCCGGGGAGGGCATATTTGGATTGCTGTCGGCCAGAGAGGCTATGTTCGGCGAGGAAGACTCTCCTCTTGCCGTCGTTTGGGTTCACGTTGTAGACTATCACGTAGATGTCGACGTAATTGAAATATTCTTTTTGAGAGAGTGACATGCGCAGGAGTAGCGGGTGTGCCGTGAAGTCGCCGCAGGAGTTCTTTGCTGGCTTGAAGACGGGAATGCGCAGGAGGTGGATTGGGTTGCCTTTGGAGTTCTTCTCGATGAGAGACATGATGAAGATTGCGCGAGGTGATGATTGGTGGCGCATAAGAAGTCGATGAAATGGAGTTTCTGTGGCTTACCGTGGAACTGAAAGTTACGTACCGCGTGAAGTTATTGATGGCTCACTGACGAAGTGTCGGCGCTTGACCGTGATCACAGGCACATGCCTTTCATGTGGCAATGGAGCGTCGAGTCCTGCGTCGTGTGCGCGGAATGAGAGCAAAAGCAATACGAAATCCACGCCATTACTTACCTCGATCCCTTCCTCGAGGACATGGATTGCGTCCATGAGTAAATGGGGAGATCCGGAGTGGACGGCGCGGGAGAACACGTAAGGCGAGCTGGAGAGTATGAGTACAGTGTAAGTTGATGCATTCATGTGACTACGCAATCGTACCGTGTCCTGCGATCGTCCCTGAGCCTTTGACGAATCGTTCAATGCCCTCGTCATCCTCGTCATAGCCATAGTGGCCACCTTCTGGGCGTTCAGCAGCCTGCCATCTTTCCAAATCCATGTCCTGGTACAGCTTCATCGCTGCAGCGCTGTTCGGCGTTGTTGGGGTATCTAGGCTTTTCCCGGCGTAGAATCTCAGCACAAGGCTGTGTGCATGGCGCAGATCATCGCGAGACGTCTTCCGGGCTTCTTCATCCTTCCAGTATACATCAAGGACCTCCGTACCTCCTCAATGATTCCTGAAATTCTTTTTCTGGTAGAACAGATCCGTCCTCGAACTACCCAGATTGATGATCTTCGGGCACCCGTCTCGATCCTTCTCTAATCGCGTGCATTCGAAGCAATAGAAGGCGTCTGAGATTCCCTCGCCACCGCAGACGACACATTTGTTCTGGTAGTTGCCGAAGGCGCATTCATCGCAGATTCGCACGAGGGTAGTAGGGCGGACGTAGGAGTCGCAGACGGGACATTTGCCGTCGCATTTGTCGCATAAGCGACCAATGGAGACGCCGGCGGTCTTGCGGCACATGACGAGATCTCTGTATTGAAAGTTAGTCTGTATTTCATGATCTCTGTGATGTTGGTACTGACGGATGATGGCGAGACATGTTGAGCTTGCGTGACGATTGGTGTCGTTCTGATTGATTTCTGAGTATGGAGAGTATCACTCAGATTCGTTCTCGAACACCGTCGTGTGGTAGGAAGAAGAAGTAGTGAGTGAAGATGTGAAGTTCAGAAGGTGGAAGGGTTAGAGGTATGGTGTTAGTAATCAGCCACCTGACTCGCGCCTCCACCTCACCCTCCCGCGCCCGTCTTTCCTCCTGAACATTTGCTCTTCTATGCGCCGGGTTGCCGTCTTTCCCGACCTCACCATCGCCACGGCCTACTTCTTGACACAGAGTTTGTGACACCATTCCACATCGAGCCGTCGATTGGAGACCGCGAGACTTGGCAACATGTGCGAGCGGAAGGATTCACAGCGCCGCACGGACGCAGTGCTGCCTGCTACATGCCCTCCTTCACCGGCTGGAGTCCTGGCCAGCACATAAGATGGCTCCTTGATCTTGCCCTGCCACACTTTCCTGTTTCCTTTGTTCTGCGGCTCTCTTCAGGATGCCTCGATCGACTACCACCACGGACGAGTACGACGTCATCACCCACGAAGACACCTTCTTGGACGAGAAAGAAGTCGCCAAGATCAGAGCTTGGCTGCAGCCGACTGACTACCTGGCTGAGTCTTCTGAGTACCGTCGTCATTTGCTATCCAGAGCACCTGACACTGGCCTGTGGATCACTCAAACCAAGGAGTACCAGCAATGGCACGACTCACCAGACACCGGCAGCCTCTGGATAAAAGGCATACCTGGATCCGGCAAGTCTGTTGTGGCTGCATCAATCATACAGCGTCTTAAGACGACAGAAGATGTACCAGTGCTGTTCTTCTTCTTTCGCAACATCGTCGCCGCCAATTTCGAGCCGCGCTCCTTGATGAAGGACTGGCTCGCTCAATTGCTTCCGCATTCCCCAGAACTGCAGTTTGCGCTCAAACCACGGCTAGATACCAAGCTGGAAGATGTTTCCGAGGCCGAACTTGTCGATACATTTCTCGAGGGGCTGAGTGGAATATCTCGCATATACTGCGTTGCGGACGCTCTCGATGAGATGATTTCGGAGCACAGGTCGTTTCTTGATAGGCTGAACAGTCTGGCAACGTATCGACCACGATCAGTGAAGCTTTTGATGACAAGTCGGCCTAAACAATACCTCCAAAGCGCATTGAGGGACTCGTCTATCGTCCAAATCAGCCTGGAGCAGCAACTTGTGGGACCCGAAATTGCTGCATATCTTGACCATCGCTTCGAGAACAATCTTAAAACACGTGGTGTACCTAAGAATGAGCTCATAACGATGATCGCAAAGAGATCGCAAGGGCTATTTCTGTACGCGAAGCTCACCATGGATCAAGTGGAGGAGTATGTCAACTCCGCGGAGAGTGTCGACGTTGCTCGCTTAGCTGCCTCATTACCATCGGGTCTCGAGCAGACGTATAACAGCATGCTTGCTGTGCAGCGAAGAACGTATGATGTTACGATCGAATTACAATTGCTGGTTCTTGAGGCCGTTACTCACGCATGCCGGCCATTGCGCCTCAACGAGCTCGCAAGCCTCGTACAATTCGTTCAGCCAACTGCTGCGGCAAGCGGCCAATTCAAGAGACTGGTTGCTGCATCTTGTGGCCCCTTGATTGACATTCTGGAAGATGAGACCCTCCAGGTTCTTCATCACTCCTTTACAGAGTTTCTTCGAGGTGATACAAGGTCCAATCCGGCGGGCGACGCCAGCAGTGACTTCCCGTTGATCGACACATTTCAAGCGCACAAGCACATCGCAGTGCACTGTTTGAGATATCTTCAGTCGGGCACTCTTTTACTGGATGACGAGACATCCCGAAGCCAAGAATACTTCTCATCAGTCTACAAACGACCTGCTCACCTCGTTGATCTTGATGAGCAACGAGAGAACCCTAGAAAGTCTGATCGATTCGATTACCAGCAAGCTAAACTCAAACACGCGTTCCTGAGCTATGCAGTCGACAATGTCAGCTATCACGCGAGCAATTACGACCTACCCGATGAGACCTTCCACCATGAAGCCGAGTCCTTTGTGAATCCTCGTCGCCTCGACTATCACCGCTGGCTTGCCCGTGCCTGGGGTAGCACGTCGGCGAAAGAGAGTAGTCTCGAGGGTGTGCCTGGCATGCTGCACTTTGCTTCCTTTTGTGGTCTCTCAAACATTGCCAGTAAGGTCTTGCAGCAGAACACAGCAGTCGATGTTCAAGATTCTCAGCAGCGCACTAGCCTTCACTGGGCGTCTCAGAATGGACACGCGGCTGTTGCTGAGCTCCTGCTACAGCATGGCGCCAATCAAAATGCTGAGGATGGACAAGGACTACAACCGATACATCTGGCCGCTAGGCAGAATCGTGCCTCTGTTGTCGCCTTGTTGTTGCAAGCTGGCGCAGAGCCTACGGCTGTCAAGACCAAAGAGAACCACTCTGGTAGGCTCTTGGGCGGCGAGACTATCACTCGTGGCGAATGTCCGATCTTTTACGTTAGCAAGGGTGGCCATCTCGAGGCCACAGAAGCCATCATTCCGTTTTGCACTGGCGATGTCTTGGAACAGCTCTTGTGTGAAAGCTGTCGGTTCAATCGCACCGACGCCGTGTTATCGATTCTGCAAAAGACCGACGTGTCAGGGAACGCCATGTATCGCGGTGCTACAGCACTGTATCATGCTTGCGCCGTGGCTAACTCCAAATGCGTGGAAGCGCTTGTTAGACGAGGCGCGGATGCCAACAAGTCTTCCTTCTATGAACCTCGACGTACGCGAAACGGCGGGGCCTGGCCCAAAGGACCAGAAATGACTCCATTGCATAGGCTTCTTCAAACCTGGAGCGAGGAGAATGACTCTCAGTGCACGGCTATTCTCCGCTTACTGCTTGGTGCAGGCGCGCAGATTGAGCAACTCGATGGTCGAGGAGACACAGCGCTACTTATTGCTGCTGGCGATGAGGGCTACCATAAACGTGTTTGCATTTCCGCAATGAGAGCGTTGTTGGCGGCCGGAGCGGATCCCCAGCAGCGAGATAGAAAAGGCGACACCGCCCTCCTACGGACTTTTAGGACGTGCCGGAAACTAGACGCCTTGCGCCTTCTCGTGCAGTGGGAAAGCAATCCGAACGATACGGACTCGCAAGGCTGTACCGCATTGCACAAAGCGTTGCAGAAGCCGGGCGGGATGACAGGGACAGACAACACCGAAGAAATTGTCAGCTACCTGGTTGAGCACGGTGCAGACCCCACCATCGCGGACAAGCGCGGAAGGACACCGATAGAAGCTGCAGTGTCTGTGGACTTCGAGGTCTTCAAGTCATTGCTGCCCTACTGCAAAGACGAGTCCATCCGGCGACGTTGCTGGTTTGGGTTAGATGCATACATGAAGCGCGAGTCACTAGAGCCCTTCATCGACCTTCTACTAAGCGAAGGCGTAGACGTGGAAAGTCGGCGACAAGATGGCAGGACACTGCTCTTGAGTCATCCCACGAGGACGGAATTGGTAGGGATGCTGCGCAAGCGAGGCGCAGAGGTCGACGCCGTAGACGATTCTGGAAAAAACATTCTCCACTTGCTCGAATCTAGACAGCACATGGAGAAGTATATCGCAGAAGGTATAGATCCTCTGAGCACTACGAACAACGGCGACACGTTGCTGCATCACGTTGCATACGGGTATCATGGCAAGCTTGAGGAGCGCGATTTTGTCCACTGGCTCATCAAGCTTGGCATCTCCGTCAATGCTGCAAATGGCAAAGGTCTTACGCCGTTGCATGCATACATTGACAGCAACTACCCCGTCAGTATGAAGCGATCAAGCGGGCCTGTCCATTTCATTGACGCCTTAAGCGGCCATGGTGAGCAGCTCGAACTCAATGCACGAGACTGCTATGGGTTGACACCCCTACATTTGGCAGTAACGCGATCGCACCGTGAGACTCTCCAGCTGATGATGGCTGGGTCGGATGTGGAGGCCTTGGACAGCAGCAAGCATAATGTACTCCACCTGGCAAGTCGTGCGCGCCAGTCCAGCATCGTTGGTCACCTAGTCCAGAAGACAGAACATTGCCTCGTAGATGCTCAAGACTCGGATGGTCTCACACCTCTGCATTACGCATGCGCCTCCGGTCGTGTCGAGACGGTCGCCTACCTTCTTCGTGGAGGAGCTGATGCAAATGCGAAGACCCCTGCTGGCAGAACTGCTCTGCACTTCTGTGCGGACTATCCCTTGGAGCAGAGACACTGGTCTGTCAAGGGTAAGGAAGAAGTATTGTTTCCTGGCCGTCTCAAGAGCGCAGGAACCCGAAAATCGAGCCACAAGCCATGGTACAAGCAGGAATATGGCGTTGACACTTCGTCCACCTGCGAAGACTTCATGTCCACCAGTGCAATTGCGAGTTTACTACTTGGATCGGGTGTCGCCGCAGCAGCTGTCGATACGAATGAATACAGTGCTCTTGATGTCGCTCTGGAGAACCAATGCAGCGAATTGATCGAGCTATTCGCAAGTGATCAAAACCTGTTGGAGAAGCTTCTGAAACCAGCCAAGAGCAACCGCATAGATCCAGTCCCGAGGGTTCAAGCGCAGCTTGCGCTCATGCGCCCTGTGCCTTACATGAGTCGTGTCGCTGAGGGTAACGAAGTCTACTCAGAGGTTTCCAACGCGCCACGTACATACTTGAAATGGTTGAGCGCGCAGGACCTCGATCTTTTGATTGCAAATAGAGGCAAAGACGCCCTCGATGCCACATGGCTCCACGAGCTTGGTGCGGAATGTATCGATTTTCGGTGCATAAACTTCTTTCGCCATACCACGGCTCTAAAATGCTGGGTCCAGGAGACCTGCAACGAGGGCTACCTGCAGAGATTGATGCAATCCGAGCGTGAGAAGAACGGATACTATGCGCGTACTCCAGCTTACTCAGCGTTACATCTTGCGTGCCGACAGGAGAAGTCGAACATGGAGTTGCTGCGCACTCTTGTCGAGACATGCAACGCCAATGTCAACGCACGATGTATGACTTGCCCCCAATATGAACGTCGCCAAACTCCAAAGCCTGGAGGGACTGCACTTCACATGCTCGCCATAGCTAGCTCCTGGTGGCAACTCGGCGCTATGCGATACCTTGCGTCTCAAGGCGCCAATGTGAACGCCACCGACGAGCACGGACGCACTCCACTACACATCGCTGCTCGAGGTAAGCCGCTTGGGCGAGGTATGATGAGCGTTGGCACGGAGAATCACGGATCTTGGTGCTCTGAAGCTGTAAGGGTGTTGCTAGACTTGGGTGCGGATCCAAATGTACTCGATTGTTCTGGACTTTCCGCCCTGCACCAAGCCTCAAATTCGCCTGATATAATGCGAGAGCTGCTTCAGCGTGGAGCTAATCCGGATGCTGGCGAAGTCAGCCCGATCTTCCAGGTATGTGTGACAACATTGCGGGCAGAATACTTGCCGTGCCGTGTTGATATTGTCGATTTGAACTGCTGAGCGACAGAGCATCACGCTGTCAAGCGTTCAAATGAGGCGCTATCCGAGTCAAGCAGTGCTAACACAAGTGTTAGGTCATTCGCGATCAGAACTTGGAAGCATTGGAAATCATGCTCGACAAGGGCGCAAGCGTCGACTCGTTCGATTCCCGGTCCGACTGTCTTGATGACGATATCACGGAGCCTGTGAAGAAATACGCCTTGCTGTGCGCTACCCTAGGGATCATGAACGCCGGTGCCAAGGATTCTGCGCCTTTGGTGAGGACTCTGGTTGAGAAGGGAGCGAACCTGTACTTGCCAGTCAATGACAACGAAACACTTATTCATTGGATCTTCGAAAGGTCGAAATACGAAATCGTGGATACGCTGATGAAGCAGCCTTGCGTTTCACGTATCGATTTCAACGAGAAGGACCAGAGAGGCAGAACCGTTCTCATGGCTGCTGCTAATTGGACAGAGTGCTTGCCAGGCTACAGGCACAGACATTGGGATGGGAAAGTCCCAGGTCTTCCTATTCGGATGCTCGATACCGGTCGCAGTGATGCAACAATTACGGACGAGCAGGGCAAGACGGCTCTTCACCACCTGCTCGACAACCCAGATATGGAAGACGAGGTCGTCATGCAGCTTGTGGATCGACCTGAAGTACAGCCGACCGTCTTTACCAGGGACGGACATGGATAAACTCCTTTGCTCTACGCTCTGCGAATCCTACGTCCGGCAGTCGTAGAATCTTTGCTATCGAAAGGGGCCGATCTACTCATGCCTGACCCCCACGGAAAGACAGCGCTACACTACCTCGCTGACCAGTGTCTCCAAACAACTCGAGAACGACGCAATCAAGCGGTCCTCGACATCGAGCAGCCGAAGGCCTTCTTCGATCGATGCCTAGCCCTCTGGAGCAAATTCCTCTCTTTAGGAGGAGACATTAATGCGCAGGATGAGGATGGAAACCCACCGCTCTTCACCTATCTGTCAAGCGCGGAAACATGCGATAGCGGCTCGTACTCGAAAGTCTGTCACCTTGACCATTTCCGGAAGCTTTTCCCGGCGGATTCCAAACTTGACCTGTACGCGGTAAACCAGGAGGGCGAGAACGCGTTACACATCATTGCCAGAAAGGAGAAAATGGACAGATCATCGCCGACGGAACATGATACAAAACTATTCGAGATGATGATGGGACTAGGATTAGATCCGCTGAAAGAGGACAGGAAGGGAAGGAGTGCACTAGACGTAGCCAGTGCGTGTGGAAAGGAAGACATTGTGGGGCTTTTGAGTAGGAAGAAAAGACGGACTTCATGGGCCTCGGACTGAAATCAAAGGGCGTTTATATTGGCGTCTAGACATTATTTAATCCTTCCTGTCGATATGATGATGGCGATGTGACCTCTTATCCCGGACAACTCGAAGTAGCCTGAACCCAACCCGTCAACCGGTTCGCAACATCCGACGCATAACAAGCTGTTGCGCCTGCCGCTTCGGACAAATCACCACTCTTTGGTACGTACCCGCTGTTGTACGCTCTCGCGGCGGAATACGGATTGCCGTACATGTTCAGGAGCTGAACCAATCCGTCGCCCTTCTTGGTCCCTTGCGTGCCATCCTGTATCATCTCAAAAATACTGTCTCGTTGATGCTGTCTATTGTATGCTTTACCATCGTGCGCTTGCATGAGGCCGGTGTTGTCGACGCCGCCGGATGAAGTCGTGTGCGGGATAGTCACGCACCCGTGGGATTCCTGCATGACCAGCGCGAGGATGAGACGGTGGTCTACCAGCGAGGCATTGGCGCGGTCTTGGATGGCGTCGTGGATGTCTTGAACTTCTTCGTCGGTATCGTCGTTGCCGTATTTGAGCCAGCCGCAGGATTGTTTGATGGTGTCGAGGTTGGCGTTCCACATGTCCTCGAAGGAAACCCAGAGGGTCTGGTTGGGGAAGTTGGTGGCGTTGCCTTGATAGTACCTGTATGTATCTGTGCCGGCGCCGATGCCGTCTTTGGTGTCGTTGACGCTGTCGTGCGTGGCGCCTCCGCTAAGGAAAGCTGCTGTGTTGTTGACTTGTGCTGAGGAGGGTGTGTAGGTGGCTTTGCTGTTTCGTGAGACGACGACAGCGACCACGACGATGACGACGAGAATTATGGTTGCAAGGATTGCGGAACCACAGACGGCCCATCTCCGCCTGATACCGCAGCAGCATCGCGGCTCATTGCGCCATCGTTCATATCTGTATTTCTCATGGTGGTCGGGCATAGCGGTGCGCTTGTACCACTGGAGCTCGTCGTAATACGTGGAATTTGAACGTGAGTAAGGACGCTTCTTCTCCGGGTCAACGCTCCAGCTGTCCGCAGATGATTGCCACGAGTCGCTACGAGGATATCGCTCGAATGGAGGTCGTTTCGACTGGCAATGACGGTAATTCTCGCTGTGCTGTCTGGGGGTTCGATACGGCCGTCCAAGTTCCAAGTCTCCTTCCGCAGAATAGGTCGGGTCCGCAGGGGGATGCGAGTCGAGCACATCGTGTGTCGTGTTTTTGAGCGTTGCAGGAGGGACAACGCGCAGACCATTAGTTGCCTCTTCCATATCACTCTCCTGATCTGCCGGAGAGCTGAAACCTTCCTCATCGCGTTCTCGCTCCTCGGGTCGGACGGCATCTTGCTCACGTCGTCTTGCGGCTCTTCGCTCTTGTCGTTGTTCTCGTCTTTGCGCTTCTTGTTCCGGATCTCGAGCAGCACGTTCTTGCCTGCGCTGCCGTCTCCGCTCACGTCTTTGCGCCTCTCCATCGACATCTCGTGAAGCTGTCTGGCTTCGCCTTCGCTCCCTGCGGTTTACGTCTTCCGTGCGACATGAGGGTCGACGCTTGCGTGGCTCTGTGTCCCTGTATGTGGATCTCGGAAGCTTTGGGTGAGACACGCTGGCCTGTCGTCGGTCGCTTCTGCGCTCCTTGTGACGCGTGTCCATGTGGGTCGTCTCATGATGTCTGGAGGAGCGTCTCTGTTCTCCGGGGAAAGGTCTTGTGGCTGCTGGATACGGCTTGCGAGGGAGTGGATTGTGGTAGGCATCATCTGATGAGAAGGAACTGTTCAAGTAGTCGTCTGGTCCGTCGCTGTAGTCGGAGCGTGCCATCTTCCGTTGCATGAACAATGTGCGCTAGGATGGAAAGATTTCAGAGAGACATGGCGCCACCGCGGACCGGATGTTTTGTCCATTGTGCCAGCCATCATATTGCTAAATGGTGGTGGTTGTAGACGTGCGTAAGTGGTGGTTGGACGTTGGCAGGAAGGTGGCTGGGAGTGCGTTTCAATGCGCCCAAGAAGCGCACATGTACGGGCATTGAATCTTGGTATGCTTCAAACGATATGCTTCCATCATGACCTCCTGCGCTTTGGTGTTATAATGGGTCAGGGTTGCTGGTATGGTTGTATTCTGCGGTGGTTGAAGCTGTAGATTGGTGCCGTCATTGGATAAACAAATTTCCGGCAACAACCACATCCCGCGCACAACACTTCTTGACTCTTCAATCTGGAAGTGGCTCTAATTTCTTGCGCAGTGAGCTCGAGATGAGAGAGAAGTCCACCTCGTGACTGAGCGCGACACAAATCTCTGCCTTGGTAGTAAGTACATACACTACACCAGCCAGCTCGGAATCTCAGTCTTCTCTGTCTTCTTCCTCTCCCTCAAATCCTCCCAATCCTTACCACTTGGAGCCTGCAGCTGGACTTCCTTCTCCAGCAACTTATTCTCTTTCGAGCATTGGTAATACAAATGCTGTTTCTTGAAACTAGCATCTTCTCCATACCAAATTCCATACAGCTTCTTCGCGCAGACCTTCAGCGAATGCGAGTGCAAGCTTATATGGTCTTCCAGAAGAGCTAGCTCTGAGAGTGCCATCAGCGCCAGAACACCGACAGGTCTAGGCTGTGCGTATTGCGAGGGTAGTAATTCGCAGTATGCAGTCTTCGGGTTGATGACGAGCTTGTAGCCGAGAGCAACTTGCAAACAAGCGAGGAGACATTCCTTGGCCTTGACCTTGACCTGGCTCTTTGCATTCGGCCATTTCTCGACGGGTCCGAGAAGGACGTGAGCGAGTTGGTAGAAGGGCTCGGCGAGCTGGACGTAGGGCAATCCATCATACTTAGTAGAATAGGTATAGCAGGTGATGGCTCTCCGGACGAGTTCCTCGGGGCGGACCGAGTGTGGCTTGCCCAGGAAATCTTTTCGGGAATACGTTAGTAGGAGACGGCGCGCGTTATGAAGCGCTTCACTGCCTCCTGACGGCCTGACCAACCCATTCTCGACTGTGCAAAGGGCACATGCGCATTCAAAGTCATTGGCAGATTTGAGACTTTTCTGTCTGGTCGCAAAGTCATACGAGCAAGGCACGTATGCGACAGTGATTTCCTCTCCGGCTGCAACATCGCGATTGGCTCGTACCACAAACAAGTCTCCAATCCAAGACCAGCTGGCATTAGGTAAACAGCAGTGATTGAACATAGACGCATGCAGCCAAATGCCCGGCCGCTGATCCTCGGGCGTAAGTTTTGGGGCCGTATTCAGTGAATTGGATGGGTCGTGGTGAGCCGACGCATTGCCAGGGAATATCGTATGACAGTTATGTCTGATTATGGAGAGTGCAGTATAGGTATTGAACACTTCGCTGGAATCAACCCCGAATTCGCCTTTGTTGACCATGCCTGCATGGAGGCTGAAGAACTTGAGGCGCTGAGGAGACTTTGCATGAAGCTTGTCCACGAGCTGCTGTAGAAGTGCCAGCTTTCTGCCGTTGGTCGAAGTGCCGGGAAGGAGACCATCGAGACCCGGTCCATACGGCGTCGCGTCCGTACTGTCGAACATAGCTAAAGCTTGCTCGTAGAGTACTGTGTCGCCCATTTTGAGGTCCTTCACGGCAAACATACCCCGTCCACCAAGACTGCTAGGCCGCACTTCGATATTGTTGGCGCGACATCTTGGTTCGAGATTCATTGTGTCGTTGTTGACTTGGATTGTCGGTCCTTTCTGCACTTCGTCCTTTCCATCCCCAAGGAACACACAGTCGCTGGGATGATGCACGCAAACCAGCATGCCGCCACTGGGTCCACTTCCAAAGTAGGGTTCCTTGATCGCCAATTTCATGCCCACCGTGATCTCGCGCCCACACGGCCGACATAAAATGGACCAGACTGTTCCTGATGTGGATGTATCGTCTATAGCCGTGATCATAGACCCGAATCGCCTCTCGACTGCAGTCACAGTCACAGACAGTATATGTCCAGTGTGGCGATGCTCTCGCCGTAGACGGCTGAAATTTAGGGGCGCCAATGATTCCAAAGATGCAACGGATGGCGCATGGTGTCCCAGTACGGGTGGCCTTTGGCTTTGGCCTCCCCGGATAGCGCGCAGGATGCTGGCAGTGTCTTGTCCATTCGCATCGAGGTCGATGACCTGGAGCTTTGATGTCGACTTGAGTAGGTGGTCCATGGTGTGCGTGAGTGAAAGCGAGCAGAGCACTGTCCAAGCCTATAGTACGACGATAGTTTCTTAAGATGGCGGTCCGAGATTCAGCCAGGCTTGCGTACCTCTCGTTTGTAGCACCAATACTAGAGAGAAGTGCTACACCATACGCGCGAGCGCTTTCGGCGAGCGCTGCAAGAAATCCGGGGTAGAACACGATGGGCAGGGCGGTGTTCGGAATGAGTGGTCAGTCAGTACGGATATTTGGCAATCATGTGGCTGCCTGCTTCTCTTTGCCCTGCTCGGGAGGTTCGTCAATGAACTGAGGCGGGCCTGAGCTCTCAGCCAAGAAACCGGGCATCTCGCCCTCCATGTTCAACTCTGCGCCAAAATCAACCTCATCGCCCAACGCTTCCAGCTCCGCATCCAACTCGGCCTCGTCCACGTCCTCGGGCACATCGTAGCTCCTGCTGATACTCTCTTGGATATCATTGCCCATGTCCATCAGATCTGCCATTTCGTCCTGCATCTTCTCGATCTTGTCAATGTTGACCTTGCCGTACTGTTTCTTCAGCTCTTTCTGGGTCGTCTTCATGGCGTCTACCGTCGCCATGGTGTTCTTGAGGTTATCCTGCATCATGCCCGCCTGCTCCATATTCCAGCTCTGCTGTTGTAGCTGGTCCTTTTGTGACTCGTACATCTTGCGCTGCTGGAGGACCTTGATCGCCTTTTGCTTGATCGCGTTCTTGCCCGGTCCGTCGCGCATGCGGCTGAGTCGTTGCTGGTAGGTCTGTAGTTCGGAATTAAGCCTCGCGAGTTTGACATCGATGTTCTCTATCCGGCCGTCGACCTGTATGTTGTCAGCGCGTGTAGGTGCAAGAAAGCTCATGGCCGATGCCTACCTTTCCGATCGCATCGTTTAGAGTCGGCTTGGGCGCGTTGCTCTTTGCGCCAAAGAGTCGATTCATGGTGGGTCGCGAACTGAGGTGCCAGAGATTCGATACTGCGTTACCGTCTTAGACGATGTCGTGGGAAAAGTGTGTGAACGCAAAGCACAGAAGGGATAGGATTTGGGATGGGATCGTGGTTGCCTCATGTGAATGTCTGGACCGGGAAGGTGGGGCACATCCCGCAAGCTTGTCACATCACTGCACCTTCCAACCCGACTTGCCCGGTTCAATTAAAGATGCTTCTATCCCTCGCAACAGACAACTCTCCTAGCTTCACCAACCAGAGCCGATTAGTACTCAAAACAGCCAAAACATCCCTCGCCAACGCAAGTTTCGCAATCGCCGTCGCCCTCGTACTCTTATCCTTTTGGAAATACTGTCATCTGTGACATCAGCGAACCGTCTTCACAAAGGTTAAGAACTGGTGCATGTATTAAACAAAGCGCAAAGCGACATCGAGAAAAGGAGGGCGGGCAGAAGCATGCCTTGAAGATCCTGACCATTCTACAACAACTTCCACATCGCCGTTCCGTCGATTCAACGTAGGCAGGTTTCAGTAGTGAGGAACATCGACATAGCGGATGGAGATCTGGTAATGCACTGCCCGAAAAAGGCGAATACCGTCACGTGCAAATGCGGCGCATGTTATGGCAACGCTTCGACCGAACTTGTGGATAAGCATGTTCGGCATGGTGCTTGGTGATGTATTTAATTCTCTGGAGCTCTTAGCCTAACAGCGCCGAGAAGGTGTCGTACGATGCCGCCTCACCACCTACCACTCCCTTTACAACCTCGAGATTCACGCCGAGCTGCCTTTCTGCTTCGCTCCCAGCTTCATGCTTCCCAATGTTTCCGCAGCCTCCTCCTTGAACTCGTCGAGCCATCGGCTCTGAGGCTTGCGTTCGTACACGATATCGCCCATTGTCCAAGTCATCCTCTTGCGATCCGTCTCCCAATCGACATCATTGTCTGGGCAGATCACGTAGAATTTGCCCTCACTCATCTTTTTGTACAGGTAGTCTGCGACCTGCTCTGCTGACCACGCACCATCTGGCTTCTCGCTGACCTTACCACCTCCTGTGAGTCCGGTGAAGGTCCAGCCGGGCACCAGCATATGCACAGAAGTGTTCGGAGACGATTTGGCGAGATCGAAGTGAAGATGCTCTACAATTGTTTTCACGGCGGATTTGCTGGCGTTATACGCTGGATTACCCGGGGGATTTGTGATACCCTGCTTGGAGCCTGTGACAATCACGGCTTTCTGCTGGCCGTTGTTGCCGTCGAAATGAGGGTAGAAGGTGTTGATGCCGTTCACGACGCCAAAGAAGTTGACATCGAAGATCTTGTGGAAGTACGCGTTATCGGTCCAGTCGCCTTTGAGTCCGATGCCAGCGTTCAAGTGTAAGAAGTCCAGCTTCCTGCCGTCCCGCTCTACAGCGGATTTCAACTTAGACCAGTCCTCCATCTTGGATACGTCAATATCATGCATTTCGACCTTGCCTGAGCCCGAGATCTTGCCATGGGCGGCCCTGAGCATGTCCGAGTTGTTGTCGGCGAGGATCAGGTTCATTCCATGCGAAGCGCACAGCTTGGCTACCGCCAGGCCAACACCAGAAGCGGCGCCCGTGATAAGGGCATTTGCGCCGGAACGAAAGACTTTTTGAGCTGGAGCTGCCATTTTGGACGATTGAGGTTGTTCAGTGGTTTCGAGGGAGATATGGGAGAGGAGCATGAGGTGGTCAAGGACAACGAGCTTCTTTATCCTGCATAGACGTGCCCTGAGGAGTATCGACCTAGTGACGTCTCATGCTGGTGATCTGGACCGTGTAGCCGGCGACTGCCTTATCTCCGATATGAGAGGGCGTCGACTTGGTTCCACATGTCTGGGCAGAATATTGAAGATATGGAGCCAATTATTCATGATCAAGAGAAAGACAGATCCTGAAACGATGGCCGAAATGTTACGCGTGAAATTGGAGAAGTTGGACGGCTTGCGAGGTGACATTCGGTGTTTTGATACACCGATGCGATAGCGATAAGCGGTTGCCATGCCAACGCGATCAACAAAGTTCATGCATGCCACTCGCACTTGCGCACGCGATGGAGCCGTGTTGATTCGCGGGCTCCCGAGACAATATCAACGCTTGTGCATCCTCGACCTCACAACGGCTGCATGCTCGAGCTGTTCCGAGGGACAGCAACATCAACATGGACGTCTCTCGGCCTCCTCAACACCGCCGCAACGCTTCATTCAAGTCGGGCCTCCTGAAATCGCTGGTCAGCACCAAAGCAAGACCAGCATCGCCCGAGTCTTCGCCGACCAACGCGAAGAGGGAAGCCAGAACGCAGACGGTATCTTTGCGGATGGCAGGTTCACCCAGTGCCAACTATGGCAGCAGAGGGGTCCTGGGCGAGAGGCAGGGCAATGTCCAGTCTCCGCCATCCTCGCCATCCAAGAAGGGCACCTTGTCCAGAGGCGGGAAAGATCTGAAGACGCAGGACTCCCCCAAAAAGACCAAGGATAGCAAAGACGCCCCCAGCAAGACCAAGTCTTCCGGCAACCTTGCATCTGTGTTCGCCAAGATGAATCGCTCCAGCAAAGATCTCTCGACGCAAGTACAACAGACCCAGGAGACGGGCAAGGAAAATGCGAGCCCAACCGCTCCCACCAGTGGTACTCAGGAGGCACCAATCTGGGCTCAGTTCTCGTCACAGCCCAACTCGAACTCCTCTCGCCCTGACTCCCGCGACAGCAAGTCCTCCCACAACCTACATGACGAGATCGCTCGGTATACGCCAAAGGTCTATTCGCCCAGCAAACAACGGAACTTCGATGGCACAATCGACGAGCCTGGTCTTAAGCCCACTCTGAGTAGGGACCGACCGCAGAGTGCGTATACTGCAGGGACGGAAGGGTTTCTAGAAAGCATTGGCCGAAAGTTCAGTGGAAGGTCGGGGTCGAGCGTGGGGATCAAAAGGAGGTCAGCAGACGTGAGCAAGAAGGAAATTCCTGTACAGAACGGCAGGGTATCGATGGAGCGATCAAGGATACTACAAAGAGATGGCACAGACCGGAAAGGCAGTGGCAGCAGCACTGAACAGGCGCCGGCCAAGGAGAAGCTCGATGTTACGAAACGTGGGAGAGTGATGGCTGCTGTCGCTGCTTTCCAGGGTAAGAATAAGGAGACACCAGCAGAGCCTAAGAAAGAAGAGCCTCCGCTCGACTCCAAAGCTGTGGACGCTGCCTTTGAAGCTGTGCTCGAGTCACGCAATGTCCCCGAGGCAATGAGACAGAAGATGCGAGCCGTCACGCTACGGGTCAAGGCCGATTTCATCAAGACCAATCAGGGCACAGATCCGTCTGCGATCAATCCAACAGCAGCACCAAGCAGCGGAATGGAGAAGTACAAGTCTTCAAACAAGTTGACCGAAGCCGTCCCCGAGAGCAAGAAGGATGAAGATGACAGCAAGTCTACGAAGCGCTCGAGGACTCGCAGCAGAACATTCACCTTCTCCAAAGGAGACAAGAAGAGTAAGGGCGATAGTTCGCCCTCCAAAAAACATCGCTCGCAGAGCAAAAGCCGGCCTCTCTCAATTGAGATTCCTGATGAGGCCAGCGTGAAATCGCAGGGAACAACCCCATCAACGCCGACTGGATCGTACGGTCGCAAGAACGCGCCTGCGGCTATTCCTAAAGACTACATCGACTACCTGCGCAAGAACCAAGACCCAACCAAGGTCGAGGTCGGCCGCCTGCACAAGCTCCGGATCCTTTTGCGAAATGAAACCGTCGCCTGGGTGGACGCATTCATCTCCCTTGAGGGCATGACCGAAATTGTTGGCCTTCTACACCGTCTCATGGGAATTGAATGGCGAGAAGATCACGAAGATCAGTTGCTTCACGAAACTTTGCTCTGCTTAAAGGGTCTGTGCACAACTGAACGTGCTCTAGCGGAGTTGGAAAAGGTTGCTGACGATCTCTTTCCGGCTCTGCTGGGCATGCTTTTCGATGATGAGAAGAAAGGTCCAGCTGAGTACACAACGAGAACCATCATCATCAACGTGCTCTGTGAGTAACGCCCAAACAGCTTTAGTTGCATTGTGCTAACTGCAGACAGTCAATTTCCTTGAATCAGCGACCAGCTCCTCCGCAGCAATCCTCGAGGAACGAGCTCGCAGGATCCTTCGATATCTAGGAGAGCCAGCGAAAGCCGATGATGCTCGACCAGTCGACTTCGTCCTTGGTATGCGCGTTCCTAGGCCTTACAAGCTCTGGTGCCGGGAAATGTCCAATGTCACTAAGGAAGTCTTTTGGATTTTCCTGCATCATCTGAACGTCGTGCCACTTCCGAAACCTTCCAGCTCCCAGTCGAACTCCAACGACGAGGATCGTGCGAAGGCGCTTCAAGCGACCTACTCCCACCGTCACTTCCCGGGGTCTCGTCCACCGGTCCCAGCAGCTCCCTACATTGGAGGGGTAGAATGGGATGCTACGACCTATCTGACCGCCCATCTCGACTTAATTAATGGTCTCATCGCATCTCTCGCCTCTACGGCCGACCGCAACAAGCTTCGCCAACAACTACAAGCCTCCGGCGTCGAGAAAGTCATGGGCGCTGTCCTGCGCACGTGCAAGGAGAAATTCTACTCTGGCGTTCATGATGGCCTTCGAGCATGGGTTGCTTCCGCAGCCGAAGACGGGTGGGAGACGCGCTTCGTGCGCGAAGGACCCACGGAGGATGAAGTGAAAGAGCAGGCGGTCCGCGCTAGGAGCGCGAGTCCCAAGAAGAATCGCAAGAAGGAAGACGAAGCCCCCAAGCTTGATGAGGCGCCTAAGTTGGATCTTGGATTGGATTTGAAGCTCTCGAAGACGAATGAGTCGAGGGACAAAGATGACGACGGTTGGCTCGGATGACGGATTATGATTGATGCCTTTTCTTTGGTCTTTCGGTTGGAACGCATATCGCACCTCTTGGTCTTTCGTAGTGGCGTAGCTGTCGTGGAGGTTTGGGTGGGTAGGATTTCATGGGAAGGCATTCAGGCGGATGGGAAATGGGGAAGGGGCATAATGGGTGACACCAGCACGATACATACGATAGCATGAAATCAAACATCAGGTCTCGGAGAATTGAACCAAGAACGTCCTACTCGTTCTTTGGGCTTCCGAATGTCCACCCTCGTCGCTGACTCGATTTCGTCGGGACTTGCCGCCGAAGCGCCCCACTTGAGTGAATGAAGACAGCACCCAGTGGCCTGTGCGCAAACAAACCCTTGGCGTACGCACAAGTACCCCCTCTCCAACTTTGCTTCTCACGAACTGCGAAACGTCCACACTGAAGCCAATTTGCTCCTGTACTATTCGGTGGTACCATTGCTACTACTTCTTGACTCCATGGTCGCCAAAAGCCATTCGCCACTCTTCGACACACGATCGTTGCTAGCAAGTCTTCGCCAGCATACTGTGGAAAACTAGAGCGGTTCAATACACTCAGAGCTGCCTTCCTACCAGGCCTATCAATGAAGTCCCTCAATCCCGGATTGAGGGAGCTCAATGTACTCTCAATGAGCGTAGGCCGGACTGCGACCGGGCCATGGAAAAGGGGAGCAATTGGTGGCTGAGCGAGAGGACATCGTGAGGTTAGATCGACTGTCACATTTGCAAGCTGTTGAATTTCTCTTGCACCATAGTCCTGCGTGAAAGCATCTGTGTCTTTCATAGTCTTACACTTCCGGCCAGAGAGGGCGGCTGGCTAGCGTTGTTATCCTATTCATTTGAGTTGAGTCTAAATAATGCAATTGCTCGCTCCACGGTATCTCTTAAGAAACAGCTCCAATCCTGCTTCATCTGTACAGTCAAGATAGAACATATGTCCTGTCGTTTGCAAACACCCGTCGCGTTTGCTCTGTCGAATTCAATCGACAATAGCTTTTTTTTTCACCCATTAACCTCATGGATTTCATGATCCTCTATATCCCTTTCGATTGGAGACTCCCCCATCCCGCATCCCGGTCTTCTCCATGACGCTCTCCGCGGCGCTCTGATTACCATCCTTCACCTTCACGGCTTCCCACTGCGTTTCCTCCTCTGAGGGCGCAGAAGCGGCATCGCCGTCATTTTTGTCGTGTTCTTCCATTCGGATCCGCATTCTTTCCTCCTCTGTGAGACTATCGTCTTCTGCTGTTTGGTCTCGTCGTGACACCGGCGTTTGGCCACCACTCATTTGCCATTCCATAAGTTTGGAGAAAGCACCCTCTTTGTCGGCGGAGAGCTCGGCATAGGTCCCTGTTTGGGCGACTCTGCCTTCGGAGTTTAGGCATATAATGGTGTCGCTGCGTTGGATTGTCGAGAGGCGATGCGCAATGGAAATGGTCGTATTATCACTTCGTAGTAGGGCTTGCAGCGCCTGATTCACAAGCGTCTCCGACTCTGCGTCAAGAGCGGATGTTGCTTCGTCCAAGATCAGAATGTCTGGATTCTTCAACAACGCGCGAGCAATTGCAAGACGTTGCTTTTGGCCTCCCGACAGCTGAGTACCTCGAGCACCCACAAATGTCTCGAGACCGTCAGGCTAGGTACCGTTGTTAGCTCGCGTCGCCTCATGGGCTATCGAAGTACTCACGAAGTCACCAATGAACTGACAATTTGCCTGACGTGCAGCGGTAACAATTTCAGCCCGCGAAGCAAGAGGTCGTCCATAGGCGATATTTTCGGCAATCGATCCAGAGAAGAGAACAGGCTCTTGACCAACAAATCCAATCTTTCTGCGTAGCTGTTTGGCGTTCATGGTGTTGATATCCTTGCCAGCTATCGTGATGACGCCCTTGTCCGGTGTGTAGAAGCGCATTAGCAGACTTGCTACAGTAGACTTACCAGCTCCAGATGGAGCTACGATAGCAACATTACTGCCTTGGGGAATCTTAAAAGACAGATCGTTGAAGATTTGGACAGCAGGCCGCGTTGGGTAAGCGAACGAGACATCCTTGAGCTCAATCATTCCGCGAGCGCTCTTCACCATGTCTCCCTTGGTAGGCGAGATGGTTGGGGACCGGTCCTGCAGTTCGAAAAGTCTGCTCGCAGCTCCAGCTCCCTTCATCAGCTCGGAGAAGAAGCTAGAAAGACCGAATAGACTGCTTCCGGCGTACCCAGTGTACATCAGGAATGTCGAAAGGTCGCCCACAGTGATAGTGCCATCCCTTACCATGTTGCCTCCTACGTAGAGTAGCATCAAGAATGTCATGTTTCCCATGAAGCCAGACGATGAGAAGAAAGCTGCGCTGATGAATGCCTCCTTCTTGCCGAGTGCGAACAGCTTGCGAACCTGGCCGTTGTATCTGTGCACCTCTTGCAACTCGCCAGCAAATGCTTGGCTTGTCCTAACATTGCCAAGTCTCTCTTCGGCGATCCTTGTGAGTGTGCCCAGATTCTTTTGGATCTTTCGGGACAGGCTCCGGATGGCACGTCCATAGAAGAAAGCTGTCATGGCTACCGGCGGGATGGCGATAGCCAGAAGGCCTGTCAACTTGACACTGACATACGCCATCAGCGAGAGGCCGGCAGCGGCAGAGATCAACGAGCGTAGTCCATCCGACACATTCTGCGTTATGCTCTTGCCCACGATGATCGTGTCGCTTCCCAGTCTGCTGATGAGGTCACCCACACGATTGGCATCGAAGAATTCGGCATTCTGCTGGAAAGTGCGCCTAAATAGGCTGCTCCGGAGCTTGGTGACAATGCGCTCTCCCACGATTCGGAGGAGCACGATACGTCCGTAGTTTGCACACGCGCCAGCCGTCAACAAAGATGCCAGTCCGATGAAGAACGTTTCCGGCTTCAGTCCCAGGAGTAGTCCCTCCTCACTCGATGCAGCATCAATGATCTTGCCAATACTGAAGGGCAGAGTCATGGTGACGCTACTACTGATGAGCAAGAGCACAATGGCTGCTCCCAGTGTCCAGGCCTCTGGTCGCGCAATGCCCAGTAGCCGAGCAATCTCCTTCCAACCACCAGCTGACGCTCCCTCGCCTTCTTGTCCAGCATTGGAAAGCCTGGCACTAAGATTTACCTGAGAGGCTTTGGCTGCCTTGTCGGATTTCTTGAACGTCTGCGACTCATCCTCCTCTTCAACGTCGGCGGGATCGGTTGAACGCTTGATCTGGGCCCGATACGATGTCTCCTTGTTTCCCAGTGCCTGTGCAGTCTGCGCAGTGACCTGCCTATGCAAGTTTTGTGAGGTCTGCAATACTCGCCGCTGCGCAATGTTGCCTACGAAGGATTGCCTTAGAAGAGCTGTTGTCGGTCTGATGGACGTCCCGCCAGTATAGCAGCATCGTAGTTGAAGTGTTAGGCTCGCTGCTTGTCGCTCCCTGAGCCCGATCGTGCTCGCGGGCATCCGCGTGCCCCAGTTCTGCACGGCGCATCTCCGTATTCTCTGGGTGAACAGGGCTCCATTCCCCAAGCTGTCCCACGCGCGATGCGCAAAGATGTTAGGCCCGCGCATGGCCATGACCGGAGATTCGTTTCAACCGCGTCAACGCTATATTGTCGATTTCTCTGTGCACTATCGCCGTCCCAATAAAACCGCCGACATGTCGGTCAATGACGCGAACACAAGGAGGGATTGACGGTAGCAGAAATGTTCGTATCGTGGTCGGAGGCGACGAGTATGGACGCGGGTCGAAAAACTTGGAGGGTCAGTGTTTGCGCAAGTGTGAGAGGCAAGTCGAGAGAAGCGAGTGGGAGTTAGAGTGGTGTCGTGATAGTTTCTGGTCACTGAGCTACGGTACTTCGAAGCTCTAGCGGCCTGGTCTGACGATCAGCGCGCTGGACCGAGCCTGCGGGACATATCACGTGCACAGTGAGAAACAAACATAATTGCGATGGGGGAATGCAAGCAAACGTAAAGGTAACGGAGCTGACAGCAGACTGCTTGGGTATGTTACAGAGATCTGTCTATCCTAATGCGCCACGAAGCCGCAGGTATCGGGGGTTATGCGCATGCACCCTGAACTCCTTAATATGAGTTCCTCGGATGAACCACCACCATCGTTACATTTGCCTGACTTTTGCTGTCCATGCCCAAGTACATAGTAACAAGAAGTACGAGACATCCATCAGACACCTGACGCACCGGGCGCACTCTGATCCTTGCGCAAGCTCAGAAGAAGCTCCCTCATCTTCGCCTTTCCGCTGCCAGCTGCACCACCAGACGAGCCTTTGCCGCTCAGATCCACCAGTTTCGCAATGCGTTCCCAGCTCGTGCCGCCAGATGTTGTATCTTCCCGGTTCTTGAGGAATTCCTCAGCTTCTTTCCGCGTCTGTGCAACCTGCTTCTCCTTCTTGTTATTGTAGTTCTCGTAGAATTCGTCGATTGCCTCTTGGGCAGCTTTGACTGTCTGCGCCTTCTTCGACGCTGACAACTCATCGCGATGCTGGATTTGGAGATCTCGGCGCTCACGCCATTCTCGCACCACCTCTGACTCGTCCTCATGTTCTTGGTACACAGATGCCTCAGGTGCGCGGTATGGCATTGTTGAGCCTGTGATTGTGCCGCCGGGGGCAACAGCATCATTCTGCGTGTCGACTACTGGAAAAGAGGATTCGAAGTCGCCCATCATGTCACCTCCTGCGCTGGCGCCGTTTGTGGGAGCAGAGCCACCTCCGCCGAGTAAGTCGTCATTGTCGTCAGCGTCGGCGACGGTCGCGAGACTATCTTGAGCGCTTGTGAATTGTTCGGCGTCCTCTCCTAGCGCTGCGCGTTCGCGGGCGAGGAAGTCGGAAGGTTCATCGATGCCATCCAGTGATGACTGACCCTGGGGTTCGAGTTTGCCTAGATGGAGGTGGTCAATATGTCTCCGGTTCTGCATGTGATAGCATCTCTTACCGGCATCGAACTCGTCTAGGGAAGGGAATCGGTCGGCCATGGCGGCTGATGCCTATTGACAGCTGGTCCTCCTTTTGCGCCTCGTGGCTCTACGACACCGTGTTTACGATCCGAGTACGGTGTTACCACTTGGTATCGTCGAACTCGTGGCAAGAAGCTAAGAGTGGCGGGCGAGGTATGAAGTGGTTGGCTGTTGAATGTGTTCACTGGAAGTTGGAGTTGGTTGGTCGCCGCCAATGCCCGTGCAACCCTCAAAGCCCGGGGCATCTTCGGCAATTCCCAAGAGCTCTTAACTTCATGTGCCAGCTTCTTGTGCTCTTGCCTTTCTCTACGACCAAAACAACCGACTTTGCTTGAAGCGCACAACTTGCGAGTTGGCGAAGACACCTAGCCGGCATCACATCAACAACCCACCCACTTTCAACCGCATCGCGCACCATGGCGTACTCCGAGGATGCGGTCAAGGCGAAGCTCAACTCTCTGAACGAGACGCAAGACAGCATCGTGAGCAACGCGCAATGGATCATGTTCCACCGCCGTCATGCCGACCGCACGGCCTCGATATGGATGAATCGGCTTCAGGAGTCTAACATGTCCAAGCGCCTAAATCTCATCTATCTCGCCAATGAAGTCGTGCAGCAGTCGCGTGCGCGTTCCAAAACAGACTTCCTCATCGCATTTGAGCCGCTTATCGCAGACGCGACAGCGCTGGCATACAAAGGCGCCAGTCAAGAGGTTCAGGGCAAGCTTCGACGAGTTGTGGAGGTATGGCGGCAGCGGAATATCTTCGATCCGCGCATTCAGGAGCAGACCGAGAAGAGGTTGGACGAGATCGATAAGCAGAAAGGTGGCAAGAGTCTCGGTGGAGGTGGTTCAAGATTGGGTGGTAGCTTGTTTGGTGGCAGCGGAGGTAGTGTCGCGCCCGAGTTGGATGGCATAAACAAAATTCAGTCCAACTTGAACAAGGCGGAGGCGGCAAGCAAAGCTCCCGTCAAATCCGCGAACTCAGAATACTCGAAGATGACGGACCCAAGCACGCCTGTACCCTCTGCGCCAGTGCATGCAGCCAAGTTGCGTGGGCTTGTGAATCGGGAACTACGAACTGCGCATGGTGCAGTCGAAGCGAGTATCAAAGCGCGAAAAGAGCTGCTAGCAGGACTGGAGAGGCTAACGGAGAGCAACCGCGCGAAATTGGCAGAGGAGGAAGCCACCACTGCTGAGCTGCAACAGAAGATCGACGAGATGGAGGCAACCATTCAGGAGGTTGAAGACAGCATCATGCGCGGTCAAGATGTGGCCCCGATCGATGGAGCTGCAAATGGTACAGCCTGGAATGGATCAGATCCTGATCGCCCAGAAGCAGAGGGCTTCACGCCGCCTCCTCCAGACGTGGAGGGATTCACTCCTCCGCCACAAGACGGCGCCGACACGTTGGAAGGCTTACCTGCGGATGAGGGCTTCGCAAGCACAACCGGCGCTGAGTCCATATCAGAACAGCCACCTAACTTCGACGAGCCCGCACCATCATATGTACCTCCGCCTGCAATAGCGGGTACCGGCTCAGGTGCCCCGTCTAATGACTTCCTCAGGAACCTTCTGTCGCAGCAAGGTCAAGTACGCCAAGCTTCAAGCGAGTTGCCTGCAGATCCTCGACTCAAGCGTCGGAAATTGAGCCACAACAACGAAGACAGCGTAGATAACGAGATTTTCGGTGCCACCGGCGTGGACGAAGCTGGCATTTCGGCCATGTTGGGACAGTAGCATTACCTTTACGGCGGACACACAGAATACTGTACCTCGAAGGAGCATTATATGCATGAGTCCCTCTATCACGAATTTCTGATTGCAGCTGGCAAGCCGCGCCCGGATCAATGCGTATATCTCCGATGTAGCTCTACGACGACGACGCTTAGTGTAAGGAGGTATGCCTGAACCACCTGCACTGTGGAAAGGAGCCCACGCGCATAATTTCCACCACAACTAGCCATCCATGATGAAATTTTATCAAAGGCAAACTGCTGGACGAGGGCTCAAAAACTATGAGCTACGATCTGGGAATTCTTGGCGAGTGCCTTTCACCTGTTACCTGCATATCAGGCACAGCGCGAAATGTAGAAGAAGAGATGGCTTGTATTTCAGCCGCTGTATTTTGAAGCACCGTATGGAGTATCAGTTGAAGCACTTATTTGCGGGCACCAGGCCTACTAAGTCCTTCGATGCGCATAGCCTGGGCCAATTCGAGCGCACACCTTCCTCGCATGTTAAGGCAAAGAGAATTGTGATCCGGCCGAGCATAACATGCCGTTCAGGTGCGATGCGCTGCAGCCTCTGTCGCACTATCGATACTCCACATAGGTCACTAACTCGAATGCTTGCTAATGAGTGGATACAGCTAGTCGTACGATCAATAAGTGGTACTTTTCGCGAGCACGAGCTTCGGTAAAGCTGGAGGTGTGCAAGGTTCCTGTCGTGATACCTTTATTTGTTGGCCGCACAGTTACACAACACTGGGACCTTTCTTGCACGCAGCATCAAAAGATGACCAATTTCCCGCACCCGGCGAGCAAGTCTATCATTTCTCGTGCCTTCATCCAGGCCAGACGCCTCGTAATTAAAGCTAAACAACCCAGGTACTTCTTGATCTGAAGATTCGACAAGGCATTCTACGGGAATGTCCAGCGCCTCTACAGCGCCGGATTCACCTGATATCCAGGTAGATGGCCAGAGTGTCCTGGACCGGGTTCAGCAGCTGGAGCTTACTGTCCCTGCCGGACGACTTATCAGCTACAGTTGATCCCGGTCTTGGAACAGATCAAGGCGTCAAGCGATACTGCTGCACTGCTGCAGGGGCGCATAGCATGCCACATCAGGCGACAATCATCAGATTCACAGTCATCTCGGACGATTCGAAGCTCATGTGTCGCGTCGTCGCATACAGACACTCTCGCCCGGCCGTCTGATCACACGACTGCCCCCATTTTTAAGCGAGATCCGCCGCTACTGCACGGCAACAGGACGGCAGGCTCAACGTTCCCGCTTGTCATGAAAGACTACCACAAGAATTAGGCCGCTGTGGAAGCCAGAATCGTCATAGTCACACCGGACCGAGTGCAATCCCTCTCCGAGCTGTCAGAATCGAAGAGCAAGACGAGAATGGCTGCATCAAGAACATTGGCGCGCGCCTACCAATACAAGAGATGCTTAACAAACTCAGGGACTCTTTGTTTCTACTCAAAAGGACGGGAAAGAACGTGCACGACGTCGTTGGCAAAGTCCGCGGAGACGCTTCCTCCCTTACACACTCTCAAGTCCAGTATGCGCGCTTGTCGTACGTCTGGGGCCCCTACCAGGCAGCCACGTTGGACAAGCGCCGCTTGGAGATGTTCACGAAGCCTGGAGGGTTCCAGCATCACTGGCCGGGGTCTCTCCAAGACTGTTCGCTTTGCCATGGCGAGAACGGGATTCATCGGTATCGAATATTTGTGGGTAGACAATCTGCATCATACAGGATGACACAGACGACAAGATGAGCCAACTTCTGGAAATCGACAAAATCTACAGAGATGCCGTCTTTCCCATCGTTCAATGCGCAGCAACTCTGAAAGTGCTGGTATTCGGTCGTCTCGTCGCCCGCATACATTCTTTGGCATACCTGATGAGTTCTTGGACCTTGCATTGCTCTGGTTATCTACTGCAGTTACTCGCGTTAGGCTTCGTCGTCGAAAGATGCCAGAATTTCCCAGCTGTTCTTGGGCCTTTGGAGTTGAAGATGGTGCAATGGGACGATGCGCGCGTCGTTGCGAGTCGAATAAGGCTAGATGAAATCTAGAAGCGGTATTGGTTTCAGAAGGAGAACGAGGAGCTTGAATTCTTCGAAGAGAGGCGAGACTCACTCATGCAGAGCGAAGGAAGTGCGGCCTGTAGATACCTCACGAGAGGGAGAGCAGGGGAAGTATTTGACGGGAAAAGGTATATCCTAGCACCTTGGCAAACAAGACGTACTCGCCCGACTTTCCACGCGTCTTGGACTTCTCTATCTACCACGACATGCAACTCATCAACAAGACTACCTCTACGCACTGAAGGGATTATGTACCGAAGGAGATACCGGATGTTGTTTCTACTGCGCTGATGTTGGGAAAATGCATACTTCACCCTGTTGCTCTTCAGATGCGTCTACATTGACTGGCCTATCTTGCAATCTGCAAAGCAGGTCTGTCGAGTGAAGCATCGGCTACAATTGTGCATATCATCTGCAGCAAGGATATCAACGGAATGATGATAAGAGACGGCGTTTCGAGGAGACCGCGGAGCGACCGATTGACCCGTGAATCATTCAATGGCGGTGGCATTCTTGGAATCACTCGTCACGGTGCTCTGGATATCTCACGAATTGAGAAAAAACCGGACTTTGACGAGAAATAAGGCCCCTACTGATCATCGCTATTTCCGGGAACTGGATCTTCCCTTGCGCTGGAGTTGAATCAACGTGTCTCAAGATGGTGTGCTCAACGCCACAGGTTCCGTGATGCAGCTCCCCAGGTATACTCGCGTACGCTCAGACGCATGCGCGAGACTGCATTACCGCGACGACAAGGATTGGCCCTTTTCCACTGTCGAGCACTAGCTCTATCATGACCAGCTCAACCACCTCGTACATGCAAACCTGGAGTTCTCCGCTTTCTCGAGAGGCAAAAACATGCTTTCCTCTCAAGCGGAAGTGCTACAACTTGTGATCAGTATCCAGCCATGGCCACTGAATTCATCAAGAATGTGAGTACCGCTCAAGCAGCGCCTCTTCATGCCTCGTGTTGACCCGCAGCACAGTTTCGCTCATTCATATGGGACTCGGACGCGCATCTCAAGACACTCGAGGAGCGCAAGCTTCTACGTAAGCTCGATTTTTCTATCCTGACAATAGCATGTCTCGGCTTCTTCCTGAAGTACTTGGACCAGGGCAACCTGTCGAACGCCTATGTCTCGGGCATGCAGGAAGATCTTCGAATGCTTGGGAATGAGTACACATACGCTACAACCTGTTACACCGTCGCCTATGCAGTGATGCAGATTCCCTCAAACATGATCGTTCAGTACATTCGGCCAAGCTACTGGTTGGCTGTGATGGAAATTGCGTGGGGCGCATTCACTTTCGCGCAGGCAGGTCTGAAGAGCTCAACGCAGCTCTATGTAATGCGCTTCTTCGTGGGATTCTTCGAGAGGTATACGGCAGGAGTTGAAGTCTCACTTAGGATCATGCTGATACGACACCAGCTCTTTCTTTCCCGTATTGCTCTTCGTCCTTGGATCTTGGTACACGAAGACGGAGCTCGCTAAAAGGATTGCAATCTTCCATATGACGGCACCTATTGGATCAGCTTTCGGAGGGTATCTCCAAGCTGCAGTGTACGAGAATCTTGACGGACACCATGGTCTTGCAGGATGGCGATGGCTTTACATCATCTGCGGCTGCATGACTGTGCCAGTGGGATTTGCGACCTGGTTTGCCCTGCCGGACACGCCATACAAAACCAAGGCCTGGTATCTTAGCGAAGACGAGAAGCAACTTGCAATAGAACGGATTCGTAAAGCGGGGAAAGCAGCTCCTGCGAAAGTCAGCCTTGCTACTTTCAAACGTGTGCTAGGCGGCTGGCACTGGTATGCATTCGTCTTGGGATACGTGATCTACGGCTCATCATGCCAGGCAAGCTCCTATTTCGGTATCTGGCTCAAAGCAGAAGGCTTCTCCGTTGTGGACCGTAACATTATTCCGACAGGTACGAACCTGATCTCTGGATTTTGTGTCATCCTCTGGGGATTCCTCTCGGATTTTACGGGAAGCAGATTCTGGTTTGTGTTCGGTCCTTTGGCTTACGGCCTGATTCCAAATGGCATTCTCGCCTTTTGGCCGAGTAGTCAGAATGCAAAATTGTACGCCTTTTTGACATGCGGTATCCAGCTGATGACGGCAATATTGTAAGTCAAGAGAGCCTCAAGACTGGTTCTGTCTAACGCAGTTTTGATTAGCTACACGTGGGCGAACGAAATATGCGCCGGGGACAACGAAGAACGTGCCATCGTTATCAGTAGCATGAACGGCTTTCAATATGCGGTGGCTGCCTGGCTCCCCATCCTCATCTTTCCACAAACGATGGCCCCTACTTTCCGCTATGGCTTCCCGTCCACGTTTGGATTCGTGATTGCTGGTTTGCTCGCCGTGGTCGCAATTCAGGCTCTCCATTCGAGAGATCTGAGGCGAAGCAAGCGGTTATCTCATATCTCTGAAGACGAAGGTGAAGCAGTCATCGATCAAATTGGGGGCCAGATCTTGAAGACTGGCCAAGTCAGTAGAGTGCGAGAGATGCATGAGCTGTCTTAATTAACAATGCACACCTCAGCCAAGTGCGCGCATGGAGACGCAATCGTTCAATCCAATGCATGCACCACAGGCATGAAATGACTGCAATTCTGACCTGAAGTGACGGATTCGGACACAGCAGAAATCATCTACAACCGCTTCGAAGCCCAAAAATAGCGAAATGCACTGTTCGTTGAAACGGAAAATCCAAGCAAGAACTCGAAAGTACTGCGCGGAACAGTGCTGGACATCACGGGTCACTTGGCAGCTATTCGAGATCCATTCTGCTTCCTCGGTCTGCCCTCGGAACAACGACAGTATATTCTCAGACTCACAGACTTGAAACCCCCTTTTGGTGGGATCGCATGGTCGCCTGCACGTGGATTGAGCATGAGAAGCATCTCGAGACTATTGTCATGGGCAGCACTTATGATGGCATTGCGTAGGGAAAGATGGAACGGCGAGATAGCCGACGTACACTATAGATTGGTTATCGGGCGATTAGATCGGTTGGTCATTGGGCTGAGGCACATATGCTGGTTGAAAAGCATATTGCATGACCGTGCCGACGGATTGGGTCTCAAGTCAGCAAATGTGTCACAGAGCCAGAGCCAAAGGGACATCGAAGTCATTGTGTCTCCTGCAGAAGGTCAGAAAACTATCCTTAGGTCTGAAGGTTAAGGAATTTACCGTGTGCTATCGCAAGATTGCATATTGAAACGATGTCTCCGCGGTTGATACCGTTGATCTGGCACTGATCGCTTCATCCTCGCCCTCAAATCTGCTTCACATCTGCTGGAACAATGGAAAAGCCGGTGTAGTCATAGTATACAAGACACTGCAACTTGTCATGTTGTTTTGTCCCGTTGAGGAGGCCCAGCAAAGATGTCAGTGCGCTCTAAGATACGGATGCTCCCGTCCAGCAGGCGCCCGGCTCGGCACGAGATGTCTCCAATCGTTTCAGCTTCGAACATAAAATTCCTCCAAATTTCAACCTCTTCGACGACGATATCCTGCTGCCGCAAGTTCAACATGAAGCGCAAAGCCGATGATGTGGAAAGCTCATCTATTGAAAATGCCAAAAAACGGGCCACCGATCCCAGCGACATCTACAACAATTTTCGCCAAGGCCTCTTCGACTCCAGCATTGTGAAAGGCTACGCAGAGGAATACGCAGCGTCTCGCCCGTACAAACATGCTGTAGTTTCTGGCTTGATCGCCGATGATCTGTTAAGATCTGTCAGAAGCGAGATTGTCGACAACATACACTTCACGCCCAAGGAGACAGACATCTACAAGATACACCAATCTGGAGATCTTGCCAATCTGGATGGCCTTCCAGCTTCAGCGTTGGAGAAATTTCCCTCGCTATTGAAGCTTCGCGACTCTCTGTACAGTTATGAGTTCAGGCAATGGGTATCTTCGGTCTCAGGCTCCGGTCCGCTCTCTGGCACAAAGACTGATATGGCCGTCAATGTCTACGTGCCAGGCTGCCATCTGCTCTGCCATGACGACGTAATTGGCAGTAGACGAGTGAGTTATATACTGTACTTAACAAATCCGGACAACTCGTGGAAAGCAGAATGGGGAGGCGCGCTTCGATTGTATCCTACAGATGAACTCAAAGGAGAGGATGGTAAAGCCATCAAATTGCCTGAGTCACAGTGGAGCAAAGTCATTCCACCAGCCTGGAATCAGCTGTCTTTCTTCACCGTGCAGCCCGGAGAAAGCTTTCACGACGTCGAAGAGGTCTATCATCGCAGCCAAGGAATAGATGAAGATGACGGTGGTCGGTTCCGCATGGCGATTAGCGGTTGGTTTCACATTCCCCAGGAGGGTGAAGAAGGGTACGAGCCTGGCTTAGAAGAAAGACTGGCTCAAAAGAGCTCTCTGCAGCAACTCCAGGGCAAGGCGGATGAATTCGACGAGCCTCAGCACCAATGGATATCACCCCCCGAGCCCGATAATGCAAAGGATGACGGCGTCACTGATGAGCTCACCGAAGACGACTTGAACTTTCTGATCAAGTTCATGACCCCGAACTATCTCACCCCGGACACTGTCGAGGAGCTGAACGAGCTTTTCGCTGAAGAGTCGGTTCTCCAACTTACAAATTTCCTAAGTGAGAAGTTCTCAACCTCGCTGCGAACAGCTTTCGAAACAGGCTCCGCGGATGATCTCCAATTTGCCACCTCAAGGCCGCCTCATAAGCATCGATACCAGTATCTGCGCTTTACCAAGGTCGAAGCTGAGGACTCTCCCATCCGCCAAGTTCTGGACGACCTTCTTCCCAGCAACGCGTTTCGGAAATGGCTTTCTCTTGTCACCGGCCTGACTCTCAAACGCTGCTCCGTTCTGATGCGAAAATTTCGGAGAGGCCTGGACTACCAACTTGCCCAAGGCTACGAAGGCGAAGATCCTCAACTTGAATACACACTTTGTGTCACAACAACTAACGGCTGGAGTGCTGAAGACGCTCCCGTTGAAGCTGAGAACGGCGAATCTGCCACTGGCAAATCCAAAGCTGCAGAGCCAAGAGCAGCGGAAGACAACCTAGGCGGGTATGAATTGTACATGGCTGGCGACGATCCGGATGACGACGAGGAAGGCTCCGATGATGGCGTCGAGATCCCTGCAAGTATTGCATCGAACACCGGAGCAGGGCAGCGCAGATCTGCCAAGAAGAGCAAGAAGGCTGATCCGGCGGTGTATCAAGCCGCAGCAGATGACGATGAAGATGATGGAATTCTATTCAGTAACCCAGCTGCTTGGAACACTATGAGTATTGTCCTACGCGATAAGGGGACGATGAAGTTTGTCAAGTACGTCTCGCAGGCGGCGCCAGGTGATCGGTACGACTATACTGGCTGTGTTGAAGTGGAGGCGGAGGACGACGAGGGAGAAGAGGCAGCGGCAGGAGCGAGCTAAAGGCGAGCAATGAAGTTGATAACGTGCATAATAGCATAAGGCCGCTGTTCGTGATTCATGTACTTTCCCCAAAGCTCCACCTATTTGACCGCGTTCCCTTCGACTGCGTCACGAAGAGCTCGCTCTTCGTCAGGGACTAGCCCGTCAGAATCATAGGGATATCCGTGTTCTTCATTCTGCTTCCATTTTTCGTCCCCCAATTTGTCGAGGGCTTCCTCCTGATCCATGTAGAGTTCATGCTGACCTTCGCCATCGGGACCGGTCCTAACCCACTTGACCCCGAAAGCCTGCTCTATCTCATGCAGATCGCGATCGTATTTGCGAATCATTTCATCTCTCACCTCCTGGGTCCATACAGTGGCGTATTCAATGTTATCCAGAAGCCGATCTTTCACCGTTGGCTTGAGAAGGTGGAACTCGGTGTCAGTTTCGGCGATGATCTTCCAAGCCCGCGCCGCGTCTCCGCAGCACAACATCTGTTCGATGAACCACAGGTCGCCTCGGGTTTTGCTTGTCATCGTCTTGTTGGAATGTTTGAGGAGCAGTTTCTTCGGGTTGTTGCATGAATCGCTTTGTTTCCAGAGCTCGTATTCTTCCCAGACGGCATCACTGTCTCTACATCGAGCCAATACAGCAATCCATCCGTGCAGGTATTGCCAATCTGTGCGGTCCAGGAAAGAGCCGAAGTGGTACTGTTGTTCGGGCGGCAGATCCTTGGCATCTTCGAATCCCTTGATAACTTGTTGCAGGTCCCGCCGCCTCCAACGACCATTCCTGATCTCGCCCAGGCCCCGATGACCAATGCTGAACTTGGCAATAACAGAACGGAAGAGATTGCTTGACATGGGAAGACCAGCTTCACGGATGGCTTTCAAGTGTCTCTTCATTGCCGGTAAGCTTCTTGCCCTGGCGGCAAACTTCAACGCCATGAACAAGAGATGTGGCTGATACGATATGCCAGCGAGCTGGAACCGACTTAACACGATGTTCAAGGTCTTTAGAATCTCTGGATCGGACACGTTCTGTCGACATCGATACAGCGCCCTCATCATGGGCTCGTGCAGGTTGCCTAGATGCGCTGCCACCTCCTTATTTTGCATCGCTACTGCCATGACTCGCAATATTTCCCTTGGCCATTCGCATCGTAGGAGTTGTACGCGTAGGAGCGATCGTATTGGCTTGTGTCCGACTGCCTGTCTCATCCTCTCTCTAAACACTGCATGAGATATAGGAGCCACGTTGACCGCTGCTAGTACGTCGGACGTCCTTGTATTACGCTCTTGCCTCCCACCAGGCGTATCGGGCCAAGGGTTGGACAGCTTTCGTATTCGTTCGATCCTGAGGTCGCGGCCTTTCCAGAGGGCATCGAAGCCAAGAGCTGCTTCACGCAGTTCGTCTATGGGACTGTGGAGTGCCCACTGGCGGACATTGACCTCCGAATTCAGAACAGGTCCTTCGTTCTCGCCATCTTGAGTTGGGTTGCTGAGCATGAACCCATCGTCTTCGGGTCGTAGGGCAATCGCGGTATTGAGGCGGCGCTTCGAGACTCCGAATCGTCGTCGTCCAAGGGCTGCTTGACGTGCTTGACAATACAAACAGACGGCAGTTGATCTTCTCGCTGCCATCCTCCAACAACTTGCCAACCACGAGTCCCCCAATTGCGTGCCACAGCAATCGCAGTGAATGTTGTCAGGTGAGGTGAATGCTGCGGGAGCGGCAAAGGGATCGGCATTCGGCAATCGGCAGAAACCGACCCGCCGGAGTGAGGTCTGCGTCACATTTTCTAAATTCAGTGCCTGTCGATCGTCTGAAGATATTCCTCCGCCAACTGCAAGACTCTTTGCTCACCCATACACAATCCAGGATGGCCGCCGCACCGCATCAACCGCCTCGCCAATACGTCGACAACGAAGGATATGTTGGATCTTTGAACGCCATCCCAGGAAGTGCCGCCGACCCGCAGCAAGACTACGACCAGGCCGAGGACTACGACGACTTGTTCGAGCCCTCCGACGATGATCTCTCAGACGATGAGCTCGCCGCTTCAAATCCTCAAGACTACACAAAAGCATATAATCGGCAGAAGAGGATCAACGATGGCTCAATACCAGAATCGCAGAAACCCAAGACGAATCCGCAACTTAATACAAAAGCCAACATAGACGATCAGATAAAGTCGCTATCGAAACACACTACAAAACTACGACTAAACGAAATGGAGGGTGGTATCTCAAAACAGCATCAAGGTGCAGAGAAGAGCGATCGGGCAACGAGCGAGCAGGTGTTGGACCCAAGGACAAGGATGATACTGCTGCAGATGCTGAACAGAAATATCGTGTCCGAGATCAATGGCGTGCTATCTACTGGTAAAGAGGCCAACGTATACCACGCGGCTACAATACCTCAAGATCAAGAAGGCGAGGCCGCAGTACAGGTGCTCAATCGGGCAATCAAGGTCTACAAGACAAGCATTTTGGTATTCAAGGACCGGGACAAATATGTCACCGGAGAATACAGGTTCCGATCAGGCTACAACAAGTCCTCGAATCGAGCCATGGTGAAGGTCTGGGCCGAGAAAGAATTCCGTAATCTCAGGCGTCTATATTCTGCTGGCATACCTTGCCCTGAACCGGTGTACTTGAAAGCACATGTCCTGGTCATGGCATTTCTCGGCAACTCGAAAGGTTATCCAGCGCCAAGATTACGAGACGTCGAATTCGATCTGGCGGAAGACCAGATCGTATCGCGGTGGAGCGAGATCTACCTCGATCTCCTTGGCTACATGCGGAAGATGTATCAAGTCTGCCGACTTGTACACGCAGATCTGTCAGAGTACAACTTGCTCTACCACAAACAGCGACTCTATGTGATAGATGTGAGTCAGAGTGTGGAACCCGATCACCCCAGATCGCTAGAGTTTCTGAGGATGGATATCAAGAACATCTCGGATTTCTTCAGACGGAAAGGAGTGGATGTACTTTCTGAACGAGCCGTCTTCGGCTTCATCACGGCAGTAGAAGGTAGCTCTGAGGAACCAGGCATGAAAGAAACTCTTGAGAAGCTGTACGAGGTTCGGGCCCAAAGTGGCGAGGAGACTGGTGCCGCGGAAGACGACGTGGTATTCCGACAGCAGTATATTCCTCAAAACCTGCAACAGGTCTACGACGTTGAGCGCGATGGAGACAAAATCAAGGAGGGCGGTGCAGGGTCGCTACCGTACCAAGATCTGCTTGCTCAACAAGCAACAAAGCATGGCGATCACGACGACGCCGAGTCTGGAGATGCCGAAGACGACGACGATGAGGATTCCGAGGACGACGATGATGATGATGGCTTTAGTGATTCGAAGGAAAAGCGTCCACCACGAGGCAAGAAACACGAAGACAAAGACGCAAAGAAGGCGCACAAGGCGGCCGTGAAAGAGGAGAAGCGCGAGAAGCGAAAGGAGAAAATGCCCAAGCATGTGAAGAAGAAACTTGTCAATCAGGGCTCGAGAGGAAAGAAGTAGATGTCTTTTTTTGCGATACCCCAAAGACGGAAGCTCTTCGCGATTGTGGCGTAGGGCCACGAAAAACTGACGAATTGAATGCAATTTCACATCCTGTTGCAGTGACCAAGTTCATTGCATGTGCTTCATCATCCTCTGTTCCTCAAAGGCGCGACAGTGCCGAACGTCTCCTCGCGCCAGATTGCTGACGACTAGCGCACCAATTGGCACACTCCACTCTTTGTCTGGTCCAGTTTTTTTTTTCTCTGTGGCTTCATTGCCAGACGCAAGACGGCGTTGCGAACGTAGCAAGCGCCGCCTTTCCAGGCCGTCGTACGCCCTGAGGAATCGGAATCGAGATAGGTGCGATCGGGGTAGGATGGAGAGCGGGTGTAGGGGCGCTGGCGCTGGAGCCGACTATGAACAGGATGCCAGAATTCTATCAGACTTAGGCCGAGACATTTTGGAGCATTGGAGATAGAAGATTGAAGGCCTCTCTCGACAAGGAATGAAAGAGCAAGGTTTCATCAAGTGGTCTTTGTCGAAAATATACAACCATATCCCATATCCCGTCCCTTAGATACCCAAAGAACGCTAATTTTCATCGCGTCATCTCTTCCCACCACCCCTAACAACACACTCCCAACTCCAAACCCCACCCTCTTCATCACCCGTATAGACACCCTTACTCATAGGCAAGATACCCGTGATACTACACGCACTCCTCGTCCCAGAAGAATGCAGATTCACCAACTTCTTCACCAGAACCAATTCCCACTTCCCATCGCGCAAGATGACAAGGCTGAAGACATTCACAACGCCGCCAGCGTGCCCCGTAAAGACAAGTTCTCGTTCAAGGTACTCGTTGCCACCGGAGCCTTCGTAGAAAGCCGTGCAGAGAATTTCATCGTCCAGTCGTTGGGAGACGAGTAGATGGCCGTTCAGGGTGTACAATAGTAGGTCCTTCCCGCGACAGAGCAAGATGTGGCCAGAAACATTGCTGATCCTGGCAGCTTGGATAGGCTCACCACCAGGCGGAAGCAAGACGCGAGTGCAGTTCTGCCTGTTCAGTCCCCATATCAGGACCTGGCCATCCGCAGAAGCAGAAACAAGCGTGCTGAAGACCCGACTAGCAGCAAGGACAGTCACAGCGGTCCGATGACCGAAGAGGTACGTCTTAGGCTGTATTTCGATCGAGTCGCGGGAGGTAATGACTTTCCATACGCCTATAGTGCAGTCCTGCCCGGCAGTGACTAGTGTCTTGCTGTCCACGAAAGTGGCCGTCGAGACAGGTCCAATATGAGTGTTCTCGTACAGACCAAGAAGGCGCTTGGTGTGCTTTGAGAAGAAGCGGATACTGTGATCTGGGAAGCCCCATTGCATGTAACGATCGCAGTCAGGAAGAACGTTGAGTTTGCCAGGTCCACTCGCCAGTAGCTGATTCTTAGTGGGCGAGTATGTGAAGTCCGTGACTTTCTCTCCGATATGGATCGCCGTGTCAGGAAGCCTTGTAAGCGTTTCCACCAGAGTGTCCAGCTTCTGCTCGGCTTGCTGTTCTCTGTAGACATGCGGCTTCAGGAAGACTTGATGTGGCGTCTGTCCAAACGAGTGAATGATGCCAATTGTGGCCAAACGTTCGACTTGGTCATCGATCTTGTCCAGATCCTTGGCACCGCCATACGACAAATGCTGAAACACGTTGGTGGCTTCGACTGCCATCTCACCCCGTTGTTTGAAGCCAAACACAAGGTCAATCCAATCATGCAGCCGCTCACTGACGTACTTGCTTTCCAAGGCCTCCCGATGCTTGGCAATGAAGATGTGTGGATCACCTTTGGCCCATTTCGGCAGATGCACATCGTTAACAGCCTCGCCAGTGACCTGCTTCGTGCCGAAGTCATACTTGTTAATGTTGGTCAAGAATTCAGGCAGATAGAAGAATTCGGGTGTCAACTCTCTGACATCACTCATCGTGTCTCTTGATGCCGAGAGCCACGCCTTCTCGATAGAATCGAACAGTCGATCCGCATGATCAAATGCTCCACCTTGAAGCAGTAGATAAGACTGCACAAAGGGTTGTAGCCGGATAAGGTACGAGGTGACGATCATCGCGGACGAATAGTGTGTACCATAATGGAACGGCGGGGCGTTGCCGTCCCCCATCTCTGCGAACTGCTTGTACCGGTCCTTGTATTCGGCCTCTCTGGCAGGTGTCTGGCACCCCATTGGTCTTGAAAAGTCTCTGAAAGACTTTGGATCGTCAAGGTCCAGTTCTTCGCTGCTATAGTCTGCGAGTACCCAAGGGAACACAGGATACTGGGTCAGGTCGTTAAATGTCCGCCCGGCCATGGTGTTGATGAGCATCAAGTACTGGAAGTTGGACATCTCTCCACGCTGCCATTTCTTGGTAGCAGTGTTCGACGGACCTTGATTGAACAGGTTGCCGAACTTGGCCCCAATGTTCTTTGGCGCTTCTTCCGGGTTGCGTAACGTATCTAGCCGCCATGCATCCTCACTGGCTACGCCAACATTGCCGTGAACATGCGGTGCTCGTTGTACGATAGCACTGTATAGATCGTCCCTTATCTTTGATGACATGCAAGTGAGTAGATAGCTCCGGCCATCCGTGAAGAAGACCTCGATAGAGACGTCCCGAAGGAGGAATCTACGTTTGGAAACACTTAGGACTTCTTGCCAGGTCCAGTGTCTCGTCTCCTGGTCTCCAATACTGTGCTTTGTTCTGGCAGTACCCAGGTCCTTTCCTGATATTAGCTGGACGTAAGGATCGCGCTCATCTTCCGGCGCCTGCGCAACGCTCACAATCTCGCCATCTGACCGCTGGAAGAAATTGTCCTGCATGTAGATGCATTTTTGGCCGACTACCAAAAGCCCTTCACAGGCTTCAAGTCCGACGATACGAGATGTGTTGTACAGCTGCTGGACCATATCGCCTCGTTGGAGGCTCGTCAGTACCTTTCGGTTCTTGTCCTCAATCATGCCGTCCTCGTCTTCTTTTGGATCATCAACCATCTCGAAGGCACCTTCAAGCAGCTGTGAGCCCGAGACGGAGTCACTCCGGGCTCGCTTGTTCTCGTCGTTTTCGTGGGCGCCATCGGTGGCAGCAGGCGTGGACGTGCCGGGCGTCGACGGTAGTGGGCAAGCCATGCCATCGGACACGACACGAGGAATCTGAGCGTTCAGTGCTAGCTCATTGTTTCCAGAGACACTGCGCGATGCCTTTCTCTTCGGTTGAAAGCTCTCTTTCAGGCCGCTTGAGTCGGGAACAATACGCATGCGCATTCTGTTGGCAGCTTCTGTCTCATCCAAATGCCACCTGGGAGGACCGCTTGAAGGCTCGAGACCACACGGCTCATGAAGGAGTTTTTCAATCTTCGAAAAGGCCGTGTACAGGTGATTGATGTTCTCCTGGTGATCCTGCACCGCTCTTTGTAATTTGAGGCGCTCTTGGGCATGGACATTCGCTCTCCAATGACTGGTCGAGACTTCGTACCTGTTCATGAAGTCATCCGCGGTCAACTCTTCTGCATGCCACTGTCGCAACTTGTCTCTTCGCTTGCTAAGCCTGTTCTTGGCCGTTTCATCGGAGCTTTTATTCTCGTTCTGGACGAAGTCATCCCAAGGCTTGCTAAGCGAATTATTGAAAACTGTATCCAGGGTATCTCGGTTTTGATCCACCCAAGCCAGGAAATCATCGTCGTCCATGGAGACCAGTTTCATGAAACCTGTCGATAGATGCCGCTGATCGGGTCCCATCGTGTTGGTGAGCATTGTGGCAGTCTCGGTAGGTTTCTGCACAAGTACGATCCGCCACAGCTGCGCTGCAGCAAGCCTAACAGACTTCACCCCAGATACCAGCTTGTGGTAGAGCAAAAAACATATCAGTTTCGTAAATAAAGTCTCTTGGTTTTCGGCAGAAAACAGGATTGTTTGCCAGTAGGTCATCTTGAGCAGGAAATTGCCAACATCTTTCTCGTCCGCATCTTCATCCAACGCAGCCAGTCGCCAGAGTGTAGCTTTGAGAAATACAACGCGGATGGAGTTCGTTGACTGACTGCAAAGTCTTACAGACTTGACAGAAGCAATAGAGGGTTGCTGCAGATGTTCCAGGATCTCGCCTGTGAAATCTAGCAGGGGCTGTGCGCCATCAATGAACCAGCCTTCTGAGACCGCCTCGGCCATGTGCTGAGCGTACCGCGCGAGGTTTGTAAGGACTCGTGTTTCTACTAGCAGCTGCTGGTTTAGACGAAGGTGGCTCCCGAGCTGGGACAAGGCATTGACGAGCACATAGGATTCGAAGTATGCTTGGTGCTCCCTGAACCCTGGAGGCACCTTCAGGAAAACCCCAATGCCACTGAATTTGTCCCTGTAGCATGTCTGGTCGATGAAGAGTGTCACCGCGAGCTCGAGCAAACTTTCTACAAGGGAATTCGTTACGTTGATCTTGACGGGCTCGGTAGCCTTGGGTGCCATCGGAGCATTAAATTGCGCAGGCGGTGCTTTGGAGCGTTCGCCATTGTCATTCACCAAGACGAAGGATGATATCCGTCGCGGTCCTTGCAATCTGTTCGGCGCCATCGGGGATGGTGTGCGCTTGTCGCCTTCCACTGTCAGGCTGCGCACAGACGGCGGTCGTTCACCCAAAGAGTTCGAATGGGGACGCATCTTTACTTCCTCGCCTTTGAATGACAACGCTTCTGACTGTAGCTCTGTGTCCGGAGAGACTCTGTCACATCCTGTCAAGAGCGGGAAGAGCATGAAGAGCAATTCTTGCAAGTAGCGAGAATTGACTGCGAAGTCGCGGAATGCACTGCTGCGCCTGTAAATCTCGCCCAGAAACTGTATCACATTTTCGAGAACGGCATTGTCTTCGCCATTCCGCTCATCATCTTTTGCGACCTTACGCACACCGGACTCGAGCATCCCAAACAAAGTTGGCAGCATCTCCGGATTATTGACCGCAAGCGTTTCATTGACGACAAGCATCTCGACCAGATTGAAAGCCGAAAAGTCCTTCACTAATGACGCCACTGGAACATTGCGGCCGAAAAAGATGGCGAAGCATAGTGTCCACACCGACTTTGACCGAGAGAATGGCTTCAATCGTGATTTGAGGGTGATGAAGCCTCCGTGTTTCTCAACAAAGGGAGTCTTAAACTCTGCTCCAAGAGTCGCGAGTGCTTTGCACAAGATGGAGAGTGTGAACTCGACGACTCGACTGTCATTCTCTGCGAGTAGGTGCAGTAGCCACCTCTGGTTGACTGCCTTGTTGAATCGTCGGATAGCGGTGGTGGAGTGATCGTTAGTCAGCGCTTCCGCCAACACTCTCAAGACGAGGACTGCCAACTCGAATCGTGAAATACAAGGTTCTGCCTGCTGCCCTTGGGTTCCTACAGGTGTGTTGGGTCGAGAGCCGCGTGCTCCTCTCGCCCATGAGCCGATCTTCTGACGCAGACTGACTGTGCTTGCCATGTTCCGGACCGAAGTAGTTGGCATAGCTCTGCCGTCGTGTAGGCCGTATGCAACAAACATGGCGAGGTCTCGGTAAAATGTCTGGGCACTGTTTGTGTCGAGGAGTGCCTTGAGAGCGCCCATCATGAGATTGGCAGCTTCCGCGCCCATCTCTTCAGATTTCAATGCATCTATTAGCTTCTTGACGATTCTCATTCTCGTCAATCGCTTCTGATTGAAGGACGAGTTCTTATTCCCAGCTACCAGATGGCTGAATTGGGCATAGTATAGCCTTTGTGTTTCAACATCAGAGCGACGCCACGTATCAAAGTCTATCAGGAGTACTCGATATGCCATTGGGTTCACCAACAGTGACTCTTCAGGCCGATCCATGTCGTAGCCAACAAACTCCAAGATCAGCTCCAGCAGCTCTTTGGGCAGACTTTGTCGATCTTCCAGATTCAACATTGCGGATGATCGTCTGGTAGAAGGGTGAGAGGAGCCAACGTCGAATCCAAGCTTTTCCCGAATAATCATGGCCAGAACGCCGAACCCATGCCCTTTCTCCATGGCCTCGCTCGTGCGCCAATTGTCTTTGACACAACTGATGAAGATCTTGGTCGCTTGTAAGAAAGCTGTCTTTGTATTGGCAGATTCCAAGAGTCGAACGAGAACCGGAAGTGACCCTGCAAGACACCAACTTGCTTCATCCAGGGGCTGCTGAAGAAGCACAAGAGGATCGCCCGTGAAGACGCCAGCTCCGTAGGAATGACTGATAGCATCATTCAGAGAGCCAGCGGCGGTATTGACTGCTACCGCTCGCGTCGTCTGGGCAAGCTTGAGGAACCTCGAAAGAGCTTTGCTGCCTAGCTCGTATTCGACCCCTCCAGACCTGCCAAAACAGGCATCCAAGTCAACCACCGCGGCAGGACTGATGCTAAGGAGTATGCGCGATTCGGCCACAACTTCGCTTCCTCGACCCTCTGTTGCTGCGAGTATGTCAGATCTGTCGGACTTATCCGGATGTAGTGTCTCATTGTATTTGTTGAGCTCAGCAGAAGATCTGTAGGTGAGCAACGGACCTAGACAGTCCTGCAAGTTCCCGCGATAGCGAAGCCCAAGCCGGTAATGTACAGTAACAAAATCATCAGATACTGGAACCGAGAACAAGTGAGCAGAGCCAAGCGACCATCTGGAGGTGCTGTAGTTGGGCACAGGCTTCAAAGCGACGCTGCGAGGTGTTCCAAGGAAGGCTTGCACCGGCATCAGATGACGCTGGCCCTGCGCGTTCGGGTGAGAATTCCCAGCCAACGGCTGTTCCTCTGGCATGTCGAGATAGTTGCATCTTCTTTGCTCTGCAAAGATACCGTCTACGAGAAGAGACGCGACACTCTGGCTGGGGTCGGACGGGTTCTTGCGTTGGGTTACCGCGACATGATACCATTTTCCGGCCTCGAAACTGGTCGTCTTGAATCGAACGCTCGGATTTGGAGCCCTGACAGATGTCTGAAGAATAAGTTGATGGCTATCCTTCTCGAGGTACATGAGGAGGAAGCATGTATGGTTTGCATCGTACGCGCCGAACAGCGTCGTGTGCGCCTTTGCATCGTACTCGTCTATACGCATCCACGCCGCGAATGTATAACCAACAGACGGAGGAAACAACCCCGGTAGCCTCATGATCTCGATGGAGGAGAAGCCGTGAGGCTGAAGGTCGAACTGGATCAATGAGGGCTCTTTCGAAGATTGGAGTAGTGACAGTAAAACCTCGCGAGCTGGCCCAGACTTCGTGGCGCGCTTGAAAAGAAACGCGGCATCTTCGATGTCATTCAAGCCATGTTCTGCCAGACAGAGACCAAGCCTTTGCAACTCGGTATTCCACGTCTCTGGCGCTGTGGTGTCTAAAGCGCTGCGGAGTATGCCCGAGAGAGCACTCGTTTGCCGCAAAGCCACATTGTTGCGAATGTTTGCCTTCACCAGGTCCGTGAAAGCATTGAATACTCGGCTGGACAAAAAGAGTAGAGACTCGTTTTCAGCGGTAGCTGACTCAGGAGCGAACTGCAACGCTAGTCCAATGACATCCGCGCATATCTCTGGATGTCTGATGGTAGCGTTTCTCAGTACAGGAGCTTTCTGCACGCCGTCGGCCGCATTGCCTGACTGCTCGTTCTGAAGTAGCCCATGGAAGTACCTACACTCATCCAAGCCAAGAGCAAAGGCGAGGAAGACATCGTACAAAACGGCGACATGTTGTGCCACAGCTTCCCGCTTTGGATTGCGAGAGATGTGCTCCTGGAGGGCTCCCGAAGCTCTGTGTAGTGAAGACCATCCATCGAGGTGGTTCCTGAAGTACCTCTCATTGCCGCGGTGATGACGGAGAGCCTCAGAAAGCAGCGCCAGGAGACGGCTGATCATGTGAGTGGAAGAGGCAAAGGAAGCATCGTCATGTGCGAGATCCTGGCGAGACGTGAGGGTGGTGAGAAGGTCGAGGATCCTCTCGAAGGCGCCGCCATGTCGGAAGGTGTCCTTGGAAGCGGTATGGGAACCCAGATGGAGCCGCAATTTCTCCGCATTCTCTGATAGGCGTCTGAGCTCGTCGGCGTCAGAAGTAGCAGAGTGGCAAAAGAGGAGCCGGATAAGAGCAGCAGTGTCGGTGGCCTGCTCATCCGTATTCAGGCCTCTGGAGGAAGAGCGGAGGCGACCGAGACGGCCGACTCGCAGGGCCATGCTCACGGTGCAGGTCGGCGCAGAGCAAGACAGTGATGCGCTGCTGCCAGCTCATTCTGGGCTGGAGGGCAGCTCACAGCTGGTGGCATGGAGCCATGGGCGGAGGGAGGAAGGGTGCAGTGGAAGGGTGTGGACTGGTGTGGCACGGCTCGAACAAAGAGGCAGCCGCGGGTGCGGATGCTGTAACGAGGTGAGTTTCGAACTTGCAGTCGCGAGTCTTGGCGGGGTTATCGACGACAGCCAGCGCCACCAGCAGTGGAAGGTAAGGTAGGTGGTAAGGTAGTGTGCAGGGCCAGGCTATTTCGGGCGTCGTCAGTGGCTTCCTCTGCAGCCAGCGCGGTTGCCGTTCAGCACCAGCCGCCCACGCCGCAAGACGCGCTGCCCGAGAATGCCCTGTGGTCGAGGCGGTACGGGTGACTGTCCCGTCCTGTGATGAAGCCTATGAAGCTGTGTACCGCGCATGGAGAGTGTGTGTGTGTCAGTGAGACCGGGCATCAGCAGGCGCCTGAAAGCGCTCTAGCGGCATTCCCGACAACTGTGGGGAAGACGTGGGCGTGAGCGTGAGCGTGACGGTGAACGTGATCGTGACCTTCTGTCGCCGGAGCCGGCGAGGAACGAGGAAACTCCGACCGTGTATGGGGAAAGCGCGACCCTCTCACAAGACATACCTACTACTACTTGCATGTCCACGACGGGACATCGACTGAAGCTCTACCTTACCCTCACAGATGTGTACTGGAAGGTAATATCGACACGTGACCGGGTCATTTGACAAAGACGCCCCAAGACGCTTCAAGACTGAAGACAGCACCTTCGAGCCCACGCGCGCGTCATTGGCCCGTGGATGGCCCGCCAACCGGTGCTCCGTGCACGACGGAGGTAACCTACCTTAGTGAGGTGAGGTGCTGGGTGATACGCATGACATGATAGCTGGCTGCCCTGCCCTGCCGCCTTATCTTCACCTGGAGCTCTCTCTCATCACTTGGAGCTCTCCCTCACACGACACCTCCTTCATCACCCTCCACCCTCCATATCTATCCATCTCTTCTGTTCGCCATCTGTTTCCTCCCATCCACGCACCTTCCGTTGTAATCACCGCACCTTGTTCCCTTGAGACGTCGCCATGAAGTCGGTCCTCGGCCTGGCGCTGCCGCTTCTGGCATCCGCGTCACCACTCCTCAAAGAGCAGAGCATCCACGCCGATGTTGCTCCCGTCGTCTCCTCCTCCAACGCCAAGGAGATCCCCGACAGCTACATCATCAAGTTCAAGAAGCATGTCACCACCACCCTGGCCGCCGAGCACCACGATTGGGTTCAGGACCTCCATCTCAACACCCAGTCCCGCAAGGTCGAGCTCAAGAAGAGGTCGCAGACACCCATGATGGACGATGTCTTTCTGGGACTGAAGCATACATACAACATTGCCGGCAGCATGCTTGGATACTCCGGTCACTTTGATGAAGACGTGATTGAGGAGATCCGCAGAAACCCAGATGTAAGTGCCACTAGGCAGCCACCACGTCCTCGTGACTCGCTGCGAGTATCGTCGTGAACGCCATCGCTGACGGAATCGACAAAGGTCGAGTTGATCGAGAAGGACCAAGAGGTCCACGCCCTGGAATCCGAGGAGCCTGAGCTCGAAAAGAACGCTCCCTGGGGTCTCGCCCGCATCTCCCACCGCGATAGCCTTACCTTTGGCAGCTTCAACAAGTACCTCTACGCCGCCGACGGTGGCGAGGGCGTTGATGTCTACGTTATTGACACCGGCACCAACACTGAGCACGTCGACTTCGAGGGTCGTGCGTCCTGGGGCAAGACCATTCCTTCGGGCGATGCTGATGAGGACGGAAACGGACACGGAACCCACTGCTCTGGCACCGTTGCCGGCAAGAAGTACGGTGTTGCCAAGAAGGCCCATGTCAAGGCCGTCAAGGTTCTGCGCTCCAACGGTTCGGGATCCATGTCGGATGTCGTCAAGGGTGTTGAATTCGCTGCTGAGGCACACGGCGAGCAAGTCTCTGCCGCTAAGAAGGGCAAGAGAAAGGGCTTCAAGGGCTCTGCTGCCAACATGAGCTTGGGTGGTGGCAAGTCTTCGATTCTCGATCAGGCTGTCAACGCTGCCGTTGAGGCTGGCATCCACTTCGCTGTTGCTGCTGGCAACGACAACGCTGGTGAGTACTTCCTTCTGAGACTCGGAAACCTAATTCACGTGCTAACCTCTTCAGACTCATGCAACTACTCTCCTGCTGCCGCTGAGAACGCTGTCACTGTTGGTGCCAGCACGCTCGCCGACGAGCGTGCCTACTTCTCCAACTACGGCAAGTGCAACGACATCTTTGCCCCAGGTCTCAACATCCAGTCCACCTGGATTGGCAGCAAGTACGCCGTCAACACCATCTCTGGTACCTCGATGGCTTCTCCCCACATTGCTGGTCTCCTTGCGTACCTGCTCTCTCTCCAGCCTTCCAAGGACTCTGCCTATGCCGTCGCAGACATCACACCAAAGAAATTGAAGGCAAATCTCATCTCGACTGCCACCAAGGGGGCCCTCACCGACGTCCCAAGCAACACTATGAACATTCTCGCCTGGAACGGTGGTGGTATTAGCAACTACTCTCACATCATCGAGGAGGGAGGATACACCGTTTCCGCTGTGGCCGCCCCCATCGACCTTGCTGACAAGGCCAAGACGGGAGTTTCCCAGGTTGCCGAGTCTCTGGAGGAGCTCGAGGAGAAGATTGAGCAGGAGATCAAGGACTTCTTCGACCACATCAAGAGCGAGTAAATCTCACCTGCTCGACGAAAGATGATTGGAAGGCTCCAGAGCGGCCTTGTATACTCAATTGATGGCTTGTAGCCACTCTCATCACGTGATTTGCATAGAGAATGAGGGAACGCTATTTCCTATTGTATGAATGGGCATGGAATGCATGGAGGATGTGCCCGCTTAGACAGAGCAGACAGCATAGTCAGGGTAATGACAAGCATTGAACAGTATTTTCCCCTCTTGACGATGTAGAGAAAGACGAAGTCATGCGCGAGGTATGAAGGTGCGGAAGAGGTGCTGGCACCTTAGGCCTCCAGGTCTACGGCCTCCATCTTCCCTTCGATACTAAAGATTTTCGATGAGGAGGAAAGTTCTGTGTTTGAGGCTGGGATGGTACCTATGGTGTCTGATCCGGATTGGGTGGAGCGACTCGTGGAAAGGCAGGGGCGGGACGTTGTCGCAGCCTCATGTCGGCAAAGGAATACGTCTACCTAGACACGGTGCAAGGCTAGGTAGCCTTGCACCGTACCGAAGATCGCAACCAACTTATAAGCCTACTATAATCATTGAAAGGGCTATCTATCGTACTTAGGTAACCACACGTCCGACCGGTATCAAGGTACTTGTCCGTCCGTCCCGGAAGATCTAATAAGCTAATAAAAACTTGGGAATTCAGATACACTCGTTATAAGATAAAGAAGGACTAGCTCGACCTTAAGAAAAAATATATAATAAAGGCTAAGGTATATCTAGAAGTCTTACGAAGAGAGTAAATAATAATATAAATCTTCTCTACTATTAGATCTTAACATCCGACCTTACTATCGTTAGATAGAAGTCGGATCTAGTAGAGGTCTATTAATTATTATTGTAGTCTAGGCGTATAATATAGTAAGCAGACCGGCTTACTTCTCTAGAGTAGAGTATCTAGTCTACTCTATACTCGGACGACGCCTAGAATAGCTTAGTTACGGACTAGTTAAGCTAAGGATAGTTAGTAGAGGCGATAATAAGTAAGTAAGCGCTAGCTATCCCGAAGCTTATAGAGAGTAACGGCGTTAGCGAACGAGCGAGTAGCTCTCTAAGTCTCCCGTAGCGATATATATAATAGATAAGAAGAGGTAGAGTAGTACTATAGTAGGAAGGTAGGAGTAGTATATATAGTAGAGTAGGGTCTTAGCTACACTCTTAGGTTTAGCTTCATAGCGCCATTTGTGATCCGATGCGGCAAAGTGCCATGCCTCGTCTCCTTCTTAGCACTAAACAGTGTACTTTCTCCATTTGCCGATCTTGTACGGTCCGAGCCTAACAACTATTAGCCAGAGAAGGGAGAAGAAACCACTAGCAGATTACCACGTACGAACGACAACCCCTCGTGGCCAAGACGAACTCAGTCCACTTCCCTTCGATATGTTGACATTGCCCATTCAGGTCCGTGTATGCGGAGAGCTGACAGTTTGGGGGCAGATCGATAATGTCCACCGTCTTCGCGTCGAATGTAGCCGAAAGGCCATTGGGTGAGGTACAGTAGACAGAATCCGAACCATCAGCCGCATGAGCCTCTCCGCCGCACTTATCTTCGGAGTGGAACATAATGTGCTAGGCATGGGCGGCTGCGAAGAGCGGGGTAAGCGCGAGGAGTAGCTGCATTTCGAAGTTTGCTTGGAGAGGATGACCACTTTCCTCCTCCGCGAGGGCTGCCTCTCCTTATTTATATAGCGAGAAACTTCCCTTCCCGATTAGATCCTTCGGGCTCCGAAGTTAGCTAAGTCGTATTCTCAGGCAGGTTTGGTAGGGTCCGTGTCTCAGGCAGGTTTCGAAGGGCCGGAATGACCCAGGGAACCATTCATTCCATCCCAGCAAAAATTCCCTGGATGGTTGGAACTGTTATTAGGATGAGACCGGCACCGAGACTGGTCGTTATTACCTTACGATCTGTGTGGTGGAGAGAAAACATCCGCGATCGAATCCGAACCGTTCCGTTGTTTTTGGAGAAGTGATGAAAGCTGACAGCCAGCCGCGAGAGCTCGAAGCCTACTCTTTTGGAAACTCTTCTGGGAAGAACGAAAGACAAGGGGGAGGATCGAGACTTCTATGGGAAGATTGTGGGGACTTCGAGGCGTGCGGAGCCATTGCTGGGAAACGCATGGTGTTGTGAGGATGGGACCGAGGTTGAGGAGGAAAGAGACGGGGTCGAAGGAATTCCCGCTGCTTTGGAAGAAGTATTGAATGACAGCGAGGCATTCGCTGCTCAGGATGAGGTTTGCTGAAGACCTCGGGAACACGGGCACATTCTTCTCTTCTCGCACATCGGAAGGTCATCATCTCCAAAGGTAGTACCGCTGATTTGCTGCCGTCCGACTCGCTGTGGCTACTGTGTTCACCATAATACTCGAAATCTCCGCGGCTCTCCGATGTTCAAAGACGCCGTGCAGTATGACGTTCCGCGTACCTGATGCGAAATATCAGCAAACGCCTCATGCACGGCAGTGAAGAATGGTCCTGGTCACGATAAATATATCAAGAAAGGTACCTGTATCACGGCCTGGTTTCTAGTTTTCAGCAACCCAACATTCGCACTCACCATGTCCACCGATCTAGCCAGCATTCGGCGCGAGTACGATGAGGAGCTCGCCCGTCTCCACGTCTCCATGACGACCATGAAATCTATCCCCGAGCCTCGTTCCCTCGAAGCTCTTCAGAAGGGGAGTCCAAGTCGGCACATGCCTTGGTACGCTGTAGTGTACTTGATGTATTATTGCAGTAGTTGCCTCATACAATTCTTTTCTTTCCACTTTCTGGGGCTCGTGGCTCGGTCTAGGCCGCCTGTTGTCAGGTGGTGCTTCGTCCGGAAAGGTGAAGTGTCGTCGGCTCTCCCACTCGGCTCCGAAGTCCTTAACAATCGAAAGCTTAATCACAAAGCGGAATTTACCCGGCCTTCCCACTAATTCTTAGTCAAGTATTGCTAAGCTTCGCGATGATCGAGTCCGAATCTTCAACCGAACCTTCAACCAACGGCGAACAAAGATTACCGATCGTTATTATGATAGTTGGCGGCGCAACAGATGGATGATGATGAAGCACGTCTCCCGTACTGGTCAAGCTGATTGTGCTGGCCATGCTACAGTTTTTGACGAGTGTGCGACTCGCGTGGAGCATTGTCGTGCTGCTGCTTGCATATTGCATCCTTTTATTATTAGAATCCACGCCATTTCCCCCCAACATGTTGCCGCAGAGCTCCGCTGCTTCGTCACTGTTGACTACCACCAGAATTTTACCACATACCACGCGGAACCTACTACTTAAGCAACAGCAGACACCCGTTGCTTGGAGAAGCTTCTTGCAACCCTTCACCTCCCCATTCAGTACCCCCTCATACAAGATGGCCTCCAAATTGTCCTTCCTCGACGCAGTCGCCCACCGCCGCACCATCTACGGCCTCAACAAGTCCTCCACGGTCCCTGATGCCCGCATCAAGGAGATCGTCACCCAGACGATCAAGGATGTTCCCTCCTCTTTCAATTCTCAGTCCGCCCGCATTGTCGTGCTCGTGAAAGAAGACCACGACAAGTTCTGGCAATTTGTCACCGATATTCTCAAGGCACATGTCCCTGAAGCGAAATGGGAACATACCAAGCAGAGGATGGACATGTTCGCTGCTGCATACGGAACTGTAAGCAACCTCCAGCCGTGGATCATTCAAATGAGCAGGTGCATGTTGCTAATGCCGTGCACTGCAGATCCTCTTCTACGAAGACCCAGAGCCCATTAAAGCCCTCCAATCCAAATTTCCACAGTACGCCGATAAGTTCCCCCAATGGAGCGAGCACACTTCCGCAATGCACCAGTATGTGCTTTGGACCGCTCTTGAAGCCGAAGGGCTAGGATGCAACCTGCAGCACTACAACCCCCTGGCCGACCAGAAGGTCTCCGAGCATTTCGGCGTGCCATTGGAGTGGAGCCAGAAGGCCCAGCTGGTCTTCGGAGAGCCGGCTGATGCGAAGAGGGAGAACTTGCAGGAGAGGACATTCCAGCCTGTTGAGGAGAGAGTCAAGTTCTTTGGACTCTGAGTGGTGACTGGAATGGGTATGGTAACAGTACGAGGAGGATATGACGAGGGTAGGACGATTGCTACAATAGAGACGAGATACAGCGCGCACGAGGAATGGAAATCAATCTGGCTAGCCCCATTTCCTGTCCTCAAAGAGCCAGCTCGAATGATGCTTGAAAGCACTCATGATTCCCGTGTCCTATATGTTGGCTTTATCACGGCTAAAAGAAGGCTAGATCAGAAGTCTCGCTGCGACTCGCAGCACGATGAGTAAGGCTCCTTCCGACGGGTGAGTTGATCACGTCCTCTCAACTTCACGATTTGTGCTCATAGCGATTGCCGGACGCCAGGGCGATCGACATGAAGACGAGGGCAACCACGAACGACATGTCCTCTGGCCTTGCCCAATGGACAAGGAGTCGAGGAGGTGATCCTTCTCCGCCTCTGCTACAGACATTACAACCTGCCAATGCATGCTCAACGTTGCATCTTACGGCGCACTTTCGAGGATTGAGATTCATCACATGAGACCACCGAGATTGCACGAGACACGTTCCTTCTCGACATGATCTCCACATCCAACAGCAGTGCTGGTGACCAGCTGCGGCGCGCAAAGTCGACATCATCGGCCAAAACAACATCATCTGGACACAAGCGATTGTCGACCTCGATCGACCCGTTTCTTACCCGCCAGCAGGCAGAGACCGCGGCAGTCCAAGCATACGAGCGCGCTCGAATCAACGATGAACCAGCGCCGAGACCTGTGCCTCCGAAGCTGGAGCGACGCAGAAGCCAGAAGGCTGGCAGGTCGGAGGGCAGCCACTTTCAAGACGCCAGGAAACGGTCCATCGCGAGGGAAGGCGAAGGCACACGAGCAAAGTCTTCGCAATCTCGACATCAAAGGTCTATGAGCCGCATGCGATCGCAAGATTTGGATGGAGAGCGAGTCATCACCCGGCGGAGGTCTATCATACCACCAGCGACCGAGATCCGGCAGACCCAAGCGAATCCATCGTCTTCGATGTCCACGACTGGTCGCCATGTTCGGAGACGTCAGTCGGAGTATAGCGACGGTAGTCCAGCGCCTCGCTACTCGCAGACCATCACTGACGGCCACACTTCTTTGCAGCCTGCAGCATTACATGGAGGCCCCAGTGATGGCTATGGCGGCAATCTGGCCAACATGTCCACCTTTGGAGCTCCAGAGGAGAGCTTTGCGCCGCAGACAGCCGACTTCGAGCAGGTTCCTCGTGGTATTCCGACAACAGAGCACATTCCGGTTCCTCCAATATCGCAGACCAACCGTCTGAAGGAGAGAAAGTCTTTCTTTGGCACTTTCCAGAAGCGGCGCGCCAACGCGGTCGTGGACAACTTCGACAATTCCCTGCCACCCTTCAACCGCGCCGATCATGATGTCGCTGCTCCCATACCAACAAATGTCACCACCGTAGCTGGCATCAAAGTCCAGCAAAGGTCGCGAAACTTTTCAGACTCTCTCAAAGGGCGGCTAAAAAAAGTGTTCCGAAAGAATACGAAAGCGTCAATTACTCTGCCGGCTCAACAAGTTGAATCCAGAGAGTTCCACTTCAGCATTCGCGACACTGATGTAAGCGAGGTAGACGACACAGCTTCCGTGGACTTCGGTGACCCCTTCATGACGGTTGCAGCTGAGAATCCAAAAGGCACACCCGTGGCCAACTTGGAATCCGCAAGATCTGGATTCAGCTCCGCACAGCAGAGCGACGGTAAGTCGAGAGTGACCAGTTGGGCGAACTCGACCGTGGCTGGAGTATCCAGTATCCGTTCCAACCATGGACCTTATGCCACGACATTTATGCCTCAAGCCATCAAGCGCGTAGACAGCCATCATTCTCTCCGGAAGGCCAGTTCATTCTTCGGCCGTCCCATCCACAGCAAGCTGCAAAGAGCCAGTAAAGCAGATCTCGGTGGTTCGGAGGAGAGCCAAGGCCTGTACGCCGCCCTCCAGAAGCGTATCCGACCATCACAATCCATGGATCCCGTACATGGAGGGGCCTCCTCGACCTTGAAAGAGAGCGTCGAGTCTCGTACGACCTCCGCACTGGCGACTGTGCCGTCCCAAAGGCAATACAGCCAGTCAATGGCAAGCGTAAGATCACGGGCGGCCTCCACTGTTCGTCCAGTTACGCCGCAAGGTCCAGTCGTGCAGAAAATCGAGGTGCCTTCTCCGGTCCATGAAGTGCTCAGCCCTGACGTCGAGACCGATGTTGATAATACAGTCATTCACCACGAGCTCGATTCCTCACAATCCACGCCGCAAAGTGCTCTAAAGCGACGGCCAGCTACCAAAGCGCCGCCACCAAGCCAAGACCAGCTGCGACGCAGGATGGAGCGCTCAAAGAATAGATGGCGTTCCACTCTGGATGAGCGCTCGGCCGGACCGTACTACTCAAATAAGATCGCCACAATGGATGACAACCCATACGAGCTGCCATCGCTTAGTCGAACTGAACCTCATGCTACTCCTGAGCATGATCTCCCGCATCATGCCAGAGTTGATGACGGCATACTTTCAGTCAAAGCAGATGCTTTGTCTCCGAGCGTCTATTCTCGCGCGACAGACGGCGCTTCGCCGCGCGCATCAACTCCCGAGGATGTCGGGCTTACGACCATCACCATTACCGGCCGTGAGGTCACAAAGTACGAGATCTCACCTGCGAAACCTACCCGGCATGGCCCTCGGACCGGCAGTAAGGAGTGGCGTCGCTGGCTGTCCGACGAGATGAACAATTGGAATTGTGACAAGAAGGACTTTGCACTCCCACGTAATACTCTAGACAGTTCAGTCGCTGAATACGCCGCTGCACGGTGTGGCGCCGGCCCTGAGCCTGAGCAAGTCGCTGTCGGACGTGGCTCTCGGCCAAGTTCTGTATCCCCGGTCATGTAGAATGGATCGGATGATGCAGGGCGAGTGCGATCTCGGGCAAGCAGCAGTGCGTCGAAGTATATGAACGAGCGGTACCCCATAGTACACATCAGTCGACCGACAAGTCGTCAGAGCTGGACCTCTGGAGGCCAGCGACCTGACATTCCAGGACAGTTCGGTAATGAAGGCGGTGCTGGGAGCAGAAAGCCGAGTGTGGACCAGTGCAAGCCAGCTGCTACAACGCGGCAAGAGCTGCCTTCGCATCAAGTCTATTCAATTGCCGGACCCGAGACCATCATGCCAGACTCAACTCGTCCGGCTATCTCGACTTCTCCCAAGCAAGCCGGATCTGCCGCCAGCAGCCGCTTTTCCAGCTCACTCGCCTCTCGTCTGGCACCCAAGCGGCCCAAGTCCGCGTATGAGCTCCGTGTCAACTATAAGAACAACCCGTCGGGCACATCCAAGGCGTTGGAAGTCCATCGCAAGAAGCCCGTCGTGGACGCCAGTCATCTCCTCGAAGACAGCACCATCATGAACATTTCCGCCGGTCCGTACGCTTCGTTGTCGGAGAACACCCGGCCTGCTCTGCCCGCCATCTCGAGCTCGGAATGGCTCGCGACGGGGCGGAAGGGCAAAGAAGTGAGGAAGGCGAGCTCGATGAATCCGGTTCGGAATTCCAAGGCTGTAGAGGGGGGGTCCTCGCCGGGACAGAGGCTGGTTACGAGTTGGTTGGGGGAGCGGAGGGAGAAGGAGAAGGAGAATTCTCCGGCTGGTGCTTTTGTTTGAGTTCTCGGAAAGGAAGAAGAAGAAGAGGGAAGACTATTGTTTTTAGCGTGTATTGTCGGACTAGGAGTGGATGGACTTTGGTCTTTGCTGGGTTGGATGGAGGGTAGGAATCGAAGCAGGAACAGGTTAGCTCAGCTCTTAGGCAGTGAATGCGTGGAAACTACTCGATATGGAGTCAAATCCAGCGGAAGAAGATAGATGTAGCTTCAGTCAGCTAATGAACTTACCTACGGTGCATTCGAAACATTAGGTTGGGGAGGGCGACTGCGAGCTGTAGGAGCCATACTCTTGTGGCGAGCTGTTGATACTTTCAACACAACACCACACCGTGAAAGGAGTGTTTTCGTCCGGTTCGTTCGTTACCTTATATCCCTCGTCTCTCAAGGGCGCCGGGCGGGTGAAGCTCATCAACCATGCGCAGACAGACTACTATTCCGAAGAAGTCCCAAGGCAAGGCAAGGCAAGGAAGACGAGACGATGGCGACGGGATCCAAAATTCCACGACCGTTGTCGTCGAAGTCGAAGTCTTGGACCAATACTTGAGAATGGTTGGTTGGTTGGTTGGATTGATTGATTGATTGATTGATTGATTGATTGATTGATTGATTGATTGATTGATTGATTGATTGGATTGGATTTCTAGGTTGAGACTGTGGAAATGGGGAAGTCAGGAGGGCACGAAAGGCCGGATTATTCGGTGTCTTATGCAGTCGAGGGGTACGGGAGACGCCGTGAGATGAGGCTGATAGTCCTTGCGTCTGAGCGGCCTGCCAGCGCTCGACACGCTCGACGCGGGGAGACGTTCTGAAGGAGGCTCAGAAAGAGGCTCAGGAGCTGTAAGTGACTCGATCTTGACTTGTCTCTCGTTTCGTCATCAGCTCTGAAAGACTCACCCGTTCTACCGCTTACCTCAGATACTCAAACCCCACCACCGCCTTGATGGGCGCATACCCATTACTGTCCACCACGGGCAGAATCCCAATCTTCCGCTCCTCTTCCACCCTATCCGCTTCCAACCACCTCTTCACCTCTCCCTCGTCACTCCAATCGCTCACCAACTTTTCGCCACTCCCAATCTGGCCCAACTGCATCCCACTCGCCTGGGTGTTCTTCGGCACGGGCATCAGATTCTCAATCGCACCGGTCACTTTCCCCTCCAGGATTTCCTTACAGAGGTAAGGTTCCGCAGCAAGAGGACGGGCGATGCCAATGCCGTCACAGGCGGAAGCGTTGATGGCGCTCACCATGCCGCTGGCGGTGCGGAAGCCGCCTGTCACGTAGAGTCGGGTCTTGGTCAGGAGGGGTCGGATGAGTTCGGCGAATTCGATGAAATAGGATTCGCGGGCTTTGGTGGATTCTGTGTGAAAAAGAAAGCGTGGTGAGAGGGTGTTTTGGGTGGAGTAGAAATTTGAGATTACCTTTCTTGTGTTCGAATGCTCTGCCTTCGAAGGTGCCGCCGGATAGGTCTATAAAGTCGACGCGTGCTTCTTCCAGCTTTTGGCAGAGATTACGGCAGTCTTCTGGCGTCTGGCCACCTATACACACGAGTTGTGTGAGATTAGCGCTGACGGTTGACGTGAAAGGTGGGTCGACATGGCCCTACCGGGTTGAAACTCGACCGAGTTGACTTTGACGCAGATGATGAAGCTCGCATCCGTGACTCGACGATGAATCTCGTCAATGATGTCGAAGATGATGCGGCTTCGGTTCTCGAAGGAGCCACCATACTCGTCGTCGCGCGTGTTGGTCGTGAGGGCGAGAAATTGAGCCAGCAGATAACCGTGAGCACAGTGGACCTGCACTCCATCGAAGCCTGCCTGGTGGCAGAGATATGCGGTCTCGCCGAACTGGCGAACAATCTCCTTGATGTCCGGTATGGTCAACGGTGTTGGCCGTGCGAACTCGTTGCCGGCCCAGTGCTTCTGCAACTGCACATCGCTAGCCGATACAGGATGCGGATTCAGCGCTTTAGGTCCCTGACGTCCTGGATGAGAGAGCTGAGCGACAATCAATGAGCCGTGAGCTTTTGCCAGACTCGTCATTTCTCGGTACGTTTCCACCCTCCCGTCGTGGTCATCTTGGAGGATAGGATTACCGTAGGCCTCGACTGCATCGTAGCGGATCATGGTGTTGCCCGAGACGATCATGCCGATTTCGCCCTGGCCCCATCTCCTGTAGAGATGCTTGTATTCCTTGGAAGGGAAACCACGAACGGAGATGGGTTGGCCGTGCTCGTTCCAGTGACACAGACGCTCGGTCATGGGAGCCTTCAAGAATCTGTTCCGGGCGGTCTTGCCCGAGAATGCGAATTTGATGGGCTCTCCCAAGATGCCTGTGTCGACTGCCGGACCCTGCACTCGCCGTCGGCCATCTTTCAGGTTGTCGCCTGAGGCAACGCTCTGGTGGGGATAATTCTTGGATTCTGGCGGACCGGGCGCCGAAGCCTTGTCGTACTCCATTGGAGATTATATTGGATCCAAGTGATGTCTGCTGTCTACTCGGCGTCCTCGATTGTAGTTGTATGGATTCGGTGGTCGTGATAGATAGACTTCCCGATGCCCGCCATCCGCCATCCGTCATCAGCCCCGCCATTGTGATGTTGCCCGAGGTCATCATCATCCACCTCGTTCTCTCACTGCGTGCGATTTGGTATGGGCGTCGTCTATTGGGAAAGCACGTGGCGCACGCGTGAGGCTTGTCCCTTGTGCCTGCCTCGTTGGAGGTGTGAGATGAGGCGTGACGAGGAAGGCGCCATGTCGTGCTTTCCGGGCGCACACGGCGCTGTCAGCCTGCACTTGCACTGCACTCGCTCCTGCACTTCATGTTGCTGGTCTTGCGATGGAAACTTGAAAGATGTTGATCGTCACGGCGGTGATGCTCGCTTGCTGGACACGAGTTTGGTATGCGCATCCCAGTCATGGTGATGGAGGATGACGCTGGTCTCCCCAGCAGCGGACGTTTGAGCGGGAGATTGGATGGATCCGCCCGACTACTCCATTCTACCGGGTTGATGGTGCAGCGACACGCACCGCGAGGCACCGTAATAACGTACAGTAATAACGGGCACTCTTACACGGCGTCGGTAGCGGGATGCGGTATGACGGGCGTCGACGGCGGTATAGATGATGCTGTGCATGTAATGATAATGATACATCGTCAGGCGGTGGGCGGGAGAATAGAAAATAGAAAGGGAACGGAACCTGGATGGAATGGAGATTATCCGAGGCCTCCGAGAATCTCTGACCCCTCTTACGAGGGGGTCACAGCCACCTAATAATATTAGCCGAAAAGACCCACCCACGTAATAATATGAACTTCTTACCTAATTTCTACTGTTACTAACATACCTTAGCGTCTATACTACTTTTGTCTATATTTTCATATACCCTATAGTAAGTAAATAAAAATGCCTGCCTTAAAACGCGCCGTAGAGCCGTCGTCGTCGCTAGCGCGGAATAAACGCGCGCGCGCGCGCGCGCGCTAAAGATTAGTTAGTACGTATACGAAGAATAGTACGTCGAAAGCCTTATAGCTACGATCGAATAGGAGTTAGAAAGGCGTAATAAACTAGCAATTTAAGGCGTACTTAGTCGCTATAGAGAGGCCGGGGCTAAACACCTCTACTAACGCGTACTAGCGCGTCTCTACGGTACGCGTATCTCGCTATATAACCGGCTAGACTATAATAAGGCGTTAATAGACGTATAAGAGCTCGCTATACTAGAATATATAAGGAATCGCGATCGGATTAGTCTAGAGCTACCTCTTAAATACCTAGCGGAAGTAGCTTAAAAGGTAGTATAGTATACGAGTAGTATTAAGGTTAGCCTAAGTAGAAACTAGGCTCTATACTTTATCGCTAGGTACGAGCTTAAGAAGGTATCTATATATCCCCTACTCTTTAACCGACTTAATCTAACTTTATATAGTAGAATAGGCGAAGCGGAAGATACTCGAGGTTACGCGAAAGAAGGCCTACGATCTAGAGCTCGTTCGTAAGTAGTTCGAGCGCTTATAGCGTATAGTTCGTAAAAAATCGATCCGAGCGCGTAATACCTATAATATAGACGAAACTAGCGTTCGAATTAGTATCGATAGTAGCGAAATAGTACTTATAATAGACGCGAAGAAGCGCTATTAGTTACCGACTAAGCTGTTACGTAAGTACGTTACTATAGTAGAGTATATTAGTAGTAATAGACGCATAATCGCGCCTATACTAATTAAAGCTAGAAAACCGTACCTAGCGGAGTAGTATACCGATTTAGAGGCTAGAGCGCTTGTTAGCGTAAGTAATAGTAGATATATAAACGATAAGCTAGCGTACGAATAGATTAGGTACTTTAAGCGCGAGATAAGTACTTTAAGCGCGAGATAAGTATTAAGTCTATAACTTAATAATCTTATAATATATAAGGATTACTTATATAAGGCTTAATCGGTATTAGGCTCGTTAGTAGAGAGGTCTAGTAGAGGAAGAGTAAAGCGATAGAGTAGTATAGTAACTTAAGGGATTGTATTCTAAGTAGTAAGATACTATAGTAAGTTAAATATATCGAAAGCTAGAGGCATTCTTAGTGTTTCTATATAGATTTCTAGTTCGACTAATTCGTCCTACCTACTAGCTAGAAACTAGCTATCCGACTAGAGCTATAGTCGAACGGTCGAACTTATTACGTAGTCTTCCTCGTAGAGTTCGACTATCGGTTCCTTCTATTAGTCGAACACGTAATACGTAACGTACCTCGCTATACGCGTAGAGTTTCTTTCCTACTTTACTAGCTAGGAGTTCTCGGAATAGCCTCGCTCCTTACTTCGATCCGTAATAATAAGGCCTAAAAATCCGGACGAATAGTAATTACTAATTAGTAAGTTATAGGCCGATTCTAAGGCTTCTATATAGACTATAGTAGTACCGCTACTATCGCTATTTATATAAGGATCTACTAATAAAGTTAGTAGATAACTATAGTAGTTATGTCTTCTTTAAGCTCCTTTAATTCGCCGAAGAGTATAAGATTACCTACTTCGGCTTAATACCGTATTCCTCGTACTTCTTATAGCTACTAGATCTAATTTACTTCTAGGTATAGAAGACTATATATCGAAAGGCCGTTAATTACGCCGTACGCGTTAGCGCGACTAAATTTAGTATAGTCGACTTTTTTAGCTATCTTAACAAAATCCGCGCCGAAACCTTTAAACTACGTAATATTAGTACTGCCTAGAAGCGAATAGGCCTCTATCTACTAGATTGTAACCGCGCGCTCGGTTATTTACGTATCGAGTATAAGTATAGAGTCGAAAGGGCTGTAGATACTAAGATAAGAAGGCGTAATACTATTTACTCGTATCTTTCGAAGTTTCTAGATTAGGTAACCTTAGCCTAATCGGGTACGTTACCGAATAGCCCTAACCTACTTCGGAAGCTACCGAGAGTTAAACGGACCTACCTAGTAACATTAGATCTACTACTATTAGGATTACTACTACCTTCTTTACTACCTTTACTAGGCCCTTTTAACGCCTACGAGATATCTAATATACTTTTCGAGCCTACTATATTATTAGTAACATTCGTAGAGTAGTAAAATGCCCTTACTAAGCGCCTATAGGCCCGTAGATACGAATTCTCGTTACTAACTTGCGTAGTAGTAGTTAACTATATAACTAATAGCCTAGCTATTACTACTAAAAAGGAGATCGCCCTATACGATCTCTCTATAACCGAGGTAGCGAGTCGAAAACAGTAGGTACGACAGGTAAAAGGACACTCTTAGTTATAGCGTAGTAGAGTAATTAGATGTC